TCGATTCTAGGGCTAGTATAGATACAAGTATAGTAGTAGTTAATAGTATTTACGGCTAGTAAAGTTACGGTCCTTTCTAGAAAGTATCGAATATAAATTAAATATATAAGCGGTACTACGGCAATAGTAGATAGATTAAGGATATAGTCTTCTTCTCTAATATAGGTTCTAAATCTCCGGCGAGAACTTATAGGGCGCTATAGGCTAGGATAGTTAAATTCGATTGTATTAGTAAGGACCCGAGAGTATAGATATAGTAAGGATGTAGCGTATAGATAGTATAGCGCTTATAAGAGGATACGCCCGCGATAATATAAATAGGTAAAGGCGCTATAACGTAAACGTAGTCCTCGAATTTTAGCTTCCTAAACTATAGGAGGATTAAGTAAAGCTATTCTCTCTTTTTTAATCTATATATCTCTATAGTACGATAGAGGAGGTATAATTAGACGCTCTAAGAAGGTAATGCCTCGATTCTACTAGAGCAATATACTAGTACTAACGTCTAGAGTATAGACGAAGCGATAACCCGTTATATAGGATATCTATCTTCTACTAGGATTACTACTAGATAACTTATAGAGAAGGATATACTAGCTAGGAATAGGGTTAAGAAGCTCTTATAGTATATTACCGACCTCTAGAGCCTTAATACTTACTAGAAATACTATTCGTCGAGTATCTCTATAAGAGAACTATAGGTACTACCGCCGGGGTACGATATAAAGTATCTCGCGTTAAAGCTACGAAGGGAGATCGTAATTATAATCTAAATTTCCGGGTAACTTTCTAGATTTAGAGATATAACCGGTAGTCCTCCTAGTATTATATCTAGAAGGTAGAGGAGTCTATATCCTACGTAACTATTAGATTTTCCTCGTAAAAGGCATATAGCGGGGAGCTATAGTCGATAGCTAGTATTATTAAAAGACGCTAAGAAAGCTACGGTAATTATTAAAGTTATTATTCGCAATCCGTTATTATTCTATATAAAGATACGTTCTTTAATATTAGACGGTGCTCGCAAAGGTCCTATTCGTAAAGTCTAGGCTACCTATAGTATCGAGATAGTAGCTTTATACGAGCGCTAGAGTTATTAGTATTACTATTATTAGGCTATACCTCTATAAAGGCTAAAAACGTCGCTATACTAAACTCGAGGTATATATCGTATAAATATTAGCCGTGCCGTCTCTAGCTAAAGGAGTAGTCGATTACGAATATAGTAAGCTATACGATCTAGGTTCTAGGCATCCCTTAATAGATAAGAGACTATTAGTATTAGGACTTCTAGGAGAAAAATAGTTAAAGAGTAGAATTCTAGTCCTTAGCTACTACTTAGGAAACCGGCAAGTAGTTAGATAGGACTGTAAGGCTTGAAAGCACTATATATAGTAAGTTTAACTCTAGTATTCCGGCTTGTGCGCTTCTATAACCTAATAAAAGAAGAGACAATTAGCAAAATCGCGATCCGGCGTATGCGATACATTAATAGCGTAACAGAGCCGTCGTTTCGCATATAGATACTCGGGCATATGTGACTCCATGCTGCCGTTACACTATGAGTTTTTTTCCTCGAGTGTATAGCACGAAAATGCCGTGAGCCTAAATGGCGGTATGCCGGCTGATAGCGACAACCCAAGAGTAACGCTACTGTCGCTGCGCCGCATCCTCATGTTTGCGAGGTTACCACTTTTTGATTCCAGGTCTGGTCCCCAGTAAGGCCGACGATCTGATCCAAGGTCCGGTGCCTAGGAGGGTTGAAGGCCTTCCGCTGGTGATGATGGGGGATTGACGTCTAGAGTTACAGCCGTACTGTGTCGTGAAATGTTCGGATTCGATGCCAGATGTCTCCTCTCTAGGATCTGCCTTGCACAGTTCCAAACTTCGAGGCCGTATTGGATTTGTAGGCATCAATCTGCGAGTAGGAAAAGCCTTGTCTAAGCCCGGTGCCTGAGCGTCGTCAAGAGGTAGAGCGACATTCGATGAGGATTGAAAGAGCCAGATCTCAACCGAGGGCAATGTTTCGTTGCAGCAACGAGCTAAGCATGATTTGATGTGGAGCAATGAGGTCAAACAGCGCCCTGTGAAGACCAGGTCTGATCGGTATCAGAGACTTTGCCTAGATGTGATAAAGGAAAGCCTATCGAGAGTGAACACCACGCATTTCCAAAATCCGAACCCTAGACATTTTCCATAACGTTTTCCTTGTAGACATCCTTGCGGAGAGTGTGTCGGTCTTTCGAAGTTTTTGGAGCTCGTTCTGCACCTAGCCCTTTGCAAGTAGAAAGTGGGCGAACTTTGCATTAGGCTTCAACGCGTGGTCCGATACTCCAGCTGATCTTGTTACGGCCTTCTTCGGCACAAGGGAGAGCGGGGACTCTTTCGGACTTGCAGCGCGAACTGGGCTCTCGTTTCTTTGGTAAGGCAGGCAATGAATTCGAGTCGAGTGGCAACAGCCGTCGAAGATGGGAGAAGACGAGATTTGCAGAGAGTGTTAGTGTGGGGACCAGAGAGCTACAGATAGTGTCCACGGAGTGGTGTCTTTGGGAAGGGCAGGGCAGGGCGCAATGGCGGCGGTAGTTGAGGTGGCGGAGAATGTAATGCCACGCCGAGCCATGGGATCTGTCTTGCCGCACACCTTTGTGAAGGTCCTGACGCGCTACAGGCGTGACACGACTGACAAGCTGCGCTTGCCATACGACTATGGCCTCCGGGCTGGGGTGCTGCGATGTCTTCATGCTGGCAGAAAGCCTGCAGTACCCTCATCGTGACAGTGCCACAGCCACATTGCGCTCTCTTGATGGTATAGTGCTTGAGATGGCATCACTAGGCTCAGCTGCGCTGTGCCGTCGACCAGCCGCTTCCTACTGTTCCTTGCAGCCCGTTCGCTGTAGTCTGACCGGATTTGCCGTTCGAGCGCTGCTTGGCTCTCGGTGGAGGATGTCATCTCATTCGGGTGAAGACTTGGCCCACGAGTGCCGTGCGGTGGAGGTTTCTCGCAGTCTTGACTGTCGTATAGCCACAGCGATCGTGACTGTGGGGTGACGGCGATGATAATGAGGTAGCGGGTATGATGAGCAGCAGCATCAGATCAAGAGTGGGTGGACCCTTGAGTCAAATCTTGCCAAGCTGAATCCTTTGTCGTTTAGATTGGCGCTTCTTGCCGATTGCTCCACTATTTCAGCGTTGCGATTCATCTTCAGATTAGTCCGGTCACTTGCTCGTAGCAAATGTCATCAACTCTCTCCGGCCGGAATCCATATTGATCAGCGTCAGGTAGCGACGGCCTTTGCGGTGTGCGAGTACCTCGCCTTCTTGCATGACCAGATACAGCCGAACATGCTTGGATTCCGTGATATTCTCCGGGTCGCACCGACAACATCCTCGCTGCCGCAGGCACACCAAGATTGAACACGTTTGTCCCGCGTATCGAAAAAGCTCGAGGCTGGCACAAGAGACAACGATGCTCAAATTCGAGCAATAAGCTCTGCTCGAACGACTGACGAAAGAACGGTCCATGTATTAGCCTAGGGTAGACATCTTCATTTCAACCTTCCAAAAGCAGCTCCAAGTCAAGACATTGCAAGAACGAATGCATACTGCGACCTTGGCAAGACCCGTACTGCCATTTGAAAGCGCCAGTTCGATGCCAGCGCAGCCTGCTTATATCGAGGTCAAGAAACCACCACTTTCACCAACTTCGCAGTCGCTGCATTCGAGAATCGACGACCTCGTTTCTTCGTGAACCACTGTTGAGAATGAAGGTCACATATCACTCTCCATGACCGCCGGCTGGTATGCTTCCCCTGTTGCGATGCCTGCCACGCCTGCCATCGAGATCGTAGACACGGTGCGTTCTTGCCAATGCGAAGAGCCAGAAGCCGGCTTCTGCGGCGAGGACGATCAGAAAGGCACCGTCGCAGATCCTCAAAACGGTCTTCGCATACTGATCATGAACAAGGAATTGATGAATCCATCTACCGGCCGGCCCACCAATCTTCGCTTCAAGTCGATTTGAATCACTTGCGCTCTACCAATGGAGAGCTCAAGTGCCCGCATCGTCGCCGAAAGCAAAAGCAGCTTACGCCAGACGACTTCCAACGGCATCTTTGCTATTCAAATCGCTAGACGTGGATGGCGCCAAGGGAGCGGAAGCAATGAAGACGCCTGGGCATAATGCGCTGTCGATGCTCTCGTGCATTTGGTGTTCAAGTATACTCGCGCAAGCAGACTGTCAGAACCCAAAGCAAGAAGCTCTATGCACTTTTCGGGACGGCCTTTGGGTCCAATAGGAAGTGTGCATCCTACAGCGGCGTAGGAGGCCAATCGTTGGCCAGCAAGATCTCGTTCATTATAAGCGTGAGGACGACGAAACATCTCGTTCCGAGTCTCGAAAGAAACCACCAGTTCTGACAGCACTCGGCATGGTGGAGAGTGCCGTTCAACAATCGTGTTGCCTTCCTTCATCAAAGGTGATGAATATTCTTTGTCTCTCCAGATGTGAGCGCCATTTAACAATAATAGCATCATCGTCCTTGATCAAAGGGAATGAATATTCTTCGTGTCTCCAGATCTGCGGTTTGCCAGGCGTACGTCGAAAAGAGCTTCGCCCTCTAGGTCCGTTTCGGTTTCAGTCAGCCTGGGAATGTCGTCCGGCTCACAGCGAGACGATATGAAGGTTCGCGCCGCACGAGATGGGATAGGAAGTCCGCGGAGCTGAAAGGCGCTGCTGATGCAGCTCATGTCGACAAGCATGCCTCATCTGACACGAGTTGGCCCGCACAGGCGGGATACTCGTGTGGCCTGGGGGATTGTCGAATGATGTGAACGCAGCAAACGGATCAGCGTGCCAAAGTGATGAACGGAATGAGAGGACTGTCTAGTGCGTCTGAAAAGATCCCGCTGAGGGTAGCCGATATTGATTGAGGCAGTGAGCCTGCTTGAGAGAAAGGAAAGGTGCGCCATTCAAACAATCGTCAGGTCCATATCTACTTCGATCAGAAAGTAGATTGGGTGGCAGTCGCAGAAAAGCACGCAACGTGACCCGTCCAAACACGACCAGTCCACACATGGCCAGTCCAAATACGACAAGCGGGCAACTGACGTCGACCTCTTCTTTCCTTCGACCGTATCTCATGCGAAACCACGGAGACAGTTCGTCCCAGCACCAGAAGTAGAACGGAAAACTTGGAAGGCGAAGTCGTCAAGACTTTGTTGATGTTAGACCAGCAGGCCGAAGTCTCGAAGGCGGACAAGGAAGGAGGAAGGCCGGCCATGCTGTCTAATAGGCAGTACTTTGATTGATGAGCTGCTCACAGGCCGAGGCAAGCGATCCCATGCACAGCATTTCCACCATCGTCAACTTTTCAGAGAATCCCATCTTCTTCTATCATTCTCAAAACATCACCCAATTCTACCAAACTTTCCCAGCATTTGTCTTCGAGCTTGCCGCGATCGTCAAGTACATCACCTTCCACCTTCCAGCCATCGCTGGGCAGCACCTGCTCTGCAAAGCCAAGGATCGCGGCGGTGCCCTCTGAGCCTGCGGATGGCTGTTCGAATGTGATCCAGTCGTCGGAGTATGCCACGCCCGCATATGGCTTCACAAATGCGAGCCATTGGTCAAGGCTTGCTATGTACGATTCGATCTCGTGGGACAGGTCCTCCGCCAGCTCGACGTTTGCGAAGTGCTGAGACTGGATTTGGATGATCTTCCAGGCTGACAGTTGGTTGAGTGACCATTGCGAGTACCAGCGTGCGAGGAAAAGTGCATGCTCCGCATCGCGGCCAGTGTTCTCCAAATTCCAGTGAAAGCGTTCGATGAGGTTTTGCTCAATTGGATACATGGTCTTGATGGCGGAAAGAATCCGAGCAATAGCGAAGCTTTTTTGCTGGTCTGGCGACATTCCCAGAATAGAGGACGAGAGCTTGCCGATTGCAGCAGCGACGAGATCGGCGACAGAATCTGGAAGCCAGCTCATGTCGGAGGTGCTGTCCAGTACAGCAGAGATTGCGGCGCCTACATCCTGCGTCAAGGCCCCAAGCTGCTTCTTGTACTCTTCCGAGAGCCTCCAGGAATCGGCAAAGTTCATGAAAGGTGCGTTGGTGAGAAGTCTCTCTACAGCGACCGTATTGGTTATGAAGCCCATAAGCAATGTTGAAGAGGCCTCGTCAGCTACGGGGAGAGCGTCGTGGATGCGTTGGGCATATGACAGGTTCGCTATGCTGGTCGGAGGGTGATAGAAGCCGGGTGACTCGCGCGCAAAGTACTCATACGATGATGACACGCGCATCGAAGCACATGTCTTCAGCAGCGACAGAGGAGTTTCGACAGGGCGCCAAACGTGCGGAAGCTGGACTGCTGAAAGGCAAGCGAACGGCGAAGCACCCCAAACGTACATTGAGAGGATGAAGACTATCCAGACCAGGATCGCTGGAGTGCTGTTCGCGGCTTCTTCGGCGCGGGTTCTTGGCATGGGCGCACGTTTCATGCTGTTGGATGTAGTTGGAGCTTTCGCATTGTGCTCAGGCTCGGGCACGATGCCGGCATTGTCGATTATGATAGTCCTCGCCTTCCTCGCCGGCGCCTGCACCGGAACCAGCTTCTCCTTTGTCTTGAACGTTTGCGCTTTCGCCCGTGAAGCAGTGCCTTGCATGGTCTCGGCGGAAGTGGCAAGGGCGTTCGCGTTATGCTTGGACTTGCGCGCAACATCATGATGCTCGATCTTTGTAGCCATCTCCTTCATAGCAGAGAGTCGCGCAGACATGGTAGTGCCCTCGTCCTCCTCATCCTCATTCTCAGCCCGTGCGGTTGGTGTGGTTGGAGGTGTGAGCGGACGCACATAGTCATGGTCGGCAGCGTAGGTGTCGGCAGCGTATGGAGGGTGCTTAGGTACATTCTCATCCGGCCCCCAGAGCCACGGACGCCTCGAAATGGTCAGGTCGGTAAAGGCATCGAGATCGAGCGTTGCTGGCGGCGAGCAGGAAGACCGGCGGGAAGGGGAGGGAGATGTGGATAGTCCTGGTTCTCGGATTGAAGATCCGAACCCGAACTCCGACTCCGACGCTGACTCCTCGCGTCTCCTCCGAGCCTGCGCCTTTGCCTTGTTCATCTTCACTCATACAACAACAACCGGCCTGCCAACCACAAAGATCAGTCTCCAGTACGCAGACGTGGTGTGTATGGGCCTTGCCAAGATAGTAAGATGATTGTCGGCAGCAACGCTTTGTCTGTGGACGGACAACGAATATATCATGCAACTTTCATCGCCCATCGATCAACTCTTGTCGCCCATCGCCCACCCATGGACTTGTATCGCACATCGTCCACCGATGAGCTTGTACCGCCCATCGTCTCTCGACGAACTTGGGTCGCCAATTGATGAGCTTTCGCGATTGCATTGTGTGCCTACATAAGTATGAATTCCCTCTCACCATGAATCTCCCTTTCGCCGCTACGCATCATTTCGCCTCACACTGTCCTTCTATCCCAACCACTTCTCCACCAAGCAACCTCCATCACAACTTGACCAAGCGGCATCGAGACCATCACATTGGCACCTTACGACCTCCGTACGAGAATGGCCTCTCCCTTGGCCGATCCATCACAACTTCCATTCATTCTCGGCCGGCTCCAAGCAGCGCAGATCCCTTCAGCCCATCACATCGAGCCCGAGACTCTCGCATCCCTATATGCCGAATATGGTCGCAAAACCAATCATCAAAACTTGCAAGCCAGCATGACCGAGTTCTGGAAACTGCTCAAGGACAATGGCCCTGCACACCACATCACCGGCGTCGTACATCGCATGGGTCTTCCCGCTTACATCGAGGACGCCATCTATCGGTATGAGAAAGATTATGAGAAGGACTGGTCGTCTTCGTCCTCCTCTTCAGGAACATCGTCATCATCAGATAGATTTGGGAGGTGTTCTTCTAGGTCATCTTGCGAGAACAGCCCTGGAAAGAACGCGCACGCAGGCCCAGGAACAGGTCAGAACGACGCCGAACATTTATTTGCCCAACTCAATGAGCTGTACATAGAGAACGAGTCGCTCAAAACCCAACTCCGGAATCTGGAATCCAGGAATAAAGCCCTCCACAAGCAAGATATCAAACAGACTCGAACTCTGGCATCGTTGACCGAGAAACGAAACGCCGACAAGCATACCATCACAACGTTGCGATCTGCACTTGATGGCAAGAAGAAGGCGCTGGAAGTCGGAGCTACGAAGCTGGACAAGCGGGATCGAGAGGTCTTAAGTTTGAGAGAAGAATTGGCGATAGTCAAAAGAGAAGGGAGGGAAAAGCAAAAGCAAAAGAAACTGGAGCAGGAGCAGGAGGCATCACTCAAGCAAGATCCATATCGCACAGCAGAACGAGCTCAAAGAAAGCTAGATCGCCGCGCCCGGAAGGCCTGTAGCTACAAAATCCTCGGAACCATGGGCGATCGCATCATCGATGCCATCCAGGAAGCTCGCCACATGGACTTTGCGGAAGCTGTGAGAGGTTTGGAGGGTGCGATAGAGGCTGTTGTTCAAGGCGTGGTGGAGGCCTCAGGGAAGATAGGCGCCATCGAGGGACGGAAGTGAGTGCTTCGGATCAAATGGGAGCGGAAGATAGTCTTGGATAACCAGGATGATCGTGTCGAATGCCTGCCTTGGACCAGAATAGTCAGTCACATCTGACATGCGATGGTCAGCTACAAAGATAGGAAAACATTTCAAATGCTAGGATTCGTACTCACTGGTGATGAATTTTGTCTGACTCCAATGTGTGGTGATAAATTCTGGTTGACTCCAATGTGCCGCCCATGAAAGTCGAGAAGTTCATCTCCGTAGCTATTTGGATGTGTTAGTCAGCGACTTGCAGGTGGGGGCGGAAACTCACGAAATCCAGCTCCCAACAGCTGCCACGACACCCACCCACCCAAGACAAGCCAGCGCATACCATGACCAAACCCACACCAGCACCACAGCCACAACGATGATTCCCGAGACGCCGATGCCCACGCCAAAAGCAGCAGCCATCAAGCGCAGAAGCGTCGCATCTCGGCCGCTGTTCGATTTCGATTTCGCTTTGGCCACGGCCGCGCACCACTCATCGTATCTCTGACTGATCTTCTGCACCATGTACATCCACCATGCGCCCACCGCGATTCCGATCACCAAGACGATGGCCAAGAGCACGAGAGGCCTGTCCTTGATGAGGCAGTAGATGGCGCTGGAGAGGACACCCACGATGAGGATGTTGCGAAATGCGCGCATTGTGCAGGAGTCTTGATGGTGTGGAGAGAGCGCCCAGACAGGGCTTGCAACGAGCTGAATGGATTGGACAAGTGAGAGTGTAGGTTGGAGGTGAGCATGGCCATATCTCATGAGTTTCGAGAAGGCTCGTTTGCATGTGCATGCATGCTCGCACGCAGCTATCCGCTCACTCCCCATCGGCCGCCGCCCACCGTCCATCACCCATCACCCGCCGCCCGCATGGTCTTCAGGCTGTCTTTGGGGATGACCTGAATGGGCGCAGGCCAAAACTTCTCTCTGCCACGAGTGAGCGCAAATCGGTTTCACTCTAAACCCCGGTCGGTGCAATTTTCTGGTAGGCAGAACATGTTTCTGAGGTAGGAGATGTATCGGTCGCTAGGCGTGAGACGTCGGCGCTTTCTTTCTTCTTGTCTCACCTGGTCTCTTCTGACCCCGACTTGTCTCAACGTGCTTGGAGCCTTCCATACAAAAGCAACGTCCTCTTCCTTTTCCCACGCCATGTCATGATCTTCATACCTACACACATCTTCAGCTTTGTTGACACTCTCTTCGTGCTAGAGTCTCTACTTCACGCCAAACAACAACAACACTTTCCACTCTGCATCTTCGACAAAATGCCCAACTCCTTCGCAGACCTGTTCGAGCATTCCAACATGTTCCCCGACCCACTGATGGACAACGTCTCACGAGCAAGCTTCCTCGATCACATGTGGACCTTTCATCTCATCGACCAGGCCTACCAAAAGTACAGCAACCGCCCAGATGCTTCTTCCAGCTTCAGCTTCCCCCAACTTGCCCAGATCACAGCATACATCGACCTCAAGCAGAAGATCCCCAAGGGGACGAACGACTGGGCAGACCAGCTTCGCCGCCGCTTTCCAAGACCCACCGTCAAGCTGGATCTCGCCCAACAACATCACCAAAAGCGCCTTGCTCAAACTCAAGATGCCACCCTGCGAAAAAAGAGCTCTGCGGCGATCAAGACCATGTACGAGACCTTTCTCCGAGATTGCTACGATTCGGATTTCTCTGTGAGTGCTTGCTTTCAAAATTTCCGCAATGCATGGGAGCTTGGGTTGGCGGAGGAGCAAATGGTCAAGGATTGGCTTGGTGGGAGGCTTTTTGGGGACCGACTACCTGATCCTGATCCTCAACCGTCTTCCACGGGACTTCGAAGGAAGTCGTATTCTGACTTTTCTTGGGATCTTCCTCCGTGGTCACGGACTTCGGCGAGAAGGACGTAATTCTTCCAATCAATCACGATTTGTTACATTTTTGTTTTCCCTTTCTTTCCCCGTGAGAGTGCAATCGAGAGAGGCTCAGAACTGAAGACGGAGATTGTAGGCGAACACATAATTTCGGAGACGGGTCCGTCGGTGATTCCTGAGGATTTCCGCCAAGACAGGGTCGAACTTCCAAACACCTCATGCACGCAGTCTGCCACCGACCTGCCTACTTTACATGAGAAAAGTCGAGCCTCGCGCAGAAAGACAGCGTTGCGATCAATTCTGCTGCTGAAATCGCCTCTACATCTACCGAGGCAAAGAAGTCCAGTGTTCACACCAGCCTTTCAGGGCACGAATGAATTTACGGACCTGCATGCGGGATCAAAGGACTCACGAGTTCACCCAGAGCGCAGCCCATCCCACTCGCATTTGTCGATAAAGTCATGCTTACTATGCGAAGTGAGGACTTCTTCGGATGCCCGAACGTATCAACCTGAAGCACGACTTCTCATTGAGGACTTCTTCGGATACCCACATCATACGAACGTGTCGGAGCACCGACCTGCAGCACGAAGTATCATTGAGGTCGATCATGACCACTGATCGGCCAGCGACGAGCTTCACTGCAGCTGATCGCATTCAAGTCGAAGTTTCAACTATGGCGACGACTTATTCGGATGCCTACATCATGCGAATGCGTCGGACGTACCGACCTGCAGCACCCAATATCGTCTAAAGTCGACACTAGTCGCTCGTCGGCGAGCGATCAAGCTTACTGTAGCCAAAAGCATTCAAGTCGAACTATGGCCATCACTCATTCATGGCCTATAAATCCTTCTCCGTTTCCATCCCTCTACTTCAGTTGCTATCCTGAGACAGAATCACAACACCAGTTAGCCGAGAGCCCACCATGCATCGATACCAGGTAGCACTGATCTACACCAAGGCATTCGGCTTCAGCGATGGCAACAACTGCATCTTCAAGCCCCAGTTCAAGATCCGAGGATCTGCAACAGAGGCCAATGATGTGTGTCAACGCAAGCAAAGCAAGCACAACACAGGCAACGCCAGAGCATGGCAGCAAGTCGAGGACAGTTGCTGGGCCATCTATCTCGCTACGCAAAGTGGAGACGTAAAAGACATTCAGCAGAAGATCCTCAAGCTTGCCACGCTCCTCGCTTGTGGCGTTCACAAGAAGGCGACTCAGAGAGTCAAGCGAGACATGGAATATCACATTGGCGACGTCTTGGTCCCACGCGTGATGGAAGCAACTCGAGCCCTGACCGCCGCCTCTGACTCCGGACCTGGCACTGCTCCTCTTCCAGTACAGCCTTCCGGCCTTGAGGATCAACCAGCTGTCGGTGATAGGGACTGGCAGATGTTTGGAGTTGCAGTTTCTCGCGAGGAAATTGATCCAATTGAAGTGTCATCCAACGAGCCCGCAGTCAATTTCGGTGCTGAAGCAGCCTCGATGGACCAGGAGGAGTTACCACTAGCCGATTTAATCAATAATATCGACTGGCAGGCGTTCGAGGCTGCAATGGCTCGCAATGAAATTGATTGGATTGAGCCGGCCCACGATGTGCCGGCCCCCGAGGGACGCAATACTGATTCTGGAGGAGCCTCGATGGACCAGGACGAGTTGCCATTGCCTGTCCACATCAGTGAAGAGGACTGGCAGAGGTTTGAGGCTGCAGTTGCTGGCATGAACAATGACCCGCTTAAGGCAGCCTCCGATGCTCCAGTGGGTGATGGAGTCAATGATGGCTTTGGTGAAGCCTCGATGTCCAAGGAGATGCCACTGGCTGATCTCATCAGTGATGAGGACTGGGAGATGTTTGAGGCTGCAGTTGCTGGCATGAACAATGATCCGGTTAAGGCAGCCTCCGACGCTCCAGTGGGCGATGGAGTCAATGATGGCGCTGATGAAGCCTCGATGTCCAAGGAGATGCCACTGGCTGATCTCATCAGTGATGAGGACTGGGAGATGTTTGAGGCTGCAGTTGCTAGCATGGAGAATGATTCGGTTCAAGTGGCATCTAGCGTGCCGGCAGTCAATGGAGTTGACACTGGTGTCGGAGGAGCCTCAATGCCCCAGAACGAGCTGCCAGTGCCTGATCTTATCAGTGACCAGGACTCGCTGATGTTTGAAGGCGCAGTGGCTCAAAAGGAGAATGATCCGGTGGAAGCGGCGTCCAGCGTGCCGGCAGGCAATGGACCTGACACTGGTGTTGGAGGAGCCTCGATACACAACGTCGAGTGGCCACAGGACGATTCAATTTGGTGTAAGCCTGACGACTTCGGAGATCCCGGTTCGTGGGACATGCCATTTTCAGTCGATCCCAACTGGTTCAAGGATCCCAGCGACCCTGAGTGGGCCGGCCATTTCATCTTAGACGGTTCCTACACGGATCCCGGTCAATATGTTGATCCTGCCTTGCTGACATCTTCGTCGACTGAGATGCCGAAGACTCAGTCGCCAGCATCGTCTCCAGAGGACAACAACTGAAGAAGGAAACCGAAACCACCACTACTCTACCAACACTTATACGAATTACAGGCGCACCGTCTTACGATTTTGTCACGACACAAGAGACAGCATTCTTCACGAGCATCAAAAGCTGCGAAAGCGATACAAATTGGGCCTTTGTATAAGCAAATGCCGGATCATGTACTAAATATATATTATAAACGAAACGATACTATAACTCTAGCAAATGCGATATGAATTGAGCCTTTACGTAAGCAAATGCTAGATAATATATATATTGAATATATATTAGAAATAAAACTATACTATAACTCTATAGATAATATCTCTCTCCTCTTCTATTCTCGTAGCGTTACTTACTTAAGACTTGCTATAGAATCTAACTATACTAGGTAGGTAGAGCTGTAACTTCTCTCTTTAACGTAACTTTAACTCCTAATTAAGTACCTATTTAGCGAGACAGATAAAGAAAGAAAAAACAAAAGCTTTATAGCTCGCTTTATTTATTTTAAGACGCTAGGAGATTCTCGTATAAGAATAAGTAAGCTATTACCCTAGACTACTTATACTTCTCCTTCTCCTTCTCTATAAAGTTCTCGAGTAACTACTTCGTCTTTTAACGACTACTGTTACTCGAAAATACTCGTATATTAGGCTTAGGCGTAATCCTAAGTTATCTACTATAGCGGTCGATCCTAGCGATTAGATATCGTTATTATTATCTAAGACGGAGTAGTCGTTATTCTAGGCTAGTATCTATCTAAGCCTATATTATTAAGATCTATACCTAGGTTTTTAGGACTAGGGGACGAGGTATTACTATCGTCCGCGTTCTTATAGGTACTATAGCCGAATTTATTTTGTCTCCTAAGCCTAGTTAGTATAATTATTACAATTTAGAGGACCTTAAGATTAAGTAAGTAGTTAAGAATATCGACGGCCTTCGTTTTTATATAGAATAGTAGGCTTCTAAGGTCTAGAACGTAGTAGGGATACCGGGATTAAAAGACTTCGGAGCTATAATCCTAATCTAATAATAGACTTATAGGCAGTACTTTATATAGATACCGGTAACCGTAAAGGTAGAGGTAGAGGATATAGCGAGTTTTATAGTAGCGAGCGTAGCCGTAGAGGATATAGCCGTAGTAGTAGTAACTCTAGAGGAGGCGCTCTTAGTAACCGCGGCGCTCTATAGCTAGGCTCGCCGTAGAAGTATAAAAGTTCGTTTACTACGTTTCTAAGGATACTTTATTTAAGTCTCCGGCGCCCTATCTTAAGACTATATAAGGATATTAGCGATGCCTACCTTTATATTCTAATATACGTTTTGTTATTATATAGACAATCTACCTTTACGGAATATAGCGGTCCGCGTCCTATATCCGTAGCGGGCTTAGATTAAAACTATACGGAGCTAGGTAAAATTTCTACTAGTTAGGGCGCGGAATATAGGAATCGCCATTCTTATCTAAGCCGTTTCTATCGTATTTTAGCTATTTATATATAGTTTCTTCTCCTAAGAAAGCACTCGTTAAGGAATATAAATTAATATATAATAAATAGTAGTAGTCCTAGATAATATAATTATCTAGGCCTGCCCGGTAGTACTATTTTAAATTACGGTCTAAATAGTACGTATTCTTATCGTTGCGATACGGAGTAGCCTTCTATATAGCTAAGCGTATTCGGCTCTTAGATTACATTCGATTTTCCTTAACTAGGGCTATTATCTAAGGAATAAAAAATAGTAATAAGTATATATAAAGTATTTATCTAGGTTACTACGGTAGGGGATCTTCGAATTACGGTCTAGGTATTACGGATTTTTTCTTCGAAAAAAATTTAGGGCACTTTATCTATATATACTTACTTAATCCCGATAGAAACAAATTAGACTAGCAATAAAGGGTATTATATAGTTTATACGGGAGTTTATATTATTAGTATAGGGTTTTAGAAAAGTCTACTACGGAATACTTTATATATATAAATACTCTTTATTACTAGTCTAAGTAGAGATAGTCCGGCGCCTAGGTCCTAATTAGATAATAGGCTTGTATATAGTGCTTTATACTTCGTAATCTATAAAAGTTTATTCGACTAAGATTTAATATATTTATCTCGACCTCTAGAGATAAGATTCTCTAGTGCCTTAGTATAGTAATAGTACTTATCCGATAGTAGGCTTATAGATAGCGAGTAGCTTATACTTTCTAAAGTATAAGAAATATAAAAGTTCCTTCGTTATATTTTTAAGAATACCGGAGTTAAAAGTCTCTAGTATCTTAGCCTAGATCGGATAATAGGCCTATAGGAAGTACTCTATACGATCTAAAGTATAAGAAGTATAAAAGTTCCTTTCTTGCGTCTTTAAGAGACTAGAGTTAAACGTCTTAAGCGCCTTTATTCTAACCCGATAATAGGCTTATAGGGTATACTACTACCTCTATCTAGGCGTCCCGCTTTTTAAGCTTATATATATCTCCTACCTTCTATCTTTTGCCTTCTACCTTTTACCTTCTACCTTTTACCTTCTATACTATTCTATATATAGTTGTTTCTATTCTCGATCGTTCTTATCTTATCTTCCGCTAAGTATACTAAAATCTATTTAGTTAGCGGTCTATACTAAGCCTATACTAAAGCGCCTAAGACTAAATCGTTTAACCCTTATATAACCTACCGTATTAGAGTTAAACAATCCTATATAGTATACTAGTTTAACGCTAGATATCGATAAACCTCGAAAAAAGGTCCTATCTAATATAGTATCGTTTAAGCCTTATAGTACTTATCCTAGTCGAGCGGAGCGACGGTATAGGGCTCGAGAATAATATATAGTACTACCTTTACTATAGAAAGTAACGTAAAAGTATAGCCTAAGGTTTAGGTACGTAACTGCGACCTAAATTATTAGCTAATTATAGTGCGCGCTTAATTTTAGGGGCATATCTTTACAATCTAGCCCCTATATAGTATATAGTATATATTACTACTACCTCTTTGCTAACTACTAACTAATAATACGTTATTAGTAGTAATCTAATTTAGTCTCGACCTCTACGCTAGACTAAATACTCGGAGTAAGTCTACTAGCTATTTCTAGGTAGGTCTATCGTATTTAAAAGTTAGCCTTACTATCGCTAGTATACTAGGCTTCGTTACTAAACGCTAACTTTAGAATACTTATTTTGCTACAATAATATTAAAGAACCGCGCTTTTACTATACTCGTCGTTATAATATCCCTTTATATAATACTATCTTTAACTATATCGCGCTTCTATAAGCTCGCCGCCGCTACCGCCGCCGCTAGGACTCGAGTCGGTTTTGCTATCTGCTAGTATACCGCTTAAGAAGCTTAGTAACAAGTAGTAAGATGCTATTAATACGCAGAAGAAGAAAGATAGGAATACGAAGCGCGTATCTAAACGCGCTTATACTAATAGCTAATAATAATAATTCCTACCCGAGCTACTAGATCGCGCCGCGGTTAGTTAAGAGCGTCTAGATTTTAGCTATTTACTAGAAATCTAGTAGCTAGCGAATAAGACCGAATAGAAAGCCTTCTTTTAGAGTAGATACCGCTAGATTAATGCCGATAATCTACTAAGCCTTAAAGAGGTCCGCCGGCTTATATACGATATAGTAGATTATATATAAGCCGTATAAGTATAAAGTAGCGTCTACTTAGAAGGTCTACGTAAGATTCTTAGGCTACTTTATCTAGGAAAGGGATTTATGCCGAGGCCTATCTAGGTTAATTAAGTCTATACTATTATTTTTAGCGGTAACGATCTACTATAGATCTCTAAAATAGGCGAAGGTAAGACGCTAATATTCCTCGCCTTTACGCTACTAATAGGTATATTACTATTACTATTGCTATTGCTATTACTATTACTATTGCTATTGCTATTACAATTGCTATTACTCTTGCTATTACTCTTACTCTTACTCTTACTATTACTCTTACTATTACTCTTACTATTACTCTTGCTATTACTCTTGCTATTACTATTACTATTACTATTACTATTACTATTACTATTACTATTACTATTGCTATTGCTATTACTCGTACTATTACTATTGCTATTACTATTACTATTACTATTAGTATTAGTATTACTACTACTACTAACTCTTACTTGCCTAGGTCTAATTACCCTTTAGTTTATACTACTTAATCGTCGCGGCGAGGAGTAGGCTAAGAGTATTATAAATATCGCAAAGGAGCTAGACGTCCTACTAAATACTATTAATATTACCTCTAAGACGAGGAGTATTAATCCTAATCTCTTTAAGTATATACTCGAGGGCAAATACTACTCGATTATACTAAGTCTAGAGATAGGTACGAGTCCGGAGTTCTATAAGCTCCTTCGAGATCTAAAGGTCCGCGTACGTATCGGTCTAGTAGTTATTAATAAGATATACTTAGTAAATAAGTAGCGCGACTTTCGTAAGGAGGATACTTAGATCTATAGACTACGTAAGCTCCTCTATACCGATATAGTTAAGCTTAGCTATTCTACTACTATATCCGAGGAGACCGAAGAGTTTATACTTAAGTATAGCGGCTTTCGAGAGGTAGGTAACGAGCTATACTAGATAAAGATCCTCCGGAGTAGTATCGTCCTTATACTATATATATCCTACGTACTATCCTAAAACGCTAGCTTAGCTCGTATAATTACCTCTACTTTACCGCTAATAGCGCCTTTAATAGTAAGACTAAGGAAGCAATATCCGAGAGGATTAAAAAGGCGCTTTTATTTATCGATAGTTAGAAGTATATCTAAGATCTAACTAATATTATCCGCTACTAGTTTACTACTACTACCGCTAATTACTAAGATCTAAAGAATAGATATACCTAGGATATTAAGGATATTAATATTTATACTACTATACTACTAGTATCGCTAAGCGTAACTAGAAGCGTCGATATAATTAGTACTATAAGACAGCCGACTATCTAGAAGTATCTTCGAAGTATCGTATTATAATCGCTATAATTATATTTAGTATCGGCTTAAATATTCTAGATATCGAGATTATCGCGTAGGTTAACTTCCCTATTATATATAGTATTAAGGTATAGTATAGCGCCTTAGTCGTATTAGCCGTACTATTACTAGTAGTCTAGCTTTTATCTTCCTCCTATAGTATATCGAGGATAGTATAAAGAAAGTTCGTCCTAGTACCGACTTAATAGCTATTAATATTCCTCGTCGTAATCGTCGTAACTCGTATACGCTATTTCGCCTATCTAGACTCCGCTAATCTAGGCTACCGGGCGAGGATACTAGTATAGCTAGTACGTAATAAGTCGCTAATACGGTTAATAGTAATAATAAGGCAGAGAATCCTATATACTAGACTAACTCGGAAATCGCTATATAAGAGAAGATTCCTCGTATCTAGATCGAGGTCTAGAACGATTACTACCGAGAGTAGTATAGTATATATCCTCGTAAAGTTATTCTCCGGTATCTTAGTAAGGGTAAGGCACTATATATCTAAGACCTGCCTAAAAATAAGGCCTACTATAATATCTATAATCCGGAACCTAACCTTAGATATATAAATCTAATTCTAGAAGCCGCGAAACCTCCGATATTTAAAGTACTAAAGTCTAATACCCGACTAGGTACTATATTTAAGATACTTTAGGCGTAGATCTCTACTAAAGTTAGTAACGACCGGTATCCTAGCTAGGAAGATAGGACTATATTTAAGTTCCTTTGTTCTTATATCGTTAGTAGTCGTATACTATATAGTATTACTAATATCTTTACCGCGACTAACTTAGTATATAGTTAGAATACTATAAAGGGTATTAATATTAATAAAGATCTTATTTAGAAGAAGGTATCCGAGTATAAGGAGTAGTACTATTCTATCGATAATAGATAGCGGCCTTTTAGATTATATAAACCCCGTAGTAGTTCGGTTTCCGAACTACGAAACGTATATAGTTTAGTTTCTTAGCGGCAGGCTACTAGTTTAGTTCTAGTTTAGTTTACTATCTCGTATAGTCTAAACTAGTTTCCGAGAAAATCTAACTAAACTACTACGATATACGACAACCTTAAATCGAGTCCGGAGCACGATAGGGGCCCTATATAGAGTATATTATATATACTATACGATTTTATCTATATTTCAGACTACTTAGACGTAATTTAGGTCGAGCTTTTGTTTATAGCCGGTACGTAGCCGGCAAACCGATCCGTATACCGGTTTCTTAGTAAACTAAACTAAACTAAACTAAACTAGAATTTTAGCTTAGCAAACTAAACTAAACTAGCCCGAACTACTACGCGGTCTAAGATTATATAAGTTCCTAAGTAAACCTAAGCGTATTAGTCCGGAGGTTTTTAGATAGTAGTATAAGGATATCGATATAAAGAAGAAGCGTATAGAGGACTAAAAGAAAGCTATAGAAACCTCCGTTATAATAGTAGAAGTAGAAGCCTAATCTACCTAGGATACTTTATTATAGGGCATCGCTACTACGACGAGATCCATAATACTAACGTCGCTACCGCCTACTAATATTTAGCTATAAGCGTAACCTAGTATCCTACGGAATAGTCTTACTTAGTCCGGTTATATATAGGCCGATCGTCTTCTTAGTTATAATAGCTAGGCGATAGACGTACGTTCTATAGCTAGTAAAGGTTAAAGTTAAGGTACTCTTAGTAGTCTTAGAGATAGATAATTAGAATCTACTATAGGATCTTCTAGTAACGCTAGAGGTAACGCTAGAGGTAACGTTAATATAGTTATATAGGATACTACTAGCTATCGCGATAGGCGTATTCCTTTTAGTACTCTAGGAGGTTAACGTAATATACCTTATATTAATCCCTAGATTAAGGCTAACTATAAGCAATCTAAGTAGTTACTACGTACTATATCTCGTACTATAGAAGAGACTAGAGGTAGGGTACTCCGCCGTAAGCGTAGGCTATTAGAGGCTAGTTAGCGTATACTAGGTAGCTCTCTAGATAGGCATTAATCGTTAATCGGATATAGGAGAGCAGAAGAGACTACTTAGAGATTAATAGCTCGCTAGAAGGAATAATATACTAGAATTATAGACGAGGGCTAGGCTAAGAATAGTTTCTACTTCTTTAACTAAACCGTTCTCGCTATAATCTCTAGTTTTAGTCGTATTTACGCTACCGATAGGTTTGCCTTCGTAGTTAAGTATATTACTATACACTTTAGCCCGATCTTCTTAAAGGCCTCTTCCTCGTAAATTATCTTAAGTATATTACTATTATCCTAGTTAAATAATAGTTATTACGTCTCTATAATAGCGAGGACTAGCTAGTATAGCTTCTAGTACTAGTATAGCTTTTAGTACTAGCTAGTATATAGCCTTAGATACTAAACTAGTAGGCCGCGGCTATTGCCTTTAAAGTATAGTATTACGGGTAAGTAACGCGTACGTAGATACTAGATATAAGACTTAATAGATTCGATAAAGAGCTAAGTCTATCTACGTAAATCCGAATAGTTTTGTACGGTACGCTAAGCGCTAAGTAGTAGGTTAGAATTGCGTAGGCTAAATGCCTAAGGGCAGTACCTTCTACCTAGGGCGTAGCCCTTTATATTATCCCTACCCTCCTCCTCCTCCTTCGTAGTAATAGAACGCCCCTCGTAATTTCTAGCGCTATTACTTTAGATATTAGATCGGCACTTATCTAAGCTTTCTAAAGTAACGCGCTCGTAGTTTCCTTCCGCGCGGCTAGGATTTCCGCTACTTTCTAATTGGGGTTACCTTATCCTAGGTTTTAGGGACTATTACTTTCTTCTAGGCCGCGCTCTTTTACCTAATAACTGCCTTCTAAACGCCGTAACTTCTTTTTTAAACGCTTTACTTATAGTCGCGCCTTCCTTCGCTTTTACGACCTTTACTTCTATATCGCTTTCTAGGAGTTTTAATATTTTCCCCTTTTTCTTCTTTTTCTTTTTTTTCTTTATATATCCCTACTACTACTACTACTACTACTACTACTACTACTACTACTACTACTACTACTACTACTACTACTACTATTATAATAAGTTCCTATCCTATTCTTCCGCGATTTTCTTCGTAAAATTAACTATTACCGTAAGTCGTAACGAAAGAGCTTATTTCTAATTCCGCTTAGTATCTCCCGTTAAATACAAGTTCTACCGTAGGTAGCTATTAGTTCTAGTCGGACTATATTTAGTTAATATAGTTTCGAAGGTAAGCTTATATATCCTAATTTACGCATTCTAGACCTCCGTCGGTTTATAGATAGTAAGCGGAGCTTAGCCTCTACTTTATACTAAGGAGTCGATATATTTCTTTCTAATATCCTCGTTTAACTTATACCTCTATCGCTAGTAATCGCTCGGAGTAGTCTATAATACCTAATATAGTATTAGAATAAAACTACGTATTCCTCCGCTTTTATAGAGAGAGTACCGATTAGGGCAATCTACCTACTAAGGCGGTCCTTAATTACCTAGAGGTAGTAGTTTCCGTCGGATTCGGATAGGCTAGTTATAAAGTCTATTAAGATCTCCTAGAAGAAACGGTCGGGAACCGGTAGTAGTTTTAGGAGGCCGTATTTATATTCTCTCTAAACTTTATTATATCAGTAATAGTTATAGTTTCGTAGGGATTGTCGTACCTATTTTAACTATAGCGGCTAGTAAAAGTCGCGACCTAGTATAGAAGCGGTAGAATCCCGGCCTAAGTAGCCGTAAAGCGGTAAGTCGTAGATCGACTAGATAATCTTCGTATATAATATATCCTACTAGAGTTCTTCGGCTCCTATATCCTTATATTCGGCCTCCGTCGTAGCTAGTACTCCTAGAACCTAGAGCTTGCTATAGTAGCGGAGGAACCCCTTAGGGTCTATCGTATAGTCTCCGATCTAAATCTTCGCTTTAATTTCCGGCTATAATATCCTAGATTCCTCCCGGAAGTATCGTCTAGTATACCGTATCTTTCTTAACTATACTTTTCTATAGTTCGTTTATTTCTAGTACCTAGAATAGTTTAGCGCCCTCTAGCGGGGTTACGTAGGCTCTATCTCGTTCGCGAGTAGAAATAATAGGCTCGCTTTAGATACGCGTAGGAAGTTTCGAATTGTAGCGCTAGAGATTTATATGTTTTCCGGCTAATTTAGAAAGAGATCCGGTTCTAGAAGTCTTCGGAACCTTAAAAGCTTATCGTCTTAGCCTAACGTATCCTATTCTCTTCTCGATAAGATATCTAGAAGGATTACCTCGACTCCTAGCCGGTAGACTAGAATAAAATAGTATTTAGCTAGTTTTTCCTACTATCGGATCTATCTCTCGGATAGTTAGCGCTTTACTATAAAGTACTCTAGGTTCTTATAGTACGTCTAATTCGTAAAGGGACTATACGACTTTAGCTTAGAATCCTAAAACTTAATACTAGATATAACTACGAGTATTTCTTTATCGTAGATATCGTAGTTAATCTCGGCCTTATTTAGTTTCTTTAAAAAGAAGTCTACCGGTCGTCGGATCCCGGCCTTTTCTTAGATAAAAGCGCCTCTAATCGCGAACCCGCTATAATCCGTTTCGAGGAAGGTTAGAAGGAACGGGTCCTACTAGATAAGTACCGGAATACGTTAGAATTTGTCCTTTAGCGTCTCGAATGCCTTATTCTACTCCTTTCCCTAAAAGAATAGGAAACCCTTTCCGGTAAGCGCGGTTAATAGTACGGAGATCTTAGAGTAGTTCGGTACGAATATACGGTAGTAGTTCGTAAATCCTAAGAATCGACGAACTTCCTTCTAGGTTTTAGGTACTACCTACTTCTATACGGCTTCTACCTTTTCGGAGTCGGCTAATACGCCTTCTCCGTCGGCGTAGACGATAAACCCTAGATACTTAATCTTTTTCTAGGCGAACTCGCTCTTTTTAAATCTAGGTAAAGGCCTCTATCCTAAAGCTTCTTAAGAGCGGTCCTTACCTTATAGAAATAGTCTTCCCTCGTACCGCTCGAGTAGGTTACTATATCGTCTATATAGCCTAACGCGAAATCGTCTATAATACTCCTATAGAAGAATATTAATATACCGTTAAAATATTACCGGGGCTTCGGATAAACTAAAAGGGTATACTAGCTATTCGAGTAAACTAAGTCTAGTACGGAAGGCCGTTTTATACTCGTATCCTTTTACTATCCTTATCTTATAAAAGGCCGAGACTACGTTAATCTTAGTTAACTATCGGGCTTCCGTTAGGTTCCTTATAGTATCCGGGATTAGTAGAAGTAGATATCTATCGTATTTCGTAAGAGCGTTAAGCGCCCTATAGTCGTAGTAGAACCGGAGTCCTCCTTAGGTTTCTTAACGAATAGTACGGGCGCCGCCGCTTCGGAGTTCGTAGGGTTTATAAATCCCTTCTATAAGAGCTCGTCGAGTAACTTTCGTAAAACTAGGAGCTCTTATTTCGATATACTATAAAGCGGTCCCTAAGGAGGCTATAGCTAGGACCCGTCTAGTTTTTTACGGAGCTCTATTATATAAGCGATACTAGGACGGTAGGGCGCTAACTTATCGGCTTCTCTTTAATAAAATAGCGTAGCTATATCGCGAACCTTAGGGGATAGTTTCCTCTTTAGCTCCTTAATTATCGGGTATCCTTTTATCTTTAGGGCCTTTAGAACTACTACCGCTAGCTCTAGTACTAGAGAGAGCGTTACGAGTAAGGCTCCGTATATAACGACGATAAGCGCTTCTACTACTAGTAGTAATAATCGTACGAAGCGTCGATAGCGCCTAGAAAGTAAGTCTTATCTATAGCCGGTAGCGTAGCCGGTAGCGTAGTAGGCATTCTTACTTTTTTTTACTAATCCTTCTTTAGCTATAGCCCTTCGAGAGATTCGGAGGTATTAGAGTAATAGTAAACCCCTAATCCGTAAAGCTCCTTTATAATAACTTATTCGCGAAATTGCCTAGTATATTATACTAGACTATCGCTTGTAAGTATCCGTAATAGAGGCCCTTTTAGAGGCTTTAGAAGCCTACCTAGTTTGTATCTTCGAATATATATTTCTCTTCTACCTCTTTTCGAACTATACTAATATTATTTTAGCGGTTAACCTTATTAGCTATCTACGCGAAGCGTATTACGATTACAGATAAGGATTTCAAAGCCCTTAATTAGATTCTTAAAGGCTAGAATATCTATATTTAAGATAGTAGTAGGTAGGATAGATATTCTAGTAGGAAGGATATTCTTAGTATTATCTATAAGCGTTTCTATATACGAAATATACCGCTATTATACCGCGCTATATACCGCGCTCTAAATACTCTCTAAGTATATATATATATATAATATAGTATGCTTTATTAGCCGTATAGAATAGAAGTCTTTAAGAATCCCGTTAGTACTAAGGAGTAAAAATGCCGGGTACGCTATCGGCTACGCTACCGGCTACGCTGCTAGGTCTTATAAAGAACTAAAAGAAGATAGATATTTAAGCTAATTTGTATTAGTTTGGATTTTTATAAAAAGAAAATAGGGAAGAAGGAGGAAGTTTAAAGAACCTAATACTAATATTTATAGGAATTATCTCTATTTTCTAGACTATATTATATACCTACCTTCGTAACTCTACCTAATACTCCCTCTAAATATTATTTTCCTCTACCTACTAGAAATTTAACTAGGTACCTAGACCTATAGCTACCTCTATATCTTTTACTATCTTCTATAGATTAAAGGACTCCGCTATAGTAGCCTCTACCTCCTTATATAATACGAAGTTACTACCTACCCTACCCTTTTTATCTACTAAATAACTAAGAGTTCTAAGGAACGAACTAGTATTCGGCCTTAGTATAGCGAGTAACTAGTAGAACGTAGTATAGAGCTACTTAATTGCTCTTTTATAGACTATACTAATACCGAGGGAGGAGCTATCCTAGTACTTAATATTAGAGGATAGTTTAGAAGGAAAGTATTAGAACTTCTTAAGGAGGGCTTCGAGGGAAATCGATAAGTTCTACCTAGATCTAGATAAGGATATTCTACTAAGTAGTTAGGGGATTAATTAGCGAGCGAAAGGATAAAATTTATACCTAATAAGTACAGTTTCTAAACCGAACTATAATAGCTTATATATATATACTTTTAATTAATTAGTGCCCTTAGCTAGTTGTCTATAGATTTAGGGTAATATAAGTACCTTTCTATAACTAAGAAATGCCGGCTACGCTACCGGCTATACTCTCGTTTTTTTAAAGGGCTTACTTCGAGTTACGTATATATTCTTATACTTCTTAGAAACCGATAAATTCTATAGTTCGAACCTACTACTCCTATAGTTGCTTAGCAAACTAACCTAAACCAAACTAGATCTTCGGCTTAGCAAACTAAACTAGACTAACCCAAACTACTATAGGGTCTAATAAATAGGGATTATATTAAGACTAAGCATACGTAATAGACTAGTAACTAGGGCTAGCTTCCGAACCTACTAATAACTAATTATAAGCACTCTACCTAATTCTTCGTATACGAGCCTAAGAATAAGCTATACTAAGCTAGTAGGCTAAATATAGCTATTTGCCCTTTAAGGCTATAGCTTAATATCCTTACGATAATATCTAATATAAAGTAGCTAAGGTCTACTACGATATGTTTAGCTAGGTCCTCTAGGTCTATAATAGAATATAATATACCGTGTTATCGCGATCTAAGCCCTAAGAGCAAATCCTAAATAAATTACGATATAGGTCTTAGCGTCTACCCTTAAGGATAAGGCGATAGTAATAGCGTCGAGAACTAGGGACCTATATACTTCGAGGGCCGAGATATCGGTATATAGAAGGACCTCGAAGTATTGTAGGTTAAACGTTAGCGTAATATTATCCTTAAAGTCTAGGATTTATTATAGGTTTATCGGAGGACTAACCTTTTTATATAGTAAATATAGCCTAAAATTCTTATATTAGCGAGTACTTTATAAAAAGAGATATCTTTATCGTATTATTATATAGGATAGCTTTTTTAAGTTTGTCTATTAGTATCTAATATATAGTTATACTTATATAAATTCGAATTGTCGTTTATATACCGAACGACGATATAGGAGCCGTATAGTTTCCTTTTCTACGCTTCGCTATAGGCTTAGTATAGACCGCTAACGATATAGATTTTAGTATACTTAGCGGAAGATTATATAGGAACGATCGAGAATAGAAATAATTATATATAGAAGGTAGAAGATAGAAGGTAGAAGGTATATATAAGTCTATAAAGCGGGGCGCCTAAATAGAGGTAGCTAGTACCTTAATCCTAATCTAATAATAAGCGTTCGGGCAGTATTAGTAAGTATATAATTTTATTCGACTAGAATATAATATATTTACTTTCGACTTTAACTAAGGCTATAGTATAAATATAGTACGTACTAAATTAGGAGTTTAGTAGCAGTATAGGACTCCGCTATTATTATTCCCCTAACTATATAGCTAAGTCTTAGAAAATAGCTTAGAAATTGGTTATAAGTATTCCTTAACTTTGACTTCATCCCCTCGTCCTATAGTTCCTATAGAGCGATATGTGATTGCATAAGCAGCTTAAGTATAACAACTCACGGATTGGCTTATAAAGAGTCTCGCCTAGGATATGACATGCATAGAATGTTATGCTCCCCGAGTAGGAACTTTGGGCACTGAATCAGGCCTGCAACCTTAGTCCTAGGCCTAGACACTCATCCTCACGCTCACAAGAACCTTCTTTGCTTCTTCTGGCTTCTTGCTCGAAGTCTCAGTCCTGAGCTTCTGGCCTACGGGCTTCACTGCCTGGCCTTGCGAATGGACATCTTCCCTAGAGCGAGTGAGGCATAACTGCCTTCTGTTTCCGCTGTCGTGCTGTACCTCGTACTCAAGCCTTTCATTCCAACAGCCTCCACTTCAAGCATGTTATTCCCACCTTGTCGAGCGCTATGACGTGCGGGTTGGATTGAATCGAATTGGCGGAGTGCAAGAAGGCCTTAGCTCATGGCACAAAGAATCGGTCTTTCAGAGTATGACACAAAGGTATTGTTTGGAAGCAGTGAGAAGCGAACAGCATCGTCAATTCTCGTCTCGACGTGAAGTGCAGTCAGCAATCTTTGTTATGGTCGGGTAGGTCAGGGAACGAATCTCCGCCATGATATGACTGAATGCAAGCGGAAATGCGCCGACGATGGTCAGCAGCCGAATCAAACACCATCTGAGATCCGCAACCGCTGTCAAATCAAACCACCTTGATTGCGCATACTACGTAGTCTTACATTACAAGTAAACCGAAATTGTCTTTTGATTTCCATCACTCCTCATTCCACGCCTCGTGCACGAAGTTCCTTCGTTCCCATCGTCGCTCCCTGTCCTTCACCCAGTGCAAAGCATATGCCTCAGACGCCTCCAGCAGCCCCAGATGCGTGTTCTTCACCAGCTTGGGGTTGGCAATGCACCACACCTTCCCCCACATCAAGTCCAGGCCCAATTGAAGTGATTGAGTCTCAATCCTGTACGGATCGTTCGCTCGCATGTCTACCTTGCCCTCCAATTGTTGATCAAGCTCGTCACCCCAAATGTGATCGATGCCCAAGCAATGCTCTCCGTTCAGTGCAGGTTTGTACTTGCGGAAGTCAGAAGGTGCTCTGATGGGAAAGCCACCCCGTTCACGACCAGCCTCGGGCTTGCCGTGAAGCCGTGCGCTGCGCAAAATTGGATCGTGAGGTTCGAGAACATCCAGAGCGGTCGCTGTGCCATCGTAGGGCTGCCACCAGTAGGACCAAGCAGACGTGTTCGCAAAGCAGGTCCCGCATGCTTCGACCATCTTTCCGCTGATCTGGTGTTGATCGAGTGCCCACTGACGAGCAGCATAGAGTCCCGCCCGGTTGCCGATGTAGTGGAGCTTCTTCTTGTAGGCTTCCTTGATGACACTGGTGTCGACATCGGAACCAAGCTGATCTGACAGATAGCGGGTGAAAAATGCCATGGCATCAGCGATGTGCCAACACGTCAGCACGTTGAGTTCGACAAAGTGCGTCCATGAAGTGAGCAAGCGGAGGTAGTCGAGGTCGGGTCGCCATTCGTTCACGCAGTCCGTGTCAGTGTGGCAAGGAGACCAGGGCCCGCGGCCAAGTGCGATGCTTTGGTTGATATGTGCGACCCCATCGCCGATCGTGGTGCGCAACTCGGAGATGCCTGAAGACACAGCATCACGAAGGCGGACCATCCTGTCGAGATCTGCAGTGTCGCTCGCCCAGGCCATTGCAGCAAGAAGGGCTTCGCGTTCGTTCGGAGTGGCGCCGGAATGCGAGAGCCAAGAGTACAGGTTGAGTTGGTGCAGGTGAAGCTGAAAGACAGACTGGTCTTCATCGTTGGGCGTGGAGCTGTTGAATGATTCGGTGTACCGATTGAGAAGCTTGATCACTCCAAGTCCGACAAACTGGCTTGCTTCGGCTTTCACTTGATCTGCCAGCGCATTCGTTCTCCAGATAGGCGGTACTACCGAATTAGTACGCCCAAAACTGTTCAACGGCCAGCCAAGCGGCAGATCGCGCAGCCAATCTGGAGCGTAATCCGTGGCTCTGGAACTGAGCCAGAGGATCTGCGGATGAGCGGGTGCGGGCAAAGACAGCAGATCGAATGAGGTGCAAATCTGTGCGCAAGATGCGCTGGGGTTGTGGTGCCCATCCAGAGTGGCCCCATTTTGCTGTGCATGTATGGTCGGCGGGTTTTCGAGTGGGCCACTGGGGAATGGCCACAGACAGAGCAGGCCGAGCGCCACGAGAGCCAAGACCAGGAGCACAGCACGCTTGAAACTGTAGACAGGGCGAAAAGCGAAGTAGTAAAATGACTCGAGTGACTCGTACCAGGTTGGAGAGGGGGCCGGCCGCGCACGACGACAATAGTCGCGCATCGCGTCAGACTGAAGAAGCTGCTCCAAACGCTCATCTGGAGACAAAGGAGGTCTGGCATACATCCGCCTCATGGAGGCAGATCTCTTTGTAGCGAGAGGAGGCATATTGCGTATTGCGTGTTGCGGTTGATGTGATGTGATGTGGTGTGGTGTGGTGTTGGGAGAGGCATGATTTGGACAAGTGGAAGTCTTGATGCGCTGCTGCATTCCAACGCGACGGCACGCCAACACCGACGGATACGCCCATGGAGTTAGCCATCGTATGGATCTCGACAACGTACCTGATGTGTCTTGACGAGCACATTCTAGACTACGAAGCGCAACGAAGTCGTTGCCTCAGCTGAGGTGTGGTAGTGTTAAAGTTGTGCGGCGCCACAGCGCAACGGGAGTGTCAGAACCTACGCGGGAGCAGCCCGCACGGCCAAGGATGTCGGAGTCAAGCCCGAGTCCGAATCCGGCACCACCTCCGCATCACCGCCGCACCACCAGCACCACCAGCGCCAGCGCCAGCACAGCGCAACACAGCACAGCACAGCACAGCGCCTGCACACACCTGGGTCAGCGCCAGCCCAGCGCCAGCTCCAGCATAGACAGCACAGCACAGCGCCAGCACAGCATCACGGTCAGCGCCAGCATAGAGCATAGCGCCAGCACCAGCACCAGCACCAGCACCAGCGCCAGCGCCAGCGCCAGCGCCAGCGCGCTCCTCGACCAGCGCCACCTCACGCAAAGATTACCGCTACAGCTTCCCACCGATCAGACGAAACAGCCCAGCACTGGCTGGTCCGCTGGCGCTGGCGCTGGCGCTCCTCCCATATCCTCGAGCACAGCCAAATCTTCGCCGCGAGCGGGAAGGAAACGCGAGAAAGAGATGCAGCAGCAGAGAAATAGCAGAAGAGGTGCGCAGCGGAGGCTCCATCACCTCCATCCAAGATGCGCGTGTCCCTAGCGCTTTGGTCGAGAATGGCATACGTGAGCCGGGACAGGCTGGTGAGGGAGAAGCAGGTAAGCTGGACAATTTCGACGCCGTCATGCGAGGACATTCGTGGCTGCGCCTGTGCATGTACCTGTCCCGGTTCTTTGATAGCAAATGTACAGTGTATGTTCATGCGTATGATGCGTCTTTCCGCGTGACCGAGATGCCAACCTGTCGCCTGCTCAGAAATTCTCATGGCCGCCGTGGGCACCCGCCTCTCACATGTCTCTGAATGGTCAGGCCCAAGTCGGGGCAGTGTATGAAGTCGTTCATGGTCGCTATGAGCATCAGCACAAGCACGCATGATAGCAGTGTCGAAAAGTCATCCTACGGTGAAGCTGATGTATTCGCGGCTTTGGTAGAGACACCCGCGCTCACGCCGTGAAGTGAGGTGAGCGGAGTCTGCCTCCAATTCAGCTGCGGATATCCTTGACAGTATTACATACACCTCCCGCCTCTCACATCTCCCAGAATGCTCAGCTCCTCGAATGCTCAGAGCATTTCATGTTTTCCCTTTGGCTCCGTTGCCCGCACCATCTCCGCAGCCCGCATGTCCGTTGCCCGCATCCACCTCCGCTGCTCAGTCCACCTACACCATTCTCCTGCCTGCGCTTCCCTTCTCCTGACCTTCGAGCAAGCGGCGCCCGCTCGAAAGCCGTCTTCCGCACCTCCTCGACATCAGGAGACCCGGATTGGGTCGTTCTGAAAGGCGCGCAGAGGTCGAACGAGGTCTCTGGAAGAGTGGCATGAAGAGGCTGCCAGGGAGGCGTTGATGTCCGCGAAGGTGTGGAGGAGATGCAAAGCACACTGGAGACGTTGTCTGAAGAACTGGCTGCTCGGATTCTGCGGCTTCAAGGCGTTGAGGCTGGGGAACAGGTTGGCGCTGGACAAGAGGACAAAGCCCAATACCACGACGAGGGAGGGAGGATTCGGACATTGGGCAGGATCTCAGCTCTTCATGTATGTTGACATGGTCAATTTCACACTACTTTCTGCTTTCACTCAGGCGCTCCGCTTGTAAGCTCGTATGTGATTTCCTTGACTCTGATGAATGGCCACGTTTCGGTTCTCGGGGATCTACGGAGGTGCCAGCAGGCCGCCGGTGTGTGAGCATGTTCATGAATCCGCCTGGGCCTCGGGGAAGACCAGAAGACAGCACTGGGAGAACCAAAGGTCATGTTGTGCGCTTGGGTGTCTCCTCAATTTTGATTGATCTGGAGTTGTGAAGGAGTTCGGAGCTCATCGTGGTTAAGACAAGGCCATTGTCGTGATCTCCACTTATGATCATGGCAAAGCCGCGATGATGATGTCCAACCATGGTCAAGGCCAGGTGTAAGTAGATCAACCAAGACAAGGGTGTAGATCGCGCCGCTACGGCGGCTAGGTTTAACAAGGCGCTTGACTACTTCTATAGTTGTTGACAGGCCATATATAGACCGCTAAGAGGTCCAATTTCGAGCCAATTTGAAGCCTTATAATCGTATAGTATAGGCCTACAAATAAGGAGTTATATTAAAGCCAAACTAGACCTTATCTAGCGGCTATTTCTACCTCTTATTAATCGACCTATTCTACCTCTTCCTCGCGTTACGTGTCGCGCTTGTTTTAACCTTACTATCGCTAATTCTACGCTCTTTATAATAGCTAAGCCGTCGTACGCTAAACACCTATCTCCTAAGGATATTGAGTTATTACTTAGTAAGCTAGAAGTAGAGCGGCCGGTGCGTATAACTCGTCTCGTAGACCGTGTTATAACTAAGTAGATTGTAACTAAGTAGATTATTATAGTTTAAGAGCCCGTTTCTACTAAATCTATACGATCGAAGGCGCCTATTCTTTTACCCTATAAGTAGCAAGAAGGGTGTTTATCGAGTAGAGGGCTTCGAATACGACGAATACCGCCATTTCGTATCGAATATATAGTATTACAAAGATCGACCTAGTAAGTTGTTAGTAGACCGCGATAACAACCGCTTATATCGACGATTAAGCCTTAAATATCGTATTTATAAGCGCTATATAGACTACGACCGCGCAGACCGCAAACAGCGCGCTTCTAACGCTTCTAAGGGTATAGTTGTCGTTACTAAGCCTAGTAGAAAGCGTATCGCGCGAACGAAGCCCTTAGACGACTATAGTGCGAAGTTGTCTATTATTAAGGTATACGAGAAGCGGCCTAAGGCCTATTTAGGCGAGTTCCTCGATAACTGCGTACCGAAGGCTCTACCTACTAATTTAACGGTTATAAGGCTAATCTACGTCGAGCTAGAATCGCTAAAGGAAGGTTATTCGTATAGTCTCGAGTTTGTAGATAGATTAGCGACTAACGACGGTATAAAGGCCGTTTAGAAGGACCTGCTAGATTCTCGAGCTAGTTAGTATTGTAGAGTAAGCTTAGGGCGCCGAAAACTAACTATTCTAGCAGGCTTAATAACTGTCGCTTAGTTAGTTAACGATATAAGACGACCTAAATAGAAGCAGGTATAGTACGACGCTAGAGCCGTTGTTATTACTCGAGACCGTATTAGTAGCGCCAACCGCGAAGCCCTAAAGCGTATAAGCGACAAGCGAAGAGATAGTATTAAACTAGATAGTAAGAAACAGCTTTAGTAGGCGTACGAGTACTTATAGGCTAAATTTAGTAGTAGAAGTAGCTACGCAGAGATAATTGAGTCTCGTAGAAGTAATAGAAAGCTATATAGAGGCCTTGTATAGGCAGCGGACTAGCAACTTCGAGCCCTTCGTAACTATAGGTCTTTGTTCTTACTAGACTCTACGCACCTAACTAATAAGCTAAAATAGCCTCTCTCGACTATATACGTCCGCAATAGCTATTTAGAGTAGCTTCTAGCGGCTCACTTCCTTATAGACTGTAAATAAGTATACCTTATTAAGAAGGCCATTTCTAGGCTTGAAGAAATAGCTAAATTAGACTATAATCGCAAGGTTAGCGAATACGACGGCTATAGCAAGCACTTCTAGCTCAACCTTAACAACCGCTGTTCTTCTAAAGCTAAAGATCAAGACTAGTTTAACTATACTAAGCAGTCTTCTTAGATAGCGCTATAGTCGATTACTAATAACTTAGTAAGTAAGCAACTCGGTGTCGCTTAAGGCCTCTTAGATAGCGGCATTATCTAACGCCTCTACTAACGCTACCTTGTTAAAACCCTCGAGAAGCACTTTAAGCGCTTTCCGGCTGTTTTAAAGGTAATAAATAAGGCTCTATTTATTGCTCGAGACTAAGAAGAATGCCAACACTTTATTGACTAGGTAATAGTAGCCTTCAAGTCCTATAAGAATACGGTTACGGCCGCCGAAGAGTTAGCTTATCTAAAGGCAAATTAGAAGGCTTCCGAAAGCGATCGCTAGGCGACTTAGTTACGGCTCGGAGACCCGATTTTAATAGCCGTTCGCACTACTAGCCTACTCGAGGGCTATTACGTATACTTAAAGCGCCGAGACAAGCGTTGGATGCGTAAATAGAGCTTGCGAGGTGCGTATTCGTCCTATTCTTATAGTGCTATCGGAATTTATATAAAAGCTGTATTTTTCAGAATAGGGGAATTCCTTAGCACGGCGGCTTTTAGTATTATTCTTACACTTCTATAGCTTCTTAGCTCTTCTATATAACAACAACTAACTGTTATAGGCACTGTTCTATACGTCGTTTAGCTTAATAGCTACATCCGCGACCGAGTCCGTTAAAATAGCGTAGTTAAGAAGCATAGATAGCTTCTAATATAGCGGCAAAGCAAGACTATCGAATTTAGGCGTTTACCTCTCGCAATATAGAAGAAGGTAGCGGATTAGCTTATATAGTGCTATAACGATATTAATAGCTATAAGCCTACCTAGCGGATAGTACTACCGGCTCCGTACGACAACGTATATAGTAAGTGCTTCTGCTACTTCTAGTATAGCTATCACCTACCTTGCAAGTATATTTAGCGCTTCTATATCGAGGGAACGAGTATTCTTATACTAGAACGTTGCCGGCTCTATATCAATCGCTTCTAAGGTCTAAATAGTAATCTAATCTACCCTAAATAGTACTAGACTAAGCTAATTATAGACGACGACAATTAGTTAAGCCTAGTAGGTGCTATTGAGGTCTATAAGGCACTAGGAGTGTTACGGAAGCGCTAAGTAAAGGACTACTTCTATTCTATATAAGAATTAGTCTCGTAGGCCTTCTTCCGGTTCTACGACTCGTAGGCTTCTAACCTTACCGACGCTTAGCAATATAAGGCCCTTCTATAGTAGGTTACTAACCACGCCTTAATAAGCTATAACTTAATTAACGCGCATATACAACAGTGGTTTAATAACGGCTGTTAAGAGGCCGAGTTAACACCTTATCGTACCGCTAAATAGCGAGGTATAGACGACAGGCTATTACGCTAACCTGTCTTCCGGTTAAAGCTATTACTAACACTACCTAACTCAGTTATAGCTACTTCTAAAGGTTTAGAGGTTGGTAAAGTAATAGCAATAACAACTAAGCCTCCGATTAGGCCTCGCATCTTAGTTAACGGCTATACGCTATAGGTTTATAGCCTACCTAACTACTACGGCATTATAGAGGTTGGCGACTTACTTATTCAGTCGGACAATAGAAGCGATAGTAGCAACAACGACGCTCCGCATAAGGTAGACGGTAAAGACCTATTCGATAGCCTATCGGATATAGACCTTCTTCTACAATCTACGCTAATTAGTCGATTGCCGCTATCTTTACTAAAAGGCGCTAGCAAAAGTAATTAATACGATAACGACGAGGCATTAAGGCATTAATCCTTACTAGACGATTTGCTATTACTAAGTAAGCTGTTTCTACTACGCTAACCTCTACCTCTATCTTCTATAGAGCTACTACCTTCTTCGGCACTATCTATAGCTTAGCATTTATTACCTATATAGTTACCTAGTAAAGACACTTCAATTGATCTACTATAGCTATTAGGTAGCTATTATAAACCTCGTCGTTAGAAGCCTTTAATTAGTAAGCCTATAATACCTTCGAAACGCGCTCGTAGAAGGTTATACGTAGGTACACTACCTTAACCGTACCGGATAGATTAATCCTCTCGTACGCTATCTCCTACACTAATTGGACTACTAAAACGACGGATCTAAGGAGAAGTTATCGCTTCTAAGCGGTAGAAGTAGTAGTGCTAAGGTGCAGGCGTAGACTTAGTCGTTTTCGAGCGATTACGGCTGTTCGGAACGGTGGAAATCCGAGGTAATTAGCTTTTATAGGGGTGATTTGCAACACCCCGATTTGTACACTAATTTGTGTAGTTTCAGGGCACTTTGCAGGGGCATATGGAACCCTCGAGGTGCATATAATTTACTTTCTTGGTTGATCTACTCGCATCTTAATTCATCATCATGATCTCCAACTTCGGAGCTGCCTGTAGTCAAATCTACTTCAACATCACAGTCTCCAGCACCGCCGGGCTTCTCAAGTCCATCTGGTATGGCAATTGCTCGTGACAACGTTTCTGCACTTCTATCCTCCGCAGCTTTTCTTCCTCTCCGCCTTTGCCCCAGTTCCCATTTCACGCCCTGGATGACTCTTTTCTGCTGCAGATCCTCACGATCTTCATGTCGTTCAGTCATCACTTACTTGTAGATCTCGATGCCTAGCTTGATGAAGCAGTACTCATTGCCGGGAGTGATCCGCACCTGTGTTCCTCTCCCGGATTCTCAACCTGCTCCGGTCTTCATGCGCATGCAGCACAGCATCATTGAGGAGTCGATGTACAGTAAGTCAGATGCTGAAAATCTAGTGTTCCTTCGTGCTATGCATAGCAGTCGCTGTTCATAGCTTGTTTGGCGGGCATGGTTGTACGTGTGCGGAGTTGGCCCGGGAGACTCGGGAGAGACAAGGAGGACAAAGGCGGAGCTGCCGCTTTGTTCGTAATTGCAATGCAAGGCGGTGGTGTGAGGAAAGAGAGAATGAAAAGGAGATATTCGACGATGGCACGGTGCCGGGAAATCTCCATGCACGGGTGGCGGATACGACGAGGAGCTTGAGCAAGGCGAGAAGCGCGCAAGGCGAGAAGCGAGCAAGATGAGAAGCGAGCAAGGTGATAAGGGAGCAGGGTGAGAAGCTGAAGCAAATGGAAATCTGATCGTGCGTGGAAAGGTTGACATTGCCAAACTGCCGACTGCTATCCAAGGACCTCTGGGCAGTAACTTCTCAAAGCCAGTCCTCCTCCTCTTTGTGCGCCTTGATGCCCTATCCCATACCAGCCAAACATTCAGCGCGCAAGAAGCATAAGACGCAGGGCATGAAGAGCATCTTTGCGTTCTTGAAGCCAAGGTCTGCAAAGTCAGTCAGACCTCCGAGCACCCTCTACCGTATCAGACTCGCTGCCGCTGCTATCCTCGACAAACGGTCCGGGAGCACTGGCACGGCGATGCGGAAGCCTTGAGAAGGGTGTGTCCTGCATGCCTTGTCTGCCCGGAAGTCTGCTGCTGCTGCCGGCCCTGCTGCTTCGCGGCCGCTGATGACCTGATGTCAACTCCAGAGGCACATCGACCTCGCTCGTCCACTCCTGCAAAAGGTTGGTTTCCGGGGCCTCGTCGTCCTTATCCTTCCTCGTCGCCAGCACGATGCCCACGTCAACACGCACTGTGATCTTCCCAATTCCCCTAGTCACAGTCACTTGTCGATCGCAGCGACGGACGGTCTCCAGAGCGTTGACGGGCATGTCGTAGCGGCGGTCGGAGCGGAGGTTCGTGATGCTGCGCCAGGTGGTATGATTGGTGGTGGGAAGAGTGTCGGGGTGTGGGTGGACATTGTTCTTGATCTCGACCTCAGTCCAGCCCGTGGCATCGACAGGTGACTGCCAGAATGTGTGCTGTTGAAGGGGCGTGAGTGTTGTTGTATTGCATGGCGGAGGTGGCGGCGGAGGAGCAGGTGGCGGATGCGCGGAGGCACAGAAAGCGGGCGAGGTATCTGTCACTCGTCAGTCAGTACTACAGGCGGAGGATGGAGCAGCCTGCTGTGGTGAGGATGCATCGTACTGCTGGCGCTGGCGCTGGCGCTGGCGCTGGCGCTGGCGCTGCTCGTAGGCACTGCCATGCTGATGTACGTCCTCGTCCTCGTCCTCGTCTCGTGCTCTTTGCGTGGTTTTGTCAGGGCAAACAGGGCAGCTGAAGGAAAAGCAAAGCTGCACCCGATCTCTCATCTGCTGCATGTCTTGTTTGTTCGCTTGCTGTCGTTTGCGCCAATCTCCGAGCGCGTCTGATCGTGGACGACTGCCGACATCTGCATGATCGGCGAGGGAAAGGTTATGTTCAACTCGTGACGAGCGGGCGTGGGGGAATGTAGAGACATTTGGAAAGTGTACAAGACATATCTTGATCACCTTGTTATCATGGCATGGCCTGTTTGGTGTGGATATGGAGGAAGTCTTGAAAGCATACACGCTCGAAATGCGGGCAATGGTGAACAGAGCCGCAAGCCGGAATCAGGATCAGGCGGGAGCGGCAGCGCGGGCGGCAGCGCGGGCGGGAGCGGGAGCCTCATCCAAGCCTCGCCACACAGGTGGCTTGCACAGTTTCTTCATCGCCATCGCCATCGCCATATCTACTACCACGACCTCGAGCGTTGTGCGAATCCCCAGATCATCATGCACATTGTTCCAGAAGAAGGGTATTTCGATAATCATGTCAAGACGTCGTGCCATCACGCTGCGTCCTTGGACATTGGACGTCCGTGTTGCAAGGTTCTTAGTCGCACACCAGCCGCTCCATCAAAGCCTCCCCGCCTCCGCACTTCAGCTCCAAAGATAACCCCTCATCATCTACAGCAGTAGTCTCCGAAACAGAATAAGCACAACACCAGCACCAACCAAAATGGCTGCGTCGATACGATTGGTCTTACGGAGCATACCGCCGTCCTTCGACATCCACCCTTTCCGTCCTGAAATAGATCGGACGCAGCACATTGCCGATTACTTTGGGCCGCTTGGTGCAAGCGCCATGAACGCCTACTGGAGTCAGAAACGTTTGTCCATTGAGCAGCAGACCTACGGAGACACGCGTTTGGATCTCTTCGCGCAACTCGAAGATCAGAAGGACGATGTACATGACTTGCTCCTCTAGTGCATCTGTCTTTCATGCGGACGGCCTGCTTGTCTTGTCACGGTAAGCCCATCCCAAAATGAGCTGTCTGACAAAGGTCGCAAAACCTGCGGAGCCACGAGCTGATACCTTCCAAAGAGCCCGATCAATGACGAACCCGCTCGCTGTCGTGTTCCATTTGCTATATCCAGCTTCTCCTTCCCATCCCAAACGCTTTGCAGGATAATGTGATGGGCTTGTGTCAAGGCATAGGTGCAGGGAATGAAGCCGGCGAGAAAATGGGAAACAGGTCATTCATGGAGAGGACACTCCTTTCACGATGTACTGACTGGTGAGGAAAGTACTTCATCTAGCCATCTCGTCTCCTTTGAATTCAAACACTCTGACTGGGTTTTCAACGATGCATATGCACGACATTCCAGAATCTGAGTTTGTTACCGGGAAGGATCGAGTGTTTTCGAAGCCTTGCATAAAGCTTTCTGGAAGCTCTATTCATAATCGAGGAACTGATACGGAAGCATGTTTTGGGCTGTGGCGTCCCGAGAGGAGAGAATACAGCCTAGTCACAGGATCTGCAATGCTTCTCAATGCACAGGGAGTCTGACACAGTCGCCAGGCAGGGCCGCTTCTGTTGCTGGGCTGATCACTCAAAGATGCGCAAAGTCATTGATGGGCGTCTGCTATCCTTCTCGCGCCGGAGCGAGGCTTTTCGGAATCATCTCCATGAATACCGGAAGCCCCACTACCGTCACGCCATGCTCACTGCCGAAGACGCTCACGATGCCCGATACGTCTCGAATCTCTTCTGTCTGGTTATGCTCGCTGCCGAAGACACTCACGGCGCCCGATACGTCTCGAATCCATTCCTTCTGGGCGATTTTTGAGCCAATCATCGCTGCCGACATTGAAGGTAACATCTTCGCCTGCGAGAAGAAAGTTGTGGTCGAGGTCTTGATCTTGACCTTAGTCTTCATCGTATGAAGAAGGTCGAGGATAGCAAAGTCACACGGGTAGTTGGAAATGGATTTCGACTCCTTGAATCGCCTGGCCGCTTTCCTTTCGTGGCTCTGGGATGCGTCACGCTGATTGCTAGCACCTATCCTGCGCCTCGATATCACCTATCCACTAACCTGCTTATTAATGCTATATTAGCACCAAGACCGCACAGAGATCGTGATAATCATCCTTGCCCCTACTTAGCGAGTCTCATAGCCAAACTCTCCCCCTATACGCTCTATAGCGCCTTGCCTACTAACCTGTTTGCTTATGCCTATAAACTATTAATGCTTAATGCTTTATTAACACTAAGAATAGAGAACGTAACGTAGCAGTCGTCCTTAATTATAGTTAGCGAGCTTTATATAGACCTTCTTATTACTATAGATTATCGATATAATATTAGTACTAAGGCCGGAGATTATCTATACTATACTAGGACTATAATAACTAGATAGAGATCCTATTAATGCTCCTTAATCTTTAGTAGTTAGCTATTACGGGTAAGCAACGCGTACGTAGATACTAGATATAAGACTTAATAGGTTCGATAAAGAGCTATGTCTATCTACGTAAATCCGAATAGTTTTATACGGTACGCTAAGCGCTAAGTAGTAGGTTAGAGTCGCGTAGGCCGAATACCTAAGGCTAGCGCTTTCTACTTAGGGCGTAGCCCTTTATATTATCCCCGTCCTCCTCCCCTTCCTTAGTAGGGATAGAAAGCCCCTCGTAGTTTCTATCGCTATTACTTTATCCGTTAGATCTATACTTATCTAAGCTTCTCTAAAGTAACGCGCTCGTAGTTTCCTTTTTTACGATTAGGGTTTCCGCTACTTTCCGGTTAGGGTTACTATATCCTAGGTTTTAAGGACTATAACTTTCTTCGCGACTACTAAACCGCGCTCTTTTACCTACTTACTGCTTTCTAAAACGCGCCGTAACTGCGCTTTTAAACGCTTTACTTATAATCGCGCCTTCTATTACTTTCGCGACCTTTACTTCTATATCGCTTTCTAGGAGTATTAATATTTCCCTCTTCTTCCTCTTCTTCTTCTTTTCTTTATATATATACCTCTACTACTACTACTACTACTATAGTAAGTCCCTCCCTATCCTCCGCGATTTCCTTCGTAAAATTAACTTAAATTAACTTATCCTAGATAGCTCGTCGAATCTACTATATTAGTTACTATAACTCTAGCGAGGACTACGCCGATTAATCTATAAGGTTCCTACCCTATTTATCGTAGGGTTCTCTAATTTTTCTTAAGCCCGCTAGCTCGAGGGCCTACGCTAATTACGCTCGTAAGAGAATCGCTTACGCTCTACTATAAGTTTTCGCGATTTCTATACTAAAACCCTCGCTAACTATTTAGTCCTTAAATAGCTTACGTAGCCTATACTAGCTATACCCGCGCGACCCGCGGTACCGTCGCCGAGAAGTACGCTAAGCTTCTTAAGGTTCTTAAGGTATAGAAAGCTCTAAAGTCTCTCTAGCCGTAGGGATTATTATCTAGATAAGATTTCCCGTTTCCCGCGATAAAACCCTCGCTAACTATTTCTTTTAGCGCTATCGCCTCGGAGGTAACGAATACCGTCGCTAATATCGTAGCTTAATAGACTTAGACGTAAGTTCCTCTCTACCTTTCGATTTCCCTCGCTAATCTCCTTTTTTAGGGATATTCCTACTACTCTCTATCTCGGTAATAATCGTTAAGGTCCGCCGGATTAGCTAGGTTAATAAGGGTTTCCGTAGGTTTTCTAGTAGGCTCTAGGTAGTTTCGGAGGTATTATTATATTTTTTCTCTAGTCCTAAAGGGACCTCCTAATCTCGGGCGGAGACCTAATACTTATTTATAAATACCTAAATAAAATCTTTTTCTACTCCTAAATTATATCTCCTTCTCTAAATCTCTCTAGTAAACTAAAACGATCCGTAAAAAAAACTAATAAGTTAGTAAAAACTCCGAAGGTTAGTAAAAATCCCTAAAATCTATAAATTAATAATTGTTACTTTACGGAAAAACCCTAGGTTACTGCTTTATTTCTTTCGCTTTCCTCTCTTCTCTTACTAGTCTCCTAAAGGCCTATCGTTCGCCTCGATTTGTCTATATTTCGCTTCGAAGTCGTCTAGCGCTAAGGTATCTACGATATAGTCTAGGGGTTCCTACGTAGGTTTATAGTACCCGCTCTATTTTACGAGCGCTTCTTATCCTCTACCCTATTTCCTTTTCTAGGCGTATAGGATTTCTTCGACCTACTATTCTTTATACGTCTCTAATAAAATAGAGTCCGGCTATTCGTCGTCGATTACCTACCCTAGTAGGGGGTCTCTACTCGTAAGTCTTAGAAGGTCGGTATAGAATACCGGGTAAATATTACTAGGTACCCTAGAAAGTCGTACTAATATAGGTAATAATACCTCTTCTACCGTATACTTAGCGTATCTCGAGTCGAGGCTCTTCTTTAGTCTATCGGTTTAGTAATTCCTTAGGTCGAGCTAGACCTTGTCTCCGATATAATATACCGGTACTAGTGTCCTAGTCTTATTCGCGCTATCCTCTTGTTTCTATACTACTTCCGCTATTTATACTTAGTATAGGTCTAAGATCTTCTTAATCTTATCTATAAATTCCTCCGCTCGTTTCGCCGCGGTTAACCGCCTATCGATAGCTAGGTCCTCTTCTAGTAGAACGGGAGAGGTAGATTCGTAACTATAAGTCGCGAAGAAAGAGCTTATTCCTAATCCCGCTTAGTATCTCCCGTTAAACGCTAGTTCCGCTATAGGAAGCTATTAGTTCTAGTCGGACTATATTTAGTTAATATAGTTCCGTAGGTAAGTCTATATATCTTAATTTATACGCTCTAGACCTCCGTCGGTTTATAGGTAGTAAGCGGAGCTTAGCCTCTACTTTATACTAAGTAGTCGATATATCTCCCTCTAGAAAGTACTTATCTAATTCGTACCTCTATCGCTAGTAATAGCTCGAGGTAGTCCGTAATATCTAACCTAGAATTTTAGGGATAAAACTACGTATTCCTCCGCTTTTATAGAGGGAGTACTAATAAGGGCAATCTATTTACTAAGGCGGTCTTTAATTACCTAAAGATATCGATTCCCGTCGGACTCTAGTAGGTTAGTTATAAAGTCTATCGAGATTTCCTAAAAGAAACGGACGGGCACTAGTAGTAGTTTTAGGAGGCCGTATTTATATTCTCTCTATACTTTATTACGCCTATAATAGTTACAATTCCGTAGGAATTATTATACCTACTTTAACTATAGCGGCTAGTAGAAGTCGCGACCTAGTATAGAAGCGGTAGAATCCTAGCTAGAGTAACCGTAGAGTAGTAAGTCGTAGATCGACTAGATAATCTTCGTATATAGTATATCCTACTATAGTTCTTCGGCCTCTATATCTTTATATTCGGCTTCCGTCGTAGCTAGGGCTCCTAGAACCTAGAGCTTGCCGTAGTAGCGTAGGAATCCCTTAGGGTCTATTATATAATCCCCGATCTAAATCTTCGGAATCGCTTTAATTTCCGGTTATAATATCCTATATCCCTTACGGACTTTCCGTAATACCGTCTAGTATACCGTATCTTTCTCGATAATGCTCTTCTATATATCGTTTATTTCTAGGTCCTAGAATAGTTTAGCGCTTTCCGGCGAGGGCTACGCGGGCTCTATCTCGTTTACGAGTAGGGATAATAGTCTCGTCTCGGTTATATATAGGAAGCTACGGATCGTAGCGCTAGAAATCTAAACGTTTTCCGGCTAGTTTAGGGAGAGATCCGGATCTAGAAATCTCCGGAACCTCGAAAGCTTATCGTCTTAGCCTAACGTATCCTATTCTCTCTTCGATAAGGTATCCGGTAGGATAGCCTCGATTCCCGGCCGGTAGACTAGAGTAAACTAGTACTTAGCTAGTTCTTCCTACTATCGGATCTATCTCTCGGATAGCTAGCGCTTTACTATAAAATATTCTAGGTTCTTATAGTCCGTCTAAATCGTAAAGGGGCTATATAATTTTAGCTCGGAGTCCTAAAATTTAATACTAGATACGACTACGAGCATTTTCTTATCGTAGATATCGTAATTAATCTCCGCTTTATTTAGTTTCTTTAAAAAAAAGCCTACCGGTCGATAGATCCCCGCTTTTTCTTAGATAAGGGCGCCCCTAATCGCGAACCCGCTATAATCTATTTTAAGGAAGGTAGGAAGGGACGGGTCCTACTAGGTAAGTACTAGGATATAGTAGAATTTATCCTTTAGCGTCTCGAACGCTTTATCCTACTCTTCTCTCTAGGAGAATAGGGTTCCTTTACCGGTAAGCGCGGTTAATAGTACGGAGATCTTAGAATAGTTCGGTACGAATATATAGTAATAATTCGTAAATTCTAGGAAACGACGAACTTCCTTTTAGGTCTTAGGTACTACCTATTTTTATACGGCTTCTACCTTTTCGGAATCTACTAATACTCCCCCTCTATTAGTATAGACGATAAATCCTAAGTACTTAATCTTTTTCTAGCCGAATTCGCTCTTTTTAGATTAAGGTAAAGGCCTCTATCCTAAAGCTTCTTAAGAACGGTCCTTACTTTACGGAAATAGTCTTCCCTCGTCCCGCTTAAGTAGATAACTACGTCGTCTATATACGCTAACGCGAAATCGTCTAGATACTCCTATAGGAGAGTATTAATATACCGTTAAAACGTAGCCGGGGCTCCGGATAAACCGAACGGGCATACTAGCTACTCGAACGAGCCTAGCCTAGTATAGAAGGCTATTTTATACTCGTATCCTTTTGCTATTCTTATCTTATAAAAGGCCGAGACTACGTTAACTTTAGTTAACTATTAGGCCTCCGTTAGGTTCCTTATAGTATCCGGGATTAGTAGGAAGGGATATCTATCTTACTTCTTAAGAGCATTAAGCGCCCTATAGTCGTAGTAGAACCGGAGTCTACTACTAGGTTTCTTAACGAATAATACGGGCGCCGCCGCTTCGGAGTTCGTAGGTCTTTTAAACCCCTTCTTTAAGAGTTCGTTAAGCGACTTTCGTAAGACTAAGAGTTCCTATTTCGATATACTATAGAGCGGGCCCTAGGGGAGCTATAGCTAGGATCCGTCTAGTTTTTTATAGAGTTCTATCGTATAATTAATACTAGGACGATAGGGCGCTAACTTATCGGCTTCCTTTTAATAAAATAGCGTAGCTATATCGCGAACCTCTAAGGGTAGTTTCTTCTTTAGCTCCTTATTTATCGGATATTCCTTCGTCTTTAGGGCCTTTTTAATATCCTTAGCGATTATAGCGGTAAGTAGGCTTCTTATAGCGTCGATCGTAGCGATATTCCCGCTTATATCGAATTTACGGTAATAGCGCCCTTCTTTAACCTAATACCGAGCTCTCCCGTAGTAGTACTATCGCTTCTCGGGCGCGGTCCTAACCTTATTATATACCTTCTATAGGTTCCCTAGATTAAGAGGGAAAGCTAATCCCGGTACGACGTAAGCGTATACTATCTATTAGAACCTATTAATTTCTATCTAGAAGGCGACGACTCTAATAATTTTCGCGTCCTATATCGTAGACAACGCTCCTTTTACTTCTTAGGACTCTCGGCTAATATAGCTAAGCCTAAGGCCTTTAGCTAGGCCCGTATTAATCGTAGCGTAGTACTAGTATCCTTCGTCGATAAGAGTAGAAGTTCCGACGTTATTTTCGAGGACTATATCGGTATATATAAGATTCCTATTTATATCCTTTTTAACTTCTTCTTATTTCTTTATCTATACTCTATCTACTCTCGACTCCTAACTATAAGCGAGAGTTACGCTTTTCCCGAGTCGGAACTACTTAAGTCCGACTATTCCTCCGTGTTTTCTAGAATAGGTTATACGGAGGTAACGCTAATCTTAGTAGGCTAAACCGGCGGTATATATAGGGAGTCGCGAATATAGTATCCGCTCGCTCCGTAGCGGAAGTAGAGCCTTTTCTCCTTACGTTTCTCTCTCCTTATAGAGTCGACCTATTTAGCTCTAGGCTTCCCTACTATTCCTTATTAACCTCCGCGGTTCTTTCTACGAAAAGCGTTCGTTTAAGCGGGGTTTATAACTATATCTCCGTCGGAGTCGACCTTCGAGTTCGCCGTAGAAGCCGTATAGGGTAGGATAACTACCGTAGGGCTCGCGGCCTCCTTCTTCCTTTCTTACTAGCGTTTCGTAGCCTATTTAAACTAGTCCGTCGTCTCGAGGTTCGTTATAATTCGCTCGACTTCCTCTATATAGAGGTAGTAATCCTTAATCTTTAGTATAGCGGCGGTATAGGTCTTAGCCGCGTTCGAGAAGGTATTCTTTAAGTACCTAATTTTCGTATCGTCGGTCTAGCGGTCTCTATCTATACTTAGTAGGAGGCCGTCGAATTCTAGCTAGTAGTCGTACTAAGGTTGTCCCTAAGTATACCTTAGGGCTTAGAGTTGCTCTAGCGCCTTTATAGCTTCGTTACTATCCGCGAAAACGTCCTCGAGTTACTAGAAGAAAGCTTCGGGGTCCTTTTCTTTTATAAGGCTTCCTCTTTCCTAGAAGTAGTGTATCCTAGCGCGTTCCTTCGCCGGTAGGGTATCGTAAATAGTATCTTAGTAGTAATCTTCGGAGAGCTTCGGTTTTAACCCGGAACGAACTCGGTACGAACTTCTTAGTCGTAGTAAGTAGTCCTAGAACGTCTTAGCCTTCCCGTCCTATAATAGTAGCTTCTATTCGCGTAATACCGTTACGTTTTAGCCGGTAGCTAAGAGGGTTCTAGGAGTCCTTTTAGGATCTCGTTCGTAGACTAGTCTTATATTATACTAGCTTCGGTAGGCCCGGCCTAGTAAGATACTTCCGCGTATTAGAGCGCGGAGCGCGTAGCTTATAGCTAGGCTTCTATTATCTATTGCCTAGTATAGAGACTCTCGAAGGTACGATAAATCTTATCCCTAGTTATCTCTACTATAGTAGGGGTAGCGTTCTCCTAGCTATCTTACTCGGGTTCCTAATAAACCTTAGTGTTTCCTATAATAAAGATCGAACCTAATATTACGGATAAGTAACGCGTACGTAGATACTAGATATAAGACCTAATAGGTTCGATAAAGAGCTAAGTCTATCTACGTAAATCCGAATAGTTTTATATAGTACGCGAAGCGCTAAGTAGTAGGTTAGAGTCGCGTAGGCCGAATGCCTAAGGCTAGCGCTATCTACCTAGGGCGTAGCCCTTTATATTAGCGCTACTCGTCGAGTTTTACGGCTAAACCCTCCTCTTACGCTCTAGCGCCTCGAGATTATCTGCCTACTAGCCTCCTACTTATTAATACTATATTAACCCTAAGACTAGATATTATAATAATTATACCTAATCCTAGTTAATTAGTACTACTTATCGAATTTTACATCTTAACTAACCTTCTACGTACTATAGCGTCTTACCTACTAAACTACTTGCCTACCGACCTACCTATCTATACTATATTAGTACTAAAACTAGATATTATAGCAATTATCCTTAATCCTAGTTAGTTAGCGTAGCTCCTCGAGTTTTATATTACTACTAAACCCTCTCTTTTACGGCTACGGTATTAACTTCGACCGCTCTCGCCGACGTACTAGCTATCTATATCGACCTCTTTACCCTCTCGTAGGCAATCTACTCTTTACGGATCCTTAGCCTCTTCTACTAGTCCGCGAACCTTATATTTATATAAATCCTTATTATTATAGATAAGCGGTAGACTAATAGAATTACGTACTATTTAAACAAAGGACTTACTAGCTACTTATATACCCTAGCGCTAGGAATTATAAGCTATTATAAAGCCGTAAGTAAATAATCTTTTAACTTCCTTCTCCTTCTCTTACTTATAGATCTAACTAGTCTCGTATATTCTCGAGTATTTTAATACTCCCTCTACTTAGCTCTCTAGTCGTAAACTAAATAGCTAAGTCCTAATCCTTCTTAATCGTTTTTATCCCTAGGACTCTTTTACGTTTTCTTCGAACTTCCCTTTCGTTAGGGGTTTAGTAAAAGTCCGCGAGTTAGTCCTTTATCGGAATAGACTTTATATCGACTAGCTTGTCCTCGACTAGTTCCTATACGTAGTATACTGCTACGTCGATATATTTCGTTCTAGTATAAAATTCTAGATTTCGTACTAAAGCGATAGCCGCCTTATTATTCCCGTAGATAGTCGTAGGTTCTTTATAATTGTCTTCCGTAAGGTATCTAACTTACTCGAGGAAATTCCGGATCTAAATAGCTTCTTTTATAGCGTAGGATAGCGCTAAGTATTCGGCTTGCGTAGTACTAGTCGTTACGGACCTTTATAGTTTAGTAGACTAAGATATAGGTCCGCCGGCTAATAGGGATATATATCCTATCGTTAACTTCCTAGTCGAGTCTACCGCGTAGTCCGAATCGGTATAAATAACCGGTAGACGAGTAACTAAAGTACTCGTATCGTTTTCGTTCTTTAGGTTAGGACTATACTTTATATAGTAGTCCCGAGTATTTCCTAGGTATCTAAGGCCGTAGATGCCTCCGTCGTAATATCTCCTAGCTAGATTTACTAAGGATTAGCTTAGTCGTTACGTTAGAAGAGATATATCCGGCCTAGTAGCTCGTACGGTCTAATTTAGTTTCCCGATAAGTCGTTAGTATTTCCCGACGTCTACTACCTCCTCGTCCTTTATAACAGGTAGTAGATCCGTATATCCGTTCGCCGGAGCTAATACTCGGAAGGTTTCGTCTAGATCTAAGCCCTCTTCTCTAAGCGTATTTTCGATATAGTGCCTTTAATCTAGTAGTATAGACCCGTCCGCTTTTCTCTCGATTCGTACGTCTAGTATAAACTTAGCGGGACCTAGATCCTTTATTTTAACCCTCTATATAAGCCTGTCCTTTAGCGGTTTAACCTCCGCTTCTATCTTTGCTAGTATAATAAGATCGTCGACGTATAACGCGACTATTAGCGTATAGTCGCTATTAACAAAGACTAATCAATCCGCGAATAAAGCGTAGACGTCGTATTCTTCGAAGAAAGCCGTAATAGTTTTATTCTAAACTCGTCCGGATTATAGTACTCCTTTTAGGAGTTTAAGTACCTTATTAGTTCTAGTAGAAACGTCTAGGCCTTCTAGGATAGCTAGGTAGACTCCCTCCGTTAGTTCTCCGAGTAGGTAGGCACTTACTACGTCTATTTAGAATATAGTAAGTTCTTTACTAGCGGTAGTAGCTAGGAGAAGGCGTAGGCTTTCGAGACGTATTACCGGAGAGAACGTCTTAAAGTATTAGATTCCGTAGCGTTACGTAAAGCCCTTTCCTACTAATTTTGCTTTAAACTTGTCGATTTATCCGTTCGGTAGTATAATAGTATTTTTACCCGATAACTCTATTTCGGAATAATAACGTTAATTGGCCCTTTTCTATCCTTTAGCTTAGAATAGTCGAGAATCTCGTAGGTATTATTAGCCGTTAAGGACTCGATATATTCTTTAATAGCGTCTTTCTATTATCGGGATTAAGGGCCCTTAATAGCTTCCGTATCGGTCTCGGGAGTAGGTATTTCGAAGTCCTTTCGATAGTCGACTTTTAGAGCCGCTAGCCCTATCTCGTCCCTTAGTCTCTTCTTCGGTACTTTAGGGACCCTCGTAGTCCTTCTTAGTTCTTCTTTGTCTATATTCGAAGCCGTAGGAGTAGTAAACGGTTCTCGAGTTGTTCTATCGTTTTTATTAAAACTGTCTTCTTCGTCTTTTAGTTTCGGAGTATTATCTTCGGCCTTAGAATCTCCCTCTATTTTCTTAGAATCTCCCTTATAATTTATCTAGAAGATCGATATCGTCGTCGTTATCTATAATAGGCCGTAGGGGAGGTAGCTCTTCTCTAGATAATAGGCTTCTTCCCTAAGTCGATTCGTCGAATTTAACGCTAGTATAGATCCCGATAGCGTTTGTCTTAGGATTATCAATCCTATACTATTTTATAGCCTTCGTATATCCGACGAAGATTCCTAGAAATGCTATCTTTTCTAGCTTATTTTTTCTTTTCTTTTTAGGAATAAACGGATAGGCTAGATAGCCGAATACCCGTTAGTTTTCTCTACTAGGCTTTCTTCTAGTATAGAGCTTCTTAAGAGTTTTATCTCTTCCTTTAATAGGTAGCCTATTATATAAATAGGTAATCGTATAGGCCGCTTTGCCCTAAAATCGTTAAAATAATCCGGATCCTTCTAAAGACGCCTATACTTTAGTTATAATAGTACCGTTTTGTCTGTCTACTACCCTATTTTACTCTAAACTATAGGGGGTAGCTATTTTAATTCGTAGTCCCGGATAGGCCTTAAGAGCTTTAATAAGCTCTAGAGCGTTATCGATTCTTATAGCCTTTAGTTTCCTCCTAGTTTCAGGTTTAGCCTTGTCTTTCTAAGCCTTAAAGGCTTCGTATACGTCGCTTCTATATTAAGTAAGACGGATATCTAGCCGTCTCGTAGCGTCGTCCGTAATCGTTAGTATATACTTATTTTACCCTAAGGAACTATACTTATACGGACCCTAAAAATCGATATATATACTATCTAGGCTATAATCTACCTTTTCGGGTTCTTCTCGACTTTATCGTCTATCGGACTTTATAGTAATATAAGTCTTATAAGACTTCTTTAACGTCGAAAGCTCTAGGACTCCTAGTAGTACTTTATATACGTTACGTTCTTTTTCGTCTTCCGGATATCCTAGGCGTCGATACTAAAGTAGCGTAGTACCTTTACTTATAGTAGTAGCTACTCTCGAAGTCCTAATAGATCTAGATTCCTTTAAAATATAGGATCTTCCGATACGTACTCCTTTAGCTAGTCCTTCGTTTTCTCTTCGAGGTATAGCTTCGTGTTTAGTAAATATAGTCGTAACTCCTCGTTCCGAGAGTTAGCTTCTAAAGTAGGTTATAACCGATATTAGGTACCTATATAACGTTTAGAATCGTAGTCGGAATTTTATTAAACCGGACGAGGATTATACTAGATCCCGGGACCTTTATCGTTTTACTATTCGCTAGAGTAACTTTTCCGGTTTCTTCCTTATAGACCGTAAAGTAGTTCTTATCGTTAGATATATCTATAGTATATCCGGAGTCTAGGATCTAATCCCCTTTATTAGAAAGTCGAGTTATAGAATCGATAGCCGTCTAAGCTACGATCTTTAATTCCTCCCTACCAATTCCTTAGACTTTTCCGTTCTTTAGGTCCTATTTATACTTGCTATAGTCCCGTTTAAAGTAGCTAACCTTTAATTAATAGTAATACGTCTTTTATTTAGCTTTATTAGGCGTATTAGGCAGATTGCCCTTCTTTCCGTTACCGGCCTTATCTTTCGCCGAATTCTAAGCAAATTAGGCTACTAACTTGTCGCTTTCAGAAGTAGTAATAGTATATTTAACGTCCCGTAGTCGTTAAACTAGTTCCTCGCAGGAAAGAGTAGATAAACTAGCAGCCTTTAAGGCGAATTATAAATATAGTAGACGAATACTCTTCTCCTAAAGACGATATAAAGACTGCTTTCTTAGAGGCCTCTAAGGGAACTTCGTATTTATCCGCGGCCTTGATCTCGGATTAGATTTACGTAAAAGCTAAAGCCGTAGTATCGATATCCTTAAGGGCTTTAAAGGAATAGAAACGGGAAAGTAGCGTCGAAACCTATTCCTTTATCGATACCTCGCTTACTTCCTTTATCTTATTAATTAACTCGTTAGTCGTATATAGTTCTAGGAGATATATAGGCCTCTCCCCGGCCGTAGACTTAATAAACGTAACCGCTTTTCTATCTTCTCCTTTAGCTTCTCTTAGCTTAGCTAGATCTCGGCTTATAGATTCCGGTATATCGTCCCTATACTTCTAAAGGCCTTATCTAGATAAGTAAGCTTAAATTAGATCGATCTTAATAGTATAGTTCTCGGTAGTAAGTTATAGAATTCCTTTTATCGCGCTAATAGTCGTTTCGGTAGTAGATATTTTTATCGTTAGATTTCTCGACTCGTAGTAGTTATATTAATAAGATTTCCAGATCGTTTAATTCGTTTTAGTTAGTTATTTTCGCCTAAAGACCGGCGTTTTTAGCGGAGTAATAACCGTTATCTTATTATCGTTTAAGGTTATTCGCTTTTTTCGATTTCTTAAGTAACGTCGGATAAGGGTTAAGCCTACGTAAGTAGACTGCCTAATCGGGTAATTTCTCGAACCTTCTCGTTTCTTTACTTCCTTTCTAGGCTTATAACTATTATAGATAAGCGGTAAACCGATAGAATTGCTTGCTATTTAAATAAAGGACTTACTAGCTACTTATATACCCTAGCTCTAAGAATTATAAGCTATTACTAAGCTATAAGTAAATAATCTTTTACTTTCCTTCTCCGTCTCTTACTTATAAATCTAGCTAGTCTCGTATATTCTCGAGTATTCTAATACTTATTTAACTAAATTAGCTATAAATACTAGATAATATTCGCTTCTACTACTTTAGCGTTAAGATCGACTAGGGTCTACTTAAGGAAACATAAATTCTTAGGCTTTTATAGTAATCTATTCTATCTACGTTAGACTCGCCTATCTACTTATCTTCCGGATCTAATTTCGAAAAGAAAGAAAATAGATATATCTTGAAAATAGCCCTCTCCTTTTCTTTTTATAGATAGTCTTTTTTAGAACTACTAATCCTAGTATACGATAGGGAAATTAAGAAGGAATAAAAACTAGATAATAGTACCTCTTCTTCTAAGATAAAGAGAGGGAGGAAGTTGAAATACCCTATCGATAAAGCGAATATCTATCTTATACGCTAAGGAAAGGTTACCTTTACTATCTCGTATAAAGCTAAGCTCTTTTTTTATAGGACAACTCCTTATAATAATAGGATAGGATAGCGTAAGTACTATAGAGGGACTTTACTTAGCCTAGCTAGCGAGGAAGGAAGTATCGTCGTTAGTAGTAGTTTAATATCTACGAAGGGTAGCAAGATATAGTTAACGATCCTAGCAAACTTCTAACTACGACGATCTAGAAAACAATGTCTTTATTACTAATACGGAAGTCTTTGCCGCCTAATCTCTTTATTATAATATACTAATTTCATTGCTCTCTTACGGTACGAGATATATAGTAGATAGATAGCTTTTTATTTAGGTAAAGATATTAACGACTTAAACTTAGACAATCGAGGATTTCTATTATAGTTATATATTTAGGTATTACGTTTTAGATAAGCTTTACGTAAAACTAGATAGCGCGAGCACCGCTATCTTAATTAGGTAGATATATAGATATTAAATACTAAGTATTTAGGATTTACCGCTCGTATTAATATTTACTATTAAATATTAGCAAATATTTATATTTAATTTATATTTAATATAGCCTCGGTATAATAGGGAGCTTAGTTAGTAGCAATTAGGGCTAAGAAGGTAGAGGGTGTTCTTAACGGTAGAGTCTTATAGAATAGCTACTAATATAACTCGTTATTGTCGTTAGCTCCCATACCTAATTATAGTATATCTAATAGCAAGTCGGCTACGCTAGTACGTTGCTATTGCTTGCTATACTCGCTTATACGGATATTATTACTAGTAAGCAATATAAATTCCTATAAAGCGGTCCTTCTACTACTACTAAAGGTACGCTCGGACTCTACGTATATAGCGAATACGGATATTAAGTCGATAGCTAGTTATAAGAGCGTTAGATAGGCGGTCCACTATATAGGGAGGTACTAAGATTTAAGTAGACTTATATAGATTAGCTACTTCCGCTTATCGGTACTAACCTATAGTAGCTTAATAGGCGTAGCGGCAATAAAGGACTCGAAGGGGTTAATATTAGTCGTTAGGACGTGGTTCTCGAGCTGTTATTACTACGCTATTATATCCGTTAAGTCTATAGCTTCTATAGCGGTAGTAGAAGCTACCTCTATAGAAGCTAGTCTATAACGCGCCTCGTATCTAGTCTAGAATGCTCTCGCTCTTACTAGGCTATTAGTAAGCTTTTAATCCTTCTTCTTGCTATTAGACTACCGCTTACAAAGCTATACCTTACGGCGGGTTAGATATAGTAGTATTATAGTAACGTAGATACTACTCTCGTTAATTAGATAATAGTATTTATTAGATAGATACTAAGAGACATAGATAGCGTTTATTATAGGCTCTCGTTTAGTATACCGTTTCTTAGTACGCTCGAAGTAAGTAAGTAGCTATTCTATAGTCTCTTAGAAGTAGTCGAATGTAATGTCGTAGCCTTATAGCCGCTAAGTCGCTTCCTTAAATAGTATAACTATATAAGGAATAACCGTATCTCTTTAAGGACAATCTAGTCGCTCTCGGAGGGCTAGTATTTACTTAACTATAGTATACTAATAAACAAGACGTTAAGAATAGGTCTTATCTAAATAGCTTCCTTAATTATTAGTAACTAGCTATCTTAGCGAGTCTTACTAGGCGGCTTCGGATAGGTAGAAGGTAGCTTCGGCTATGCCCTAGCTAGCTCCTTAAAGGCGTTATAGTAGTCGTTCTCTCGCTATAGGACCTTAGTTAGTCGGTAGAGACGCTATAGTAGCGTTTACTTAGTAAAGCACTCTATATCGAGATCTAACTACCTAGAAATAGAGACCTTGTTACTATCGCTCTCTAGTTGCTTATTAAATATTACTTACCGTACTTAAAGGGCCCTTTAGTCTACTAACTCGGCGGCTTTAGTTAACTAAGCAAATATTAAGGGCTATATTATAAGGTTGATAATATAGCCGAAGCAATATAGGTAGCGGCTCTACCTTGTCTAGTATATAAAGCCCTTCTAGTCTATATAGCGCTTAATCGTATCGTAGAGGGTATTGTTATTAGAGGCGTTGTTAGTAGTTATCTAACTAACCTTATAAGTAATTAAAAAGGTCTCAAATAACGAAATTAATAGCTATACGATAAACTTACTAGTATAAGAGCCTCGGTCTAGAGGTAGAAAATCGATAAGGACTTAAGTTAGTTTACTAAACTTATTAACAAACTAACAATTAATAGCTTAGAAGTGCTTATAGCGATACTAAGCCTTCTAAGTATTAGTACTAAGGTATAGACAACTAATAGCGTTAAGAAGCGCGATTTTAACCCTCTCTTACTAGTTCTCGAAGTTATACTATACTCGTACTATTATTAAGGTATAAGACTTTAAAACAGCCTTATCTGCGTATAGATTAATTGCTAATATTATCTCTTTAAAGACCCTAGAAACAAGGCTAGAATAAGCGATACTATACGCTATAGTATAGCGAGCTATTATCTGCCTAAATTTTTTCGATATTAGCTTCCGCTATATTCCTTAGAACCGTAGCTATACGCCTTGCCTCGTTACCCTCGCTTACTACCTATATTTTATCGATATTAATACGGCCTTATAATAGTATTATATCTCTATACGGGTATACGATAATACTATATATCTTAAGAAGGTATTCTACGGCGTTACTAGATACTAATTTCTAAATCCTTAGGCTATCTACCGGATAGTGCTTATAGTAGAAGTATTTGTATCTATAGCTATTCCGAGTAGGCTCCTTATCCTACGGATCTCGAGCGTATAACTATAATAGTAGATCCGTCTTATTCTTTATATAGTAAAGCTTCTTCTACTAAGCAACCGTTAGTATTATAGGCTTCGGTACTAGTATTAGTATTAGAAAGGCTAACAAAGAAGATATCGATTACTAGGTTTAGGGCTTGTCCGATATCGGATTTAGTACTATATTGTCTATATTATCTATACGCCTACGTTTCTATAGCTTCTAGCTTGCCTATTCTAGATCTTAGGTATTTAGGAAATTTTCGAGCGCTCGTTAGATTAGTTAGCGATTTTCTCGGGTCTTTATTATAAGGAAGAAGGTAGTTAGGTTCTAGTTAGAAAAGATAGAATTATAAATTTAACTTTAGAGGCTAGGTACGGCCCGCTTTAGTTAGGCTATCCGAAGCTAAGAGTATAGGTTAGCGAGTCTAATTAAGGCTTAGTAGAGATCCTATAACGCAAACTCGAGCTCTAAGAAGTAGGTACGGAAAGCTAAATACTAATCTTCGAGTAATTATTTCATACTTAATTAATAATAACACTCTAACTACCGCCCTTAGTACTCTCGCTATTTATTAGACAGTATAGCACCTTATTAATACGAGCGTTAAAATATACCTACCGTAGCGGATACTATAATTTTAGCCCGAGAAAGCACTCTTCCGAGTATATATACCTTATTCCGAATTTAAGGTAACGACGAGTACCTAGCTATTCTTTTATTCTATACCCTTATATACCTTTTAAAGACTATTAGCGATACGCTCTTAGTAGTTAGCAGCCCTTTTAACGATCTCCGCCGCATAGATAAGACTCCTCGTTATCTTCCTCTTAATCCTTTAAAATAGTAGCTATAAGCCCTCCCTTTCCGCCTCCCTAATATACTACTTAAAGTCCGCCTATCCTCCGTACTCGATAAACGATATATCGTCCGAATTAGCCTAATAATAATTTACCTAATTAGTATTAAGAAGAGGTAGATAGACCGAGCGGATATTCTTTAGCTATTATTAAAGCCTAAAGTCCTATAGAGCGAGGAAGGCTTATTTCTTAGATAGAAAGTAGTAGAGTAAATAAGATAGTAGTAATAATACTATAACCTCGTCTTTAGAGGCCGCTAGGGACTTAGTAACCTAGTAGAATTAGCGACCTTCGTATACCTAGGTAGGTTCTATCTACCTACCTCGAAGCGGTCTATCCTCCGAGCCTACTAAAAGAACTTAGTTCTTAGTAAGAAACAAGTAATAGACAACCTAATTTCGTATAATTAAAGAGATTTACGTACGCCGTAGTATAGCTATTAAACCTATTAAATTGCCGACTTAATATACTAAATATTCGAATGTTTAGTAACCTCGTATTTATATTAAATATTAAATATAACTATTAGAACATAAATTGAATTAGATTTAATATTTAATATCTATAGGTATATAATAGGATTCTACTATACTCCGCTTATAAGGAAAGTCTTATAATTAAAAGTAGCGAGGATATAAAATTCAATTTAATTACTACGAAGCGTATAGTACGAGGAGGTTTAGTAGTTAAATATAATAAAACATAGTATACGGATACTATTTTAGTTAGTATATATAGGTCGAAGATATCGTAGGACTTAAACTTAGTTAATAAGGATTATAGTTATATACCTAGGTATCCTACTCTATATAAGTAGAAGGTATCTATCTAAGAGCGATAGGAGATATAGTATACGAGAGGGTAATTTTATAACTATATTCGGCCGGTCTTGTTTATAGTAAAGAAACCTTCCGTCTTAACCTACTAATACGGAAGTATAAGTATAGTTAAAGACTTCGGTATAAGAGATTAATAGACTAATGCGATTAGTAGTAGAAAAGGCTATTGTAAGGAGAAGCTTGCTTACGTTAGGAGAGTTGCATAGCTAGGATAAGGTATAAACATAAAAGGCAAATATAGGAAATTTGGATTTAGGATTATTTATAGTGTCTGCAATACGTAGATTGAAAGACGAGTTGCTTTTGGTCCTACAGCATCGCATCGTTTGAGCCTGGTAGGTTTCGGCTATGGCATCCAGCCCACCCACACCCTATCCCTCGGCCGTTATCCTCCGTGGTGGGCTTGGTGCAGGGCGTGGGGGCCTGACTATTCTCGTGAAAGTTGCTGCACCCCATGCGAAGGCAATCGGTCGGCTTTGGGTAGTTGCGGTTGGTGTGGCCAAACTGGTCGCAGTTCGCTACCCACCCTCCATCCCTTCGTCGCCCTCCACCGTACTAGGCTTGGTGCAGTACTCGTAGGCTGGAATCTTCTCGTAGCATCCAGCTCACCCACACTCCATCCCTCGGCCGTCATCCTCCGTGGTGGGCTTGGTGCAAGGCTTGGAGGCCTGCCTCTTCTCGTGGCTGTTGCGGCACTCCACGCGAGACTAGTGGGTCGGCTTTAGCAACGCGGTCAGCGAGTTCGAACTCCTCGCAGTTCGGCACTGGACCTTAGCCATATTCTTCGGCTCCGGAAAATCCATGCCGCTGTGCCCCTATAGAGAAGGTTAGCACTTTCAAACCGACGATGAGCACGAGGGATGGGCACTTATACCTGTCACACTTGCGCTACTGGGTCTGGCGCCCATTCACGCAGTCCCATTGCAAGGCATTGGCCAACCAGTTGGCTTTAGGCAGTTGCGGCACTGCATCTGGCGCTCACTCAAGCACTCCGCCTTGACCAGTTCGTTGGACTCGGCCCGAACTTGTCGCAATCGCGCAAGGTCCATGCCATTTAGATCTGGGCAACCTTGCTGCTATGACCCCATTTGTGGCAGGACTTCCCGCCTGTTCGTGTAAATAGTCTTGCCATGGCGCTCCTCTCCCCAGTTGCGGCAGACATCGGGCCTTTGGTTGCGCAGCTGCGAGAAAGGTGGCCAGCTTCGTCGCAGCTCCTGGCTCTGGTCCTGACGTAGTGGCTTTTGCCTTGGACCGCCTCGCCGATGAGGTCTTTTTTCCCTGTGAAGGGATTCCTTTTTACGAAGGCTGGCACCAGCAGGCTGTGAATGCTCGTTTGTTCCACCCCTTGTGAACATGGTAGCCCGGGTTGTGTGATTTGTGAGGTGGTGTTGGCTCGCTTGTGAATTGGGAGGTAATGTTGACGCCTTTTGTTGCCAGGCAGCTCTTGTGATTTGATGAAGTCTTTTCTTCGCAGGAAACTGTTGTGATTTGCGAGGTAATGTTGAAGTGTCTTCTGCATAGGCAGCCCGGCATTTGTGTTTTTGGAGATGGTGCTGAAGGCTTGTGTTCACAGGTGGCCTGTCATTTGTATTCTGCCAGGTGGTGTTGCAGCCTTTTCTTGCCAGGCGGCCCGGCATTTGTGGTTTCGAGGTGGTGTTGCAGCCTTTTCTTGCCAGGCGGCCTGGCATTTGTGATTTGCGAGGTGGCGTTGGCAGCTCATTTGATTTGCAAGGCAGTGTGGGCGCCTTTCCTTAACTGTGCGCCATTTGCATAGAGTTTGAATAATGATTATTCAGTCAGTAGCGCCTATATTCAATATTCTGAATATAGCAACGGCCTGTATTCAGGTGAATATTCAATATTCAGTCTTCCGCGGAGGTCAATTTGCATATAATTAGCAAAAGGAAGGTAAATAGCAAAAAAATAGTAGTAGAACAGTAAAAGAAAAGGGCAATATAAGGAATTGAACCTTAGCCTTTAACTATAGCTAGTTGACGTGCTGTCTACTACACTATATTGCTAAAGATTGTCGCCTTCTACCTTATTACGAGGGTAGTATCTATTAATCTATTATATATATACTTTTACTGTAGATACTATAATAATAATACTGTCGGTATTACTGCAAGGCGCCTGCTATATAGTACTACGTGTCGGTTAAGTCTTCCGGCTTATCGTCGTCTACTAAACTAGACAGTAGCTCTACAATGCTAGCCTTCTACTACTGCTTAGAAGGCTCAAGTACTCGCACTATCTTACTATCGAGTTGGCTTCGGTCCTATATAATCGTACGCCTTGCGAAGCTAAAGGTGCGCTTACTCTTAGCAGACATAGCAAACGCGGACAATACGTTAATTGCTAGTCGAGAGAGTAAAGGCTAGGCTTGCCGCTATGCTAGCAATAGCTACTAGTCTAGTAGACTTAACCGTCTATTGTTCTCGATAGGTAGTAGACTAGCGGCGGCATATATAAAGCTATCAAACTCGTTAGTTATAGCATTAACAACGTTAGCTTCTTATTGCTACGACTCGAAGCTAGTAAGCTCTATAACTGCGGTTAGCGCTTGTTACTAAGCTAACGAGTAGTTGAACTTGTCCTTATATTCTTACTATAGCGACCTCGCTCGTTCGAGTACTAGCTATAACTAGTCCGCCTTCTTGTTACTAGTCTAGCGCTTCTTAAGCTAGGCAAGTCGCTTTAAAGGGTGTAGCAATAGTGCTATAACGTAGGCTCTAGACTCGTCAATAAGTCGATAGTATTTGTTAAATAGGAGCTAAGAGACAAGGATTAACTTTATAATAGCCGGCCTATGTTAATAGTACTAAAGCGACTTCTCGTAATAGTTAACAAGGTATTCTATAGCTTCTTAGAAGCTGTCTAGTGTATAGCGATAGCCCTATAACCGTATAGTAACCTCCTTAAAGGGATAAAGGAAGTTACGCGTATATTTAATAACCGTCTAGTCCGAGTTAGAAAGCGCTATATCTTACAGTAAAGGCTCTCGCTCGAATAGCAATTGCAGTGTTAGCTTTGCCGCAATAGCTTCTTCTATAAGCAATAGCCAACTATTCTAGCGAGTCTTACTAGGCGTCTTTAGCACGGCGGCAGTAACGGCGGACCTAGCGAGGAATTTGAATGTAGCCTATAGAACGTCGTCTCGTAGACGGAGTAACAGGTTATATAGCTTCTAAAGGGCTTCTTATTTAGTAAACGAGGCAACGTTAATATCTAGCTAAGCGGAGATAGATATCGTATCGGCAGTGCCTTCGGCGGTATTATAAGCGGCTATTTGCTGTTTAATAAAGGTACGCTCGTTGTTCTTCGCCTTCTTAAATGCTATCTTAGCGGACTCTGTAGACTCTAAGAATATAAAGGCTTGTATTGCGAGGTTAATAATGTGTCTAATATAGCGAAGCCTCCGCGACTTCTTAGTCTAGCCGATAACGCCTTAAGAGTAAAGGAAGCGCTCAATCTTACGCATTAAGGTATCGTTAGAGGTAACGTTGTCGCTTGTAATCTAGCCAATATTGTTAACAATATTGTACTACTTAAAGACGTTAATAAGCAGTTATGCGAGCTTAGCACTAGTATAGCGTATAACGACAACCGGTAGGTCGAGAAGTACTTGTTATAATCGGCTATTCTTATCGACAAACTAGCAGTTAATAGCTTAGAAGTACTTATAGCTATACTGCGACTTCTACGTATCTATATAGAAGTAAATCGAGCTAATAGTAGTAGCTATTATCTCTATTACTTAATCGCGTATATTATAGAAGTTGCGGAAGACTCGAGACTATAGAGCGGACTTAGCGTATAGAAGGACGTAAGAAGCCTCGGGGTTAATAGCTAGTATTATCCTATAGAAGGCGGTAGAAACTAAGGCGTTAAAGGCGATATAGTGCTTAGAGGAGAAGGCGGCGAGTGCGTTACGATATTGCTATGTTCTAGCAGCGTTGTATAGGATATTACAAGCCCTCGTCTCTTCTATTAATACCTTCCGTAAAGCCTAAGAAGCTATTACTGCCCGAATATCGCCTTAATAGCGGTTCTTGTCCTTGTCCTTATCCTTATACTTGCTAATAGGCAGAGTGTGTCTACGCTATAGGTGATAGTCGCAATTGCTTATAATACCGTACTATTGTCCTAAATCTAGCTCGCCTACAACCTTATAGTATAGCTCAAACTTGCAGTACTAAATTATATGTCTATAGTCGTCTATTTGTAGGTCTTCCTATTCGTACGGCCTTCTTAGGTGTTATACTACCTCCGGATCTAGCTCTTTCTGCTTCTTTCTCTTTATACTAGGCGCCGGCAGGGGTATAAGAACTCGTAGTATAGGTACTATTGATTGTTACGTAGATTGAGTCGATTGCGAGTTAGTAGATAGTATAGCGATTAGGGTCGGATTTAGTACTTCGCTAAGGTCGCTGTCGCTTTTATCGCTAGCGCTATTGCTATACTTCCGCTTTCGAGGCTCGTTGTTTTCCCGTTGCGATACTTAGCTATTTAGCAAATTTTCCTACGCTTTCTATATCAATTTATAGGTAGTACGGAGGTTAACTATAGCGGAGTTTGTCGTCGAGGTATGATTGTTAGTATAGATTTGAAGAATTTGAGTTTACTAAAGCTATGCGGCCGGAAAGGCCCGTTAGCGGACCGCTCTCGGTTATGCTTTCCGGATACGATAATTAGGCTACGTTGAGCCTTATATAACGCAATAGGGCCCTAAACAAGCAGCAATAGTATATACGGTACTACGGAAGCAACTAATACCTTCTATAATCTATCTTCTTCCTTTATAATAATACTACTAATATACTCCTTCTTTACCGCTATTGCCGCTAAGGCATTACGAGCGCGCTACGTAGCGAGCTCTTCCTTAAACTTACAATCCTCGCCGCTACGTAGCATATATAGGTTACAACTACACGGATCCGCATACCTAAAGTGCCTCGCCCTCTCTTCTACTATTCGAATCCGATTACGACATACCTCGCACCGATAGTCTACTAGATATACTAGCATATAGTTACCCTCCTTTCGAATATACTCCTCGAAAGCGCTCGCCTTCTTCGCGTAGATATCGAGCTTAGCGTTCTTTGCGATTAGTCGGTGCTTAATAGCCTAGTATTCTTTGCTAAGGTCTCGATAAGCCTTACTAAGGCCTTCAATAGCCTTCTCGGAAGCCCTTATCTTAGCGGACTAGTCTTCGAGCTACTATAGTGCCTTTAACGTCTTCCTAGGGTTCTACCGAAGCCTCTTAGCAATAGGCTCTTCTTCTAGTATATAGTTACGCTTGATTTTAGGCTTAGTCTTAACAATAGGCTCGACTACTAGCGGTAGTAGTGTTATTAGTAGCAGCGGCAATATTAGCGACAACGAGCCTTTAGACTCGGAGTCTAATAACTGCGTACGACTTAGCACTACTATTCTTATAACAACATTAACCTTCTTCTACCTCGATTACTTCTACGCGTTTGCCGCCTATCCTCGAAAGTGTATTATATAAAGAAAGAGCCTAAAACACTGCAAATTCGGATATCTATATAGGATCTATATGCGCCGACGTATTGCCTAGTAAATACTTGATATTTAGTCGTATTTAGTGGATCCATATTCAAATTCATATTCAGATTGAATACTAAATACACTGAATACTGAATAATCATTATTCAAACTCTATAGCCATTTGTGATTTGCGAGGTAGCGTTGCCGCTTTTTCTTGACACTTCGGGATTTGTGATGTGGGAGGTGGTGTTGTCACCTTCTCTTGCCGGGCAGCTCTTGTGATTTGCGAGCTGGTGTTGACACCTTTTCTTAACAACCAGCTCTTGTGACTTGGGGGCGGTGTTGAAGTCAGCTCTTGGCAGGCGGCTCTTGTGTTTAGCGAGGTGGTGTATGCCCGGCAAGTGTGATTTACAAGGGGATGTTGAACTCTTTCCTTGAGATGTAGCTCCTCTGTGTCAACTCCCTGCGAGACCTTGGTGATTCTACGCTCCCTTTGCTGATTCGCCCTTGCGAGGAAGGAGTCTCACACTCATCAGCAAGGTCCTGCTCGACCTGTAGAGGTTGTCTTCAGACGTCTCCTGCTCTGAGGCGATCCGTGCAAGCCCTTGCCCAATCTCCATGTTGTCTCTAGCGAGGTTCTGGGCCTCTTCGACGATGATACTGGATCTAGTTCTGGCCTGGTGGATGTTCTGACAACCTCGCCCATAGGTGGACGTCGAATGAAGACCGGCGCGTCTTTGATCGGCTTCTCCGGCTTTGGCGTCAAGGGCGGCAAGTGTTGCGAGATGAGGTGAAGAGATATGAGCAGTTTATGCTGACGTTGGTATACCTGGAGATCTGTGAGCAGAATGCTCTCCAGTATCAGCAGCAGCGGGATGAAGTCTGTGATCTGAGGCTGCGTTGCGAGGACGGCGCTGAGGACGCGGGTAGCTCTGACCATTCCTGAGGACGCGGGTGGCTCCGACCATTCCTTGATAATGTTCGCCCAAGATCGACGGTTGTTGGGACTGCCAGCACGATGAACTTCTGAACTGCAGATCGCGAGAGTGATGGCGGCCCTGCCACCAGTCTCCTGCTTCTTTCGCTCGCGATTCTCGTCGGCTTCGTGCACTGCTTGCCCATGTGCTCCCAGAGCAATAGTTCTTGTAGCCGCGCTTGTTGGCCTTGCCCTCCTGCTTGCACTCGCGAGCAGGATAACCTTCTTCATTGCAGTTCGCGAAGGTGATGACAAGCCTGCTACGAGGCTTCTGCTTTTCTTGCTCGCAGTTCTTGGAATCAAGCGTCATAACTGCTGCCTCCTCAACTCCCAGCGAGTGAGAATCACCAACACAGACGGCGACGCCGAGCTACCCTCAAACAGCCAGAGCAGTACGAAAGAAAACGACGTGGCCACAGCCATCGCAGCAGGACGACCGCCATATTCTTATGGCTTCGAGCTCTCTGGTTCGTGGGAAACAGAAGAGATTTCACCGCTGCGGCTTGGAAGAGATCCTGGTTTGCGCAATCCAGTGGTTCCTTGTGGCCTTCCAGTCGGCTGGGTAAAATCAATTCACCTGCATGTCGATTGGCTTGTAAGAATGTTCGGAGATTCTGTGATTCGCAAAATGCTGCCGGCGCACGAACTTCGCTTCGATGGAACTCGAACAGTGAGACATGAGACGTCGTGTTCGGGCGCAGCTTGTGGAATTTGCCCAATGCCTGCTCTCATGAACCCATCACCGTCGTCCAAATCTTCACGTCAGATCGTCTCTCCATGATGGCTTTGGCCGGGATGTGTGCGACAACCCCGTGCGGTCAACTCGTTCGTGCTTCCGCTGATTTCACGGTGTGGGAAGCTGATCTCGAATGGATGACGTGGCGCGTAGTACTCCAGGTATGCTTCTTCAATTGGCTGTCTCTTCGTAAAGGTTCGTCCCGAGTTGAACTGCGCATGTCCTGCCTTTCCAAGCCTGCGCACGCCAAGCGAGCTCTTCCTGCACCTCATGTTGCTCATTTCCATTCAATGAGGAGTCGTAACCATGCTCTGCAAGACAAAGCACTGAGCCTGTGCGGACGTAACTCGGTTCATCGCGAAGGCGGCAGGGCGGGATCAGTCGCTGCTCGGAAGGCGTGACGTCGATGAAGACATGAAGGCATGGCGACAAGTGTTCCTCAGATTTCGACCGGGAGTCTCGTGGGGTGGAGAGAATGGAAGTGTTGTCTACGAATGTGAGTCGAGTTTCTTTCCGCGCGACTGTGAAGAAGGAGCAGAGGCATGGCGTGGCGTGGCGTGCAGGGATCGCACGCATGTATGCATATGCATATGAAGGGATCCGCGCTTCGTACAGCCAACCCAACACTCTCACCTCAAGATTATCAAAAAGCGAAGGAGAGCGTGAGCGTCTGGGGACTGAATCTTGATTCAGTCATTGTTCATCGTTGAGCAGCAGGCTCCATACTCTTTCACGGCCACCGCAAACATCCGCATCGCCCTCCTCGATTACCAAGAGAGCGGAGGGCAAGAAGTCTTCTGCCACACGTTTGGGAAACCAGGAGAACATGAAGCGTGTCTCGAATACCTCTATAACTTATGCAGCACTCGCGTGATGTCAGCCAAACTTCATCACTCCTTCTCACGCCCTTTTACAATGCCTCCTCCATCGGTTCGGCAATCAAGCCGCATCCCAATTCTGATATGCCACAGCATCAACACCTGGCGCCACACAGAGTGCTAGCACATCCACGACTTCCGTGGGACGATGAGATCGCTAATATGAAATGTTATGAGAACGTAAGATGGGTAAGGCGGAGAGATGCAAGCCGGGCAGGATACAGAGTTCTTTCCCTTCGTTATCTGAGCCATCATGTCCTATTTCAAATCGCAGTTGCCACAAGACGTCGGTTTCGATTCCTTCGCCGTCTCGGAGCAGGTTGACTTTAGCTGTACCTCATCAACGATGGCTGACTTGAGAGACTCATGCTGGACTGGAGAGTATAGCTCGGCTGTAGAGCAAGTTACATTGCTGTTGGCATCCTGGGGATGATCGTCACGGAAGTCATCAAGCCGTGTGAGTATTCGTAGCCTGCTTTGAATGTTGGCCGCGGCAGCTTCAATCTCGTAGTAGTACTGTTGGAGGAAGCGGTGGGCGCCATTGCCAGGCATGGTGAACGGTTTGAAGATGGCTTTCTGGCTGCCGCAAGCATCGTGTTCGAGATATGAAGCGTTTCGCTTCTGGTTGATAGGCTTGTTAGCTATCTAGCCAGGAATGAACTGGCTGGAAGTGGACTTGAGTAGAGGTAGCAGCTAGAAGTTTGAAGTTCTAGAACTCGGGTGGTTGTTCCCCACTGCGGGTTCCGGCTATGCCCTCGCATAGTGCTGCAGTATGCCACAGGCTACACTGACAGGCCGAAACAAGTCTGAGCCCATGGTGAGTAGGGCACAACTCCTGAATCCTGTAGTCCGTATCATTTTCCAAGGTGCGAGTGGACATGACGATGACATACCAATATCTGATGCAGAGACTCAGTCCGAAGCCAGTGTCGAATCTCTCGGGGAGATTCAAGCCGGTGAGGTTGCGTATCATAGAGGGAGCGATGGCAACGAGGCGGACCACACCACTCAAACAGCAAGCAACTGCGGATCTCTCGCCCAGCAGCGAGATTAGATCCAGGTGTACGAGTAGACTCGTTGAAGAAGTCTCGGGCCAAGTTGAGGGACGAACTTGAGTTGGAGTGGGAAGAGGCAAAGTCGCGGGTATGAAAAGAGAGAACGACGTGAAGAATGAAGAGAAGGCAGCGTGGGAGCCCGAGTTCGATAATCATCTGGGACTCTGGGAACTTTGGCTGTAAGTTTGAGGGAGAACAGGTGTTGGTGTAGCCAGTAGTCAATTTGCATAAGGGCGAGAACGTCGTGAAATTTGAGGGTGTGGCGGTCTAGCTTCACGCGATGGAGTAGGAAAGACGACAAGAACTCCGATATAGTCGTACCGGTGCGCTAGGCATTTCGAAGATTGAGGAGACTTTCTATACCGTCTTTCATAGGAGATGAGGAGAGACACGAGGAATCTCGGGCAGCGGAAGAGGATGACTGTTAAGATAATAGCAGGAAAGTCTAGTTGTAGTAATGTAGCCGATATAGGGCTTAGGAAAGCGCACCGCGATCTCCGAGAATATAAAACTGCGTTAAGCTAGTAATGAATTGCGGCTAATATATTAAAGGTAGGCTATAAGACTATGCCTTATCTAGAAGTTGTTAGAATCCGCACGCGTTATTACGAGTAGAAGGTCTAGGATTTAATCTATTCGTCCGGCGAGAAACTATAAAGCTTTGTAGCTCTAATATGCGACAATCGTGTTAGGCTCTTACTAGTCGATCTAGGCCTTGTTTTAGTGTCGCTACCGAATCTCGGTACGCTATTCGTTATAATAGAATGCTTCTACTATATTGCGATAGTAGAGGGTAACGTATAGAGATATGTTTTCGAGATCAAAAGAAATGTAGTTGCGGTAGAGGATAACCGCTTTTATAACTTCCTAAGAATTAATAAATAGCTATATCGAACGGCCGGTATAGTAAATAAAGAGAACTCCTCGGTAGTAAGGAGAACAGGCTACGCCGTTACCTTCTTAGGGCCTGTCTAAGAGCACAGTTACCGCATCGAGAGCCTGCGTTACTAGGCAATCTAGCTAGACTATAATATCTCTCGTTTTACGAAGCAATCTTAGAGGCTATACTAGCTTATAGCAATGTCTACCTAGACTCTCGCGTAATCGTACAATACGACTATATCTATTATTTAGAAGCTACCGAGCACTTTAGAAGTTAAATGTGTAGCTTTACAGACCTAAATAGGGTGTATATAACTAGCCGGAGGTAAAAGATTGATCTTAATAACCGGGTCCGCGGGTCTAGGTAGTATAATTAAAGTTATATATAGAATTGTTTCGGATAACAGTGCCGCACCTTTGAAAGCCTCGCTAGTATCTATAGGTGTATTGTTAGAACGGAGCGTGTAATAAAGCGAGATATTTAGAATGCCTAGCGTAGAGAAGGCGAGCCTTAGGGAGCTTTGTTGCTATATAGTGCCCTAAAATGTCGGCGGCTTTAGTAGCAATATAGACTTGTATTATAAGAAGCCTTTAACCAATTCTAGTACTACTAATCTCGAATATACCAACCTTTATTCAACCCGTAGCGATATACTTCAATCCTGTATCTTAGGATTAAAGTCTTAAGCTAGTATATAAAGCAGGTACGGCATTAGAGTTTGTATTGCGATCGAAAGCGGCTAGGCTCGGAGAAATGCGGTATCCGGCCGACATCGTAGCGAGAAATGTGCCTTAGATAACTATTCTAGGTTCGGAGTCGAAGACTGCGCTAAGAATAAAGGCTACGCGCTACCGGACACCTACCTTAGATATCTATAGGGTAGGCCTTATTAACCGGCATTAGTAGAGGTAGTAGACTGTCTATTAGGCGTGTTCTAGATATTAGTAACTAGAAATATAACGAAGATTCGAAAGTTATACGAAAGGAGTGCTATTCTTTACTATTTAGTAAGCTATAAGTATAATAGTCTCGAGACTAGTCGTAAGCTACGCCGCTATATACGTATAGTAGCCCTTTACTATAACGAGAGATTAGACTCGATAGTTAGCTACGGAAGTCTTTAGACTACTCGGAAGTGTCGTTAATAGTCTCGGTATACTTGTAAGTCTATAGTATCTCGTTAAACTTCTCGATCTTCTTAATGTCTATCGGTAGCATTATTAGCTAGTAGCTCTTCTTAGTGTCTCTTAACGGCGTAAAAGGATAGTATATTGCAGAGGTAGGAGCTATTAGCCTAGGCTGAATCTAAGCTACATTCTTAGGAAAGCCTATTTTACCTACAAGGACTACCCTTAGCAACAATACCCTTACCTAACTTGCTCGAAGAAGTTCTCTAAGCTAATAAGGGTTCGTACCGCACTCCGTAGGCATAAATAGGGATGCGCTACGATACTATAGGTTACGGGGTCGATAGTAAATAAAGATATCCGCTAGGGCCGATAAGTATATTAGGCCTAGGGTTGTTCTTTTTACTATACTAGAGTTATAACTTTTCGATAGTATAGGAAAAGCATAGCGATATATATAGCGAATTAGAGAAACGTTAAGATTCGGATATACTTAATATAGGACGATCCCTCTACGATTGTCTAGAGGCTCCTTATAAATTTGCCGCTAATAATAAGGGCGGCAAACCCTAGTGCGAGAGATCCGTAATACACTCTTTCTTCTAGACTCTAGGCTCTTATACTCGAGCCCTCGCTGTCTCCTTTCTATTCCGATAGACTCGTTCTCTTTCGCTAACGGTCCTCGGCGCTAGATTGTACTACTCGCGGTATAGGTATCGGCCTTAGTAAGGGGCGTTTAGCTTATCTGCCCTATTTGGCTAGGCGCTCGGTAATATAATAGGACTAAGAAGGTACCGGGATTGTCGATAGGTAGACGATGAAATTGCGGACTTCAATTCGGTACGTAATAGCGTCGAGGCTAATCTTTTCGTAGCTTGTAAGGTATATAAGTCTGTGTTTATACTAGTGTCGCCTAAGTCTAAGGATAGGTTCTTTCGAGTTATCGTAATATTCGCGCTAGTCTCTATAGTAGCTACGGGTCGATAGTAATTGCGTAGGTAATAGCCTAAGCTACTACCTTTAGTAGTAAGCTGCGACATAATTGCTAAAGTAAGCTAAGTTACAGCGTAAATGCCGCTAGGGACTACGGGTAGCGTAATATCGGCTCCGTCGGCTACGACTTAAAGCGGCAGGATCGTTCTCGGCAACAACAATTAGTAGTAGTAGCTTTTTATACCTACGAGCAGCAACACGAGCAATATTAGGGTACTTCGTAGCTAGCCTAGATAGAGTTGGTAATGTCCGGAGTCGAATAATAGAAGTAGGCATCTACAATTTACCGAAAGGAAGTTTACCGTTCGCTCGAGCTTATTCGTCTAAAAGTAAGCGGCCTCTTAGAGGGCTGCGTTACGGAAATACTAGCCGCTTATATAGGGCCGCCGGTTATATGTAGCCTACGCCGCTTATTTGCAGCCTATACGCCGCTTATTCGCAGCCTATACGCCGCTTATTTGTAGCCTATACGCCGCTTATTTAGAAGAGCCTACACGCCGCTTATAAGGGGCCGCTAGAGGATCTCTACTACTAGGGCTTGTCTTTTTATTTTATAGCTAGCTTTACTTACTTATATATACTAGATTAACTATTAAGCCTTTTCTCCTAGCTGCCTAATTTAGGTAGCCTTTTTCCTATAATTATAGTTACTTTTAGGCTTGTTTCTAGTCTGTTTATAATAGATTTTAATTAGGTATACTAAGTTAAGACAACCTTAGTTTCCTTAACTTAGTATAGTTAAGGATTCTATATCCTCCCCTACTAAAGCCTAATATACCTATAAAGGCTTTACCTAATTATAATATATAAGCTATATATAAAAGCCGAAGTAAAATAAATATACTAGAGGGAGCTAGTACTCGTACTTTATAAACAGGCCTTAATCTAAAGCCTAGAAACTTTAGTTAAGTGTTTATTACCTTTCCCTATATATATAGCTGTCTACTATATATAATATTAAGCTATAGTTGGCTTAACTAATATTATATAAGTAGAATGCAAGTAAAGTAGCGTTTGCTATATATATTTCTCTAAGTATAGGCTACCTAGCTACTATATAAAAGAATACGATTCTTCTACCCTTAACTTAAATTCTTATATTTACTAACTAACCTATTAATATACTAATAACTATTAGTTAATACTATAGTTAACCTTCCTAATATTAGTATACTATCCCGACGTTTCCCTATCCGGAGATAATACTACGTTAGTTAGGTATACTATTTATTAGGATATTATTTATAATACTAATATACTATAGGATAGTAGTAGCTACTTAGATACCTATTAACCTAAACAACCTAGCTAATCCGGCTATATTTAGCGGAGGTAGTAGCAGGGGTAGTAGTAGGGATTATAATAAGCGCCCTCCTTCGAAGCCGGCTAGGCTATAGTAAGGCAAGGTAGCTTAGCGTTAGCGTATACTTAAGGAGTTGCGAGCTAGGTTAGCTACCCTATAATAGGAGAAGCGGGAGGACAATAGTCGTATACTACTCGGTATATTTATAAAGGGTATATCGCTAAACCTCCTAGAGATCTATAAGAAAGGTCGTTAAGCGAAATAGTCTACGTCTAAGAGACTAAGATCTAGTTAGGTATCGAAGGAGCTACGCCCTCTACGAAGTAGATAGAGATACTTATTAATTGGCAGACTAATAACAACCCGCTTTAGGTTATTCGCGCCCCTCGCCTAGCTTAGCCTTAGATAGTTAGTACGCTAGCTAACGAGCCGACTATTAATCCTAGCAGCGGCGGCAATTATATTCCGTTAATTATCATATCTAAGGTCCGTAGAGTCGTTCGCTTAGAGAATAGAGATACTTATACTAGTTGTTAGCGCTGTAGCTATTAGTACTTTAATAGTTATATTACGGTTCTAGGATTGTTCGAAGGCGCCTACTTAGAGTGCGCTATAACTAATTACTACGACTAGTATTCGCTATATTCTAATTACGGTTAGAAGGCTCCTTATACTAGTAGTTCTTCAAATACCCTAAGTATTGCGGCGTTAGACCCCTAGGGTACTACTTACTACGATCGTTCTATATTAAGTATATACGATCGTCGTAGCAATCCTATATTTACCCTATACAACTTAATAAGCCCTTAACCTCGGGCTAAACTAGTTCGCGCCTTTCTAAATAACAACCGGATTCCTATTAACTTTAGCCGCGTTTTTAATACGTAGGAAACTAGTAACCGTAATAGTATTATCCTACTACTATTCCGTTACCGCTCGAGCTCTAATCCTACTTAGGCTCGTACTATAGTTTAGTAGATTTTAAAAAATTTCCCATAGAACTTTAACTAGAACCATTCCTAAGGTATACTATTTAATCCTATTAACTAGCGCCCTATAATCCTAAGGAGAACTAGGAGAAGGATAACGATAACGGTAACGATACTAATATAGGCTAAGTTAAGGTCTAATTAGGATTATTTAGGAGGTTAGAGATTTTCTAGATAAAACTACTAATATATTTTTATCTTCTAATTCTAGTTTAGAGATCTAGATTATAGTATTAGAGGTCTAAGAATCTTAAGGGCTCGGCCGGCTCCTTTAGCTATTAGGTCTAATACGAGTTATAATAGAGTAATAAGCTTAGGAGTTTGTTTAATTTTCTTACTTCGAGAATAATAGCCTAAAGGCTAGAGTTAGGATAGTTAATACTCCTCTATAGAGTACTAGAGAATAAAAAACTTCTTTACTATCTTACTATATTTCTACTATCCTAATCTCTAAAGAACCTCTTCCTTAGAGGATTGCTCCTTAACCGGAACGTCTCTAATAGAATAGTTTAGCTTTTTTAGAAACCCGTTGTTTCTTTTCTACTCTTTTTTTAGATTCTTAACAACCTTAGATATTAGTATTAGGGCTAGCTAGGATTTAGGTATCTTACTCTAAGTATCCTATTCCTATAGATTAGAATCTATAATATCTATAGGTTAATCAGGTTTCTCGGCTTCTATTTTCGAAGGCCTAAGTATTAGTTATATTAAATCCTAAGGATTAGGGAGTATAGGTTTAGGAGCTAACTAATCCTTTATAATTCCTAACTCCCTATCCTCTTCCTTTTATAGCTTAGCCTATATCTAATTAACCTACTTTTAGACTTAGATAAGCTAAGATTATTTCTTCTTTCTTCTTTGCTTATTTTTCCTGTCTCTTAAAACCTACTCTACTATTTTTAGGTTTGATTTTATAATTAAATCTCCCTCCCCTACTAAGAACCTTCTTACGCCTATGTAAAGTTAGCTACTAGATTAGGTCTCTTAAAGATTTAACTATTCGCTTTCCGGTATAGTTAATAACTCCTTAAAGCTAGGAATTAGATCTTACTAAGAAAGGCGATACTTAATCTAGGGATTTAATACTATAGCGACTTGTCCGTTTAGTAGCCTACTATTAGGATACTTATACTAAAAATAAGTAGTATCCGAGTAATGTACCTTAACTAATCTACTCCTATATATTAAATGCTTTAGTATCCTCCCTTCTAGAGTCTATAATATATACGTTCTAAGCTAATAAGCGTTCTTAATCTTATAGGGCCTAATCTACTTTAGCTAGAGCTTAGTAAGTTTAGGGTTTTATAACAATACCTAATTCCTAACCTTTAAGCGAGGACCTTTATCTACTAGATTCTCTAGTTAGACAAGCTTTCTTACTATAGCCCTCTCGAGTAGTCGCTAGTTTACAAGCTAGCTAGTATATTTAACCTATAGTATCCTAGATCTAGGATCTATAGTCTTAATATTAAGAGGTCTTATTTAGTTCTTATCCTCTAATATCTTTAGATACTAGCTCTATACTAAGTAAAAGGGTAAAGACTAGTATACTAGATATTGTCTATATCTCGTATACTATATAGCCTTAGGTAAGAATATATCCTATAGCCTAACGTTAGAACTATTATATATCTTAGTTAAAACATTACCTAATATGCCATTAAGGTTCTTAACTCTGCTATTTATTATCGGATAGTATAGTAAGGCAAGCCTATACTCTATCTTAAGCCGCTTGTTTAAGTTTATAACTACTCTTAACAAGAAATTCTTACTATTGTCTAAAAGCAGTTCTCTTAGAGGCCTATATTAATAATATATATCCTCGTATATAAATATAACGGTTTCTTTATTATCTGCTAAGGGAATGTCTCTTATAACTAGCTAACTAGTAGTAATATTAATAGCTATAATAGTAAAGGTATCGCTAAAGATTAAGGTAGGAAATAGCGTAACGATATTAATTGCCTATCTTTTTAATAGCTATAACTTAATATCTGCTTAGGTATATTAAATCTCTTAGGGGCTAAACCTTTGTTCTAAGTTAACTAATATTAAGGGCAAGCTTTAATATATCTTCTTAATTCTTTTTTATAGTAGGCTACTATACCCTAGTCTTAGAGAAACCTATAATACTCGGGAGTCTAAAATAGCTATAGTTCTTATATATTGTTTCTATAAAATCTATTCTCTAGGTTAGCTCTAGGTATAGTACAGTGCCTTTATTATTAGGAAGGGTAAACCTAAGATATTCTTCTCCGTTAATATAGAGAATCTTAAACTCGTCTTAGCTTTCCTTAAGTATAGACTAGAGGTAGGTACTCTTTAGTAGAGTACTAGACTTTTTAAAAGCAAATATAGCTTTAGGGAAGTCTTTAATCTCTTTAGGCTTTATCCTTAAAGCTACTAGCCTATTATAAATAACTATAGCACTGTTATCTTACTAAGAAATGTTAGCTAGCCTAGTTCCTATAAAATCTAGTCTTCTTAATAAAGCATTAGGAACGATAGCTTTAGACCCCTTTCTATATCTATTATCTAGGTTGTATTCTTAGAAGTGTTTAGCCTATCTAGCAATCCTTTTGCTTTGCCCTTTTATATAGTTTAAGTATTTTAAGCTTTAATAATCTATAAAGATAGTAATAACTTAGCTATTACTAATACACTTGTCCTATATCTTAAGACCTTCTTTAATAGCAAGCCCTTCCTTTATATAAACTAGGTAATTTAACTTAGTACCTTATAACTTCCTTCTACTAAAGGCTATAGGGTAGAGTTTCTTATCTTTACTAAGCTAATATAGGGCTATACTAATAGCCTATTCGGATATATTAGTCCTAATAAAGAGGGGTTTCCTAAAGTCTAGCCTAATAAACATAGGGGAAGAAGATAGGGCTAATTTAAGGGCCCTAAATGCTACTATATATTAGGCATTCAACTTAATAGGCCTATTCTTCTTTGCTCTAAGAAGAGCATTACTCTCCTTTAGTAGGTCTAATTAGGGTATAGCTAATTTAGCAAATCCCTTAATAAATCTATAGTAGTAGCTTACTAGCCCTAGGAATTGTCGAATCTAGGTAGCTATTATTAGGGTTAGCTACTTAGAAATTATCTCTACCTTGTCCTATATATATTTAACTTAGTAGTTAGTCACAATATAGCTATAGAATATAACCTACTTAATACTAATCTTATACTTCTAAGAGGAGTATAACAACTCGTTATCTCTTAGTCTCTAAAAAACTTCCTTTAAGTATTTAGTATACTCCTCCTTAACCTTATAAAAATTAGAATATTATCGAGGTATATAATAATAGTCTTCTAGAGCAAATCTCTAAGGATATAATTTGTTATAGTTTAAAAAGTAGCTAGTATATTAGTTAGGCTATAACTAAGAATTAGTATTTCCTATCTCTAGTATTAAAAGCTATCTTAGGAATATCGTTAGGATATACTAAGAGCTACTAATACCTAGAAAGAAGGTCTAACTTAGTAAACTATTCCTCTTTGCGATAGTATCTAAGTAATCCTATACCCTTAGTAAAGGAATTAGTATTTCCTATCTCTAGTATTAAAAGCTATCTTAGGAATATCGTTAGGATATACTAAGAGCTACTAATACCTAGAAAGAAGGTCTAACTTAGTAAACTATTCCCCTTTGCGATAGTATCTAAGTAATCCTATGCCCTTAGTAAAGGGCAGCTATTCTTAGTTATAATAAAATTTAAGGCCCTATAATTAATATATATCCGCTATTTTCCTCCTAGTTTTAGGATAAGTAGAATAGGGCTCCCCTAAGGTAAATTAGAAGGCCTAACTAATTAATCCTTTAAAGGAGTTTAATTTAGTTAGCCTACTCTTATAATTGTCTAGGGTTTGGCTTATACGTAGGATAATTTACTAGTTTAGTATATCCTATATTAATCTAATAATCCTATTTTCGCTATATAGGGAGATAGTTAGGGATAGGTTCCTTTCTAGAGCTTAGGGAAGCTATAAATAATTAATTAGAAGAAGGAATCCTTAGACTTTAGAGGTTTAGGATCCTATCGCTTTTCTTTAATAGTACAATAGGTTTCCTTTATAATTACTAAGTATCTTAGGCTACTATTCTTCCTAATAGTTTCTAAAGAGTATACTAAAGTATATATTTCTACTTCTAAATCCGGGGACAGATTAAAGATCTTAGAGTTAGACCGAAGAGTATAGGACCTTCCTACTTTCTCCTTAAGGCCGACCGTTCTAATTTACCAATTAACGGAGGGATTGTGTGATTAAAACTAGTTAAGCCCTAGGATAGTATTAAAGTTAGGGATATTTAATACTCGAGTAGATATAATATCTTAAAAAGAACTGATCTAGTGTAGAAGTAGAATACCTTTAGTCGAAAATAGAACTTAGCTATTAGCGAGGGCTACTAAGGAAGGAGAGAGGTTAATCTTAAGTAAGGTAGGGAGTCTTTTAGCTAGGGACCTATTAATATATATCTTAGAAGCTATAGAATCTAATATAAATTTGTATTTTAAATAATTAGTATATATAACGAATATTGCAAATAATATTTAGTCTTTTGCCCTAGTATAATAACGAAGGGATTGTTACTAGAGGCTTGCTTTTTAGTAGGCTCTTTAGCCTCGGAGTAGAGTCTACTAATTATTTTTTAACGAGTAGTCTTTTTTAAAATATCCCCTTTGTTTATACTTAAAGCACTTAACTTTACTAAGGTCCTTCTTCTTCTTAACGTTATTTTTATTAGAAGTATTCTTCTTAGCGTTAGTCTAGAACAAAGTATTAAGAGCCTAGCTACTAGTAAGCTGTTTTTCTAGCCTAGTAATAGAGTCGTTTAGGGCGTTTAGCTTGTCCTTATTTCTAAACTAAACTTTATTAATCTCGATAGCTTGTCTTCTAAAATATTCCTAGGACTTTTCTAAGTCCCTAATAAGAATGCTAGAACCCTAAGCTACAGGTCTTTCCTCGCGACCTCAACGACGGCGAAACGAGAACTTGTCTAAAGCACGAAAGTTTAGTAGAACATTAGCAGCCGATAGTGTTTTGCATCGATCGCCTATCTCGCTTCCGCAACTAGTAGGATATAGTAGCATTAGAACACAGCAAAAGGGAGCAGGCGGCCATCACGGTGTAGCTGTAGCAGCTTAGCAATACTAAGTCGACTCTAGCTTTCGCATTATTAGTGCCTTACAAAAGGGCCCGGACTGTTTTTCGCGGGGAACGAGGGCTACTACCTCACACCTCTTCTACTAGCTATACTACTACATCTCACCAAATATACCTATTACACGGTTGGAAATTACTGTATACTATATTAACTTGTATACTAAGTCCTCTCGTGTGTATCTAACACCTATTTTAGTGTTGTTCGTAGCATATCCGCCTAAAAGCCGTATTTTTAGTACCTATTTGCCTAAAGCCGCACCCCCCTCCCTCGATCTATATAGCAGCTAACCTACTACTATAGCTCTACTTACTAAACAAGACGAGAACCTTATTTAATAGGCATTAGACGAGGGTTGGAAGAGTAGAGATATTGTACAGTTGTTGCTCCGCGATAGACGTAGCTCTCGTACTACTATTTGGACTCGAATAACTAGGTAGAATAGGACTGCCACTGTGTTTCTAGTAAAGGGTAGTAGGCCGCATATAATTACGCTAGCTATGCGAGACGACCTACTGGACTTCTTAACAATAAGAAGTATATACTAGTTAGAAGAGATGCAGATTATATTGCTAGAAAATCACTAAGAATAGGTGTCACAATCGACTATTAGTCGTTGCTTGTCAAGCAGCGACTTTACACACAAACTGCTGTCTCGTACGGCTTCACAAAGAGACTCTATAGCAAGGGCTCTATTTGAGGCTAAATTACAGTCATTTGCAGCCTTCTAGATTATATGCCTTGACGAGTCTTATACCTCTAATAAGACTGTACTTAGAAGGCGTAGATGGGCACCAAAAGGTATTCTAGCAAGGGATGTCTAACACCTACACTATTCGCAGCGATATACGGTCCTTCTAGTATATACGATTGATAGCTATCTTCTAGAGCTACTAATCTAGCAAGGCAGCGTCAATAGTTACGACTTTATTGAATTCGTACGCTATCGAATATTGCTACGTTGTACGCTATATCTAGGTCTACGGTTAGTTATATTGCTAGATAACTATAGCACCTATTTAAGAGCTATTCTAAAGGAGATGTACTTAGCGAAGGGTGTATACCTACTCTTCCTTCTACTATATTCGCCTGACTATAATGCCATTAAACTAAGCTTCAAACACCTCAAGCACTAGATTAAGAAGCACTAGCAAACAATACCTAAGTATAGATTACCTCACTAGTAAGCAGACTTTTAGGCATACCTAGAACTAGCATATAAACGATAGGGTGACAATATCGACTACTTAGCTCAGTTCAAGCACTATAAAGTGCTCGAGAAGCTATATAAATATAGTCCGATAATGCCGGTAGAGATATAGAATAAGAGGCAGTAATCGTAGTATACGCTAAATTCTAGCTCGATTTGTGCGTAGAGTGCTAAGACCTTCTATACCATAGTAAATCAATGCTGTATTCTCTTCTGAAGAACTTCTGACGGTTGCTATTCATATTGTTGCCATCCGCAGTTACTATATAGTCTCCTAGTAGTGTGGAAATTTCGAGGCTTAGCATATCGGACTAAATCCCGAAATATCCGACGTTTAGCTGTATCCTATATACTATTACAACAACACTACATTATTATAATTATTATTGCCGGGCATTCGACAATAGGTGCGGCGCTCTTATATAAAAAAACAACGATATAAATCGCATATGTAGTTGTAGTACTATCTATCGGAAAACAAAACTCGCATTATCGGCTAAGCTTAAAGAAGCCGAGGTACGAGTTAGAACAGCAATAGTGGGGTCAAACATTCAGCTGTCAAAGATTTAACACCTATATAGCGCTAGAAGTTAACGATATTATATCTAAATCAATCTATTTAAAGCACGCGGTCTATCTATAATATCGCCTCTTACATCTCTAAGTTGTAGAATCAAAATCGGATAGGTAGTAGTAGTAATCTGTGCAGCTAGGGTTAGCAAAGCTAGCTTGTTGTTATATCGGCTTTATACCTCTCAATTTCGGCCACTTTAACGCATTATAGCAAAGTCTATAACTCGCTTACGAAGCGCCTACCTAATGCCGAAGGCAGGCACTACTCTCGCCAACCTATTCTTATTCTCTTAGCGTCGCAGTTGTCGTAGATTCCAGGCATCATCTATAATAGCTTTAATAATAGCTTCCTGCCTATTCTACTATATCGGATGCTATTAGAAGAACCAGACCAAGAAGAGAGGTGTCTCTATATAGTCACCTAATATAGTACTAATATCCGGCGGCACTAGCGAGCTACGGAGCTGTTACTATAGCGGAGGCTAGACCTGCTATTAAGGCTGGACCTGCTGTTAAGGCTGCAGGGCGCTAATAAGAGCAGGGTTGGCTATTATTAACTGCAATAGCATTAGATTGAACTGTTATTGCTACTGCTGCTACTGTTGCTGTTATTAGAGCAAGGCTATTAGCAGGATAGACTCGCTACTGCCGCTATTGCTAGTCGGTTGCTATCGCTCCGCAGTGAGGGCGCTAACAAGACTGTTAATTGTATACTGTTACTAAGAGGCCTTATTCTTCGCAGAAGCGGCGGTCTTTACTTATATGTGTTCTTCGTAAGAAGCGACAATCTTGTTAGCAAGCTCTGCAGGCATATAATGTAGAAGAGCGCTATTAACTCGGACTATATTAGCAAATTCCTTCGCGTGAGAGCCTATTACACTATAATAGATACTATAGCGTTTGTAACAACCAATTCTACGGCCTAACTTCTTATTGTCGCACTAGTAATCGTTGCATTCAAACTGCTTAAATACAGTCGAGAATACCTCGTCGTCTTTACGGTATTCTTCCTTAGTCTTGTCGTTAGTATTCTTTCGGCTATTCTTAACCTAAGAGGCTAGTTGTAGTAGCTCTAATGGATTACTGTCAATCTTAACAAACTAGTCACTATTTAGTAGAGTTGATAGTCGATTAGGCATAGTAACGCGCTTGTAACTCTTAAGGACCTCAATTATATAGTAAGTATTGGTATTAGCGCAATAGCGTAAGAACTTAGCCACCTCTTCGTAATAGTCGTCCTCGTAGATAATAGCGTAGAAAGTCTTCGAGCGCTTCGGTATAGATGGCCGTATACAGTAGATAGTAAATATACGGTCTATCTGTTAGTATAAGCCGAGTCCTTCTACGAACACCTAGGAAGCTACTCTGTCTTCTACCTTCCGTATTAACTGCGCTATTTTATTGTTATACGGCCTCGAGTAGGCATAGTCTATATCGTCGTCTTCTAGCACATCATTAATAGTTATAATGTTATGCTATTTGCCGTCTATTCGATACTAAACGACCTATGTAAGGTCTACGCTAAAGGGCTTCTTATTGTTGGCTCGTAGCTTCGGTGTTAGTATAGCTTTAGGTATACGCGAAGTCGGTCGGCGTTGCGAGCTAGCTTCTAACTGCGATTTCTTAATAACGCTATTAGATATCGATATAGGCTTAGCAGGAGGTTTATTAGATAGGTCGGCGCTATTATTCTGCCGTTTAGATGATGTTCTACGTACCTTGTTTCGTAGTGTTTTACCCTCTGTCGCTTTGCGCTTGCGCGTAGAAGCTAGCTTCGCGCCCGCAGCTAATATCCCCGAAACTAGCTCTTTCTTAATACTCTATCGCACACTACGCTAACCCCTCTTAACGGGCACACTAGTTCTACGAGGCACGGCTTTTAGTATAGACTTTAGTGTATCTAACGGTCTCGGCGGAACTGTAGCCCTACGAATAGGTTGCTTCTCGATAGTAGGAGGAGGAGGTATCTAAGAAGTCTTCTCTAGATCGGCAGGCACTGTTTCCGCCGCTCCTTTCGAGCGTATATATATCGTTGTATCTTCTTTACTAGACTCTTTACCTAGCAGTCTATTCTCCTTGTCGTTGTCCTCGTTGTCGTCGTTGTTAGTATTAGTGTTGTATAAAGACCTAAGCTACTAACTAAATCGCACTCCGTCGTCTTATGTTTCTAGGTTATTAAATGCCTCGGTAGCTCGTAGACTATACAGCTCTTGCTAGTACACCTGCTTATTAAACGGAAGAGTACTAGGTAGATACTGTATATCTTGTTGTTGCTATAGGGATTGGGCCCGAAAATCGCGTGGTTGCGTAAATAGGGGCGGCTTAGGCAGCTAAGAAGACAATATAGGTAGACTGCTTAGAAAATTACTAGTTTCTATAGTAATACTGTCTCTGCTATTAGACTAAGTCTTAGGGATAGTATTATACTACATTCTATGCAAAAAACGCGTACATAAACATATAATAGTCGCGTTAGGTAGTAGGTGGGAGGTAGAGGTAGGTTGGGCTAAACCTAGCTAAAATCAGTCCGGGCCCTTTTGCAAGCTAGAATAGCTAGCTATAATGGCCAGAGGTTGGGCGTTCTCCGCCCCTTCTCGGTTCGCGCGTGGGACAGCGTCTCGACCTTTCCAAATATCTCACTTACATGTCGAAGAATGTCATAAGCTCCCAAGGCTGCATGCTAGAATGAGCAAGTCACATGTGGAAATTGGTCTCACGATGGTCGGATGGATCTGCTTGAGATCTCGATTGGCACTGGTCCCTTCGCTGCGGTGCTTAGAAGCATGGCTGTATCAACGCAGCCAGTGGATGTGCTAGGTCTGCAATACCTGGACTGTGGGTGGAACACTGTTCTGCGGCCGACCGAGCATGTATACGGCAGGACGGCGAGGTAAAGGGTATACAATCTTTCCAATGGAGTTGGAAGGGTGGCGTGTTAGGCACGGCCTTCTCCAGTATCACCAAGCAAAGCATGGCAGTCGGTAGTGCGTACTGGCGCTGCAATCAGTGGAGACAAGCAAGCAGAATTCGTGGCAGTCAAAGTTGACGTGAGTTGAGGATCGGAGTCGTGTGGGTACCTTCTTGGAGAAATTCGAGAGAGACCAGATTCGGTGGTCATCGCTCCTGAGTTGGGAAGGTCAGTGGGTATGCGCTTGAGAAGTACGCGCGCTTCTAACATCCTTCATGCGATCATTCTCGCAAGATTGTTTTCTGCTTGGGCAAGTATCTATGATGAAAAGCAGGTGAATTCACTTGCAATTATACAGACTATGCTACGAAAACGGATGTCACTCCAGAGCCATGGCTGCGACTGCCTCCATAATCTATAAATCTATGAATAGCCCTCGATCGAGAGCTGGGGCTGCGACTTCTCTATCGAGAATGAATGGCCTGGAGTAAACAGGAGGACGCCATAGTTAGTGCAATCCCCTAATTCTTTGCTAACAGCTCGACAGCAGGTTTCGAGTCGACAACGAGCTGGCAGGCAGCGACAACAAATTGCGACTGACTTGGAGTGTGTGTCTAGGTGTCAGGGTCCATCACGTGCCTAATGCCTGAGGCTACAACTGCTGCACTTTATCTTCGGACTTCTAGATAGATTAGTCCTTCTTCCGAATACATCAGTTACATTAAGTAGTTATAAGCCCCCTGCGTTTTTCTAATACGCATTCTACGTTCTAATTACAACTCTACCGACTACTATATAGCTAGTATTATTACTAGAAAATTCGCGCGCCGCCGCCAATACCTTATTGTCGCCGCCGTCGCTACTACTCGAGTGTTCTAGTAGGAGCTAGACTCGAGTCGGTTACTATTAGTATTAGCTGTCCGCTATACCTAGTTTTAATATTAGTATTAGCTGTCCGCTATACTAAAACATAGGCGCGCCTATCGGCCGCCTTTTAAGACAAGTCTATAGTCTCTTTCTATATCGCCGTCGCTGTCCGCAATAGCTCCCCCTATAACTACTAACGCTTATATAAGCAATATCCCTAAGCTAAAGAACAAGGAGAATTATCTAGTATAGGCCTATGCCGCTAAGGGTGCCCTTAAAGGCATATAGGTATAGCGCTATATCTAAGGGACTCGCCTAAAGCCTAAGATTAAGCTGTTATCTACTGAAACATAGGAGCAATTTAAAGACCGCTAAGATAAATAGGAGGCAAAGGACTAGTTAGCGCGTACGTAGATATTCGCTAACTATATATCGGAGATCTAGTAGTCGTTACTTAGACTCGATACCTCTAAGGTAGTATAGGATTATCTATATAAGAAGTATACTAGTAAAGGTAGGTCTACTAAATTCATACTCTACTAGGAATACATTACCCTTCGCTACGATAGTAAGGACGTTAAGAAGTTCTATAATAAGTATAAGAAGAAGCTCGGTACCTTAAAGGACACTAAATTAGCTATTAGCTAGTATTAGGCTGTCTATATGTTTATTATATAGATCTCTCTATTCTACGAGGCTTTCGTATAGATGCGCCGTAAGCAAATGCGCGCCTTAGAATATACTATTAATAACAGCACCCTTAACAACATTATTAGCGCGTTACTTAATAAGAATATAGCTTAATTGAACTAGGCCTAATACAATAGTTTCTTCGGTCTCTAGCGCTAGCAACTATAAGGTAATAGCAATAGCAATAGTCGAGGTAACTCGAACCGTAGCGGTCGTAGTAGCCGCGGAAACAATAACAATAATAACGGTCGAGGCCGCGGTAGAAGCAACTAGAATAGTTATTAGTCTAACTGTAAGAAGTGCGCCTATTATTAGGGGTTACACCCTTCTAACCGCTACTATACTAAGTACCCTTACCTAAAGGAGGAAGACCGACTACGTCGTAAACAGTAGAAGGCTAAGAAAAAGAGGGTGTAGTAATAGCAGTAGCGTAGACTAACTGCTTAGTAATAGTAGCAGCCGCTATCTAGTTAGAATAGTGCTTAGGGGCTGTATACGGCTAATGCTACCCTAGGGGTGTTATTAGGCCTAAGCGACAATTACGCCTTTACTATAAACACTATAGTTACTATTAGCGACTAGGTTTCTACGGCTCTTACTACTAGCACTCGTACTACTAATTAGGTTGTCGACTTAGGTACTAGCATATATATAGTTAACGACACTTTATTGCTTATTAAATATAAAGGCTGTTACATTCCTATTCGGTTTAGTAGCAATACGAAGCACGCTACGATAGTTAGTATAGCTTAGACGGAGGTTGTTAATAAGCGTAGTATAAGCAACATAAAGTTGTCTAATATACTATATATGCCTAGTCTAGCAGCCAACCTTCTATCTACTAAGAAGCTTGCCGACAAGGGCTGTTTCTACCGTAATAACAAGCGTGTGCTGTTTACGATAGTAGAGGGCAATAAGGTCACTGTCGCTTAGACATACCGAAAGAATAGTCTCCCCTACCTCTATATACTAACCTCTAGTCTAGATAGTAAGGTAGTTGCCCTTTTGTTAAAGAAGGGGGTGCCTATAGGCACTATAGATAAATAGCATCTGCGATATAGCTATATTCATTACTGTAAGCTACTAAGAATGGAATCTAAGGGTTAAATCGTTATTACTAGTACTAAGAAGGACTTCCGCAACTACGTTGCCTATCGCATAGCTATATCGCATAAGGAATACAATCGGCTACTACGCGTACGACTATCTACTATTTACTATATTGTCTGTATTAATGTAGTTACTATTACTAATCCTAGTCTATTATAGGAGCGCTATTTCATACTGTTTATATACGCTAAGTTAGGCTATCGACACGAATATACTAGTACGCTCAAGTTAGGGGCTATAGTAGCTATTAAGGACTATCGTATACATATCCGTATATAGACTAGTTACTTAATCCTAATCTACCGCCTTAATAGAGGGGGTAAATACGGCGGAAATTAGCTATTAAATTAAGCTCGAGACGAGGGCATTATACTACAAGTTACTGCACCTTATTCTTTAACTTAGAATAGCCTTGCTAAGGTTAGCAATTACATCGTATATACGACTGCGAGAAAGATAATGCTATACGCTAACCTTCCGAAGTCTCTATAGCTATATACTATTGCCTCCGCTATATAGGTCCTTAATATTACGCTAACCGCTAACGGAGGAAGCCTATATACTATTGTCGCCAAGGAGCTTAATTAGTTACGAATATAGCCGCGTCTTTAGCACCTTCGAGCGTATAGCTATACGTTAATTGCCTACGATTATAGTATTGCTCGTAGAAAGAAGATAGATAGTAGACGTCTTGTTAGCAAGCTAGTTAGCTATACTAAGGGCTCTATAGACTCTAGAAAGTACATAATCTACCTGCCTAATTAATATAAGGTTGTCGCTTCTAAGGATGTTCAGTTTATTAAGTTAGATAGTAACCTTCTACTTCTAAATAGCATAGATCTATATACTAATCCTAATAACCCTTCTAAGAGCGAGTTTATTAGCATTAAGTCTATTATGCCGGCTCTATTCAATTCTATAAGCAACGAGGCTCCGTTACTAGCCGACGCCGCTAGTGTAGTCTAGCAGCTTCTAGCCTAGTAAGAAGAGCCTCTAGACGAGCCTACTTAGGATATAGAGGTAACTAATAAGGTCGCTAGTCCGTTACTACTCGACGATGACCTGCTAGACGTTCAACTACTAGCTTCAAGTAATAAAGATAGTTTCTAGTCCGCTAAAGAATAGCTAGTATACGACCTATAGGCTAAGAAGGGCGAGCCTAGCTAGTTGCCTAAGTTTAAGCGGCTAACTAAGATAGGCAATCGTTCTATACGCAAGACACGAAGCAATAAGAGCGCTCGTAAACTGTTACGTAGATATCTGGCCGATTGTAGCGTCTAGCGGTCGACTCGACGTATAATAGCTAATATGCCGATAGCCTATATTAAGGGCTTTATAGCCTCCTGCTATATTGCTAAGCAGTCCGATAAGCCTAAAGAAACTATCCCTATTCCGAAGAGTTACAAGGAAGCAACTTAGTCGCTATATTAGCTATAGTAGAAGGAAGCTTACGAGGCTAAATACAAGTTACTAATTAACAACTATATATAGGTTTATGTATCTCGGTTAGAGGTGCTAGAAGGTAGGAAGGTTGTTCGTAGTCGTTAGGTCTTTACTATTAAGCGAGACGCTAATAGAAATATAAGCCGGTTTAAGGCTCGTTAGGTCGTCCGTAGCTTTATATAGGTTAAAGGACAGGATTATAACGAGACCTATGCGGCTGTTACTAAGCCTTGCACGCTTCGAGCCTTGTTTAGCCTAATTGCTTATTACGACCTAGAAGCTAAGCAGTACGATATTCTAACTGCCTTCCTTAACGCGCTTATTAGTAACAAGTACAAGATCTACGTTAAACAGCTATACGGCTTTAAGGACCGTAGTAGCAAGGGTATAGTTTGCCTATTGCTAAAGGCACTATATAGTCTAAAGTAGTTACTAATGCTGTAGTATAAAGAGCTTCGGAAGTACTTAAAGAGCCTAGACTTTATACTAATGTTAACTAACGTATGTGTGTTTAAACACGTTCTTAGCGGCTCGATTATCGTTATTTACGTCGACGATATAATTATTATCGCCTATAGCCTATTAGTACTAGAGGCCGTTGCCTAGTTGCTAAAGGACCGCTTTAATATACGAGAACTAGGCGACCTTTACTACTATCTCGGCATGCGCATTATCCGCGACCGTAATAAGCGTACTATCTACGTCGTTTAGGACGCCTACTTAAATAGGCTCTGCGAGAAGTATAGTATACGTAGACGTATCGGTCTAACTACTCTAATAGCGCCTCGTTACGTTAAGACATCTATTTAACGCGCACCTAAAGGCTATACAGCTAGTGCCGCCTTTAAGACTTAGTATTAAGAAGGTGTTAGTAAGGCGCTATAGCCAGCTATAATTACACGATTTAATGCTTGCTATACTATAGGCCTATTATTACGATTTATCTCTAACCCGACCGAGGAATACTATGCCGCGCTTCTTTAGCTAATTAAGTACCTAGTTAGTACTCTAAGCCGTAGCATGCGCTTCTAAGGCAGTTAGAACGAGGCTAACGACCTCAAGTTTGCTAGATACTATAATGCCTTATAGGCTAATAATCCGGTTACTCGCCGCTCTATAGGTAGCTTCTACTTTACTATTATAGGCGGACCTCTGTTGTATAAGTCCGGCCGCTAGACGCTTATTATACTATCGTTAACTGAAGCTAAGTATATCTAACTTACTATAGGCGCTAAGGAGGCAGTTGCCTTAGCTCGTTTGTTAAAGGAAGTCGGCTATAAGGGCTACATTCTTCTAGTTACGCTATACGAGGACAATTAGTCCGCTATCGCTATTACTAAGTCTACTAGCATTAATAGCCGTACGAAGCATACAGATGCTCGTGTCTACTATATCCGAGAGAAGATTGCTAATAGCTCTATTATTGTTTAATAGGTTAGCATATACGATTAGATTGCTAATAGCTTTACTAAGCTACTTAATAAGATTAAGTATAGCCGCTTTGTTAAACAACTAAACCTAGTAGATTGCAAGGCCGCTATTAAGAACGCTGCGAAGCTAGCTACTAAATACTAAGGAGGGCCTTTATTTGCTTTATCTATTTGACCTAAGAGTAGTCTAGTTTGTTTACCTGTTTCTGCTTACCTAATACCCCTGTTTGCTTTGCTAACGGAATGGCTATTGTGTTTGGTTTGCTTTATTCTATAGCGATATGCACGTGCTAAGGGGGTGACTTAGAGTGTGTGTCTAGGTGTCAGGGTCCATCACGTGCCTGATGCCTAAGGCTGCAACTGCTGCACTTCATCTTCGGACTTCTAGATAGATTAGTCCTTCTTCCGAATACATCAGTTACATCAAGTGACTGCTCGGGCATCCAATACTACACTCCATCTCCAAAGCTGGTATCATCAGCGGCAGTATGCTATAGGCCAGCGACATCCTCCTCAGCTGGCAGACAGCGACACCAAATTGTGAAGGTCAGTGCGTCCAACACCGCACTCTATAACCAAACCTAACACCATCAGCAGCAGCAGGCTACAGGCCAGCGACATCCTCCTGCTGGAAAAAGACTGCCTGCACAACGCACCGCTTAGGAAGTCAGCTTTGTCCTCTCGCTCTCTGACGTGTCGTTTGGCGATCACTTCCAGCGACATCCGTCGACGACCGGCCAACATCTCCAGGCTACCATTCATGGGAAGTCACTTTGTGCACTCTGTTCTCATCCGCAGATCATTTACGCAGCTTCTTCTAGCCTGTCAGCTTAGCTCATTGAACTTGCTTCTAGCTTGAGAGAGAGCGTGCTCGACGATTATCGCTTTAGGACTGGAGAGTGGTGGTTGCGATGGTCTACTTCCAATATGGGTAAAGAGATACAAAGCTTCGGCCTAGGACCGTATGCTCCAAAATCTCGCTGCCCCGTCACGCACGCTATACATATTGTCTTAGGCAATGAGTTCACACACCTCGATTCCGACAGACTATAGCTTCTGCCTCGACAGTCGGTAGACACTTCGCAAGCACAGCCTTTCTTCATGTACCTTCTCGTCGCCGCAACAGAGCTTGGATGAATCTTTGCCCTTTGGTCGAGTGCATAATGGGTTCGTGGTTCTTGGCCGCGAGATGTTCATTCGCGCTCTACCATCAACAGCTTGGCTTGCCTCTGTAATGCAGATCAAGCTCAATAAGGTGGCTGCCTGCACTTCCTAGGGTCATGTCGCCAGCCATACCACTGTTTTATTGCATTCTAGAGCTACCTCTCCTGGCCGCATCGTGAGAGAGGTCGGTTTAAGTACGTTGTACGATATGCCAGACAGTGCACCCACGCTGCGAAGATCCCATTCACAAGTATCTTAAAGCTAGAGCTGAAATCATCGTGAAATGCTCGGAAAGAGGCAGCCATTTCACCGCAAATTGCTCTAAGCCTCTAGGATACCGGACTTGACTTCGGTATACAGTCTATCATGTCAAGCTCCGTGCCCTCCTACAACTCGACGGCACTCCTGAGCCTTAGATGCTCCTGTTTGGCTGCGACCTGGAAGGTGTCATGAGGAGACTACTTTTGTGGCTAGCAATTACCGGGCAGCTTGGTGCGTTTGCGGGTGATGATCCCTCGAATGGAGCAGTCAGCGTAAGGTTGATCCAAATACGAGAGAAGAGAAAGCGAGCATGCTTTGAAGGTTCTTGCGATACCAAATGTCCCCGCGCCTCATAGTCAAGCTCTGGAGCAGCTCCATCTTGCGTACTGCGTACAATCACGTTGACTTGTAGTTCCATCGAGGCATCCTACTTCACAATTATGCGGCTGCTAGGATCGGACATTCAAAGCCGGGTTTACAATCTTGGAGAGGAGCTGCGATTGACAGAAAAGCAGTCAATGTAATCTGCTACGAACAGCTTTGATTATTGCGCCATGGACCTGATGAGCAGCAGCGATTAATACCTGCAGGGTGATTTATACGCATCGTTTCAGTTCGATATGTGCAAGCTCTGCTTTTTGCTTATCTCCAGGTGTCAGATTCTCGTCAAGGAATGGTAAACAGGACGTTACTCGAGAGCCTCGCCTTTACTAGAATAGCCTGCTTGTAACGGGCTGATATACTACGTCCTGTCGGACTCAGCCATTCAATACCTTTAGGTCTTGACCACTGTACTCCACATCATATTACGCGGGCGTAGATGGCCTTATCGCGCCGAAGAGCAACTTCAAAGCCGAAGGTTCACGAATGGCTAACCTCACTCACGCTTTTACAAATGTGCCACTATTCGGGAAGTGAACAACGCTCTACGCGATATTCGTGACACCACTCTCTCTGCGGGTCAAGGTAATCTAATCAATAATGCCACAGTTGCAAGCTCCGATGAACGCCGAAAAGCCGCGCTGGCTGTCGAAACGCTCCAGTCGCAGCTCGAAGCACTCTGCAAGGCTGAAGATCAGATCCCCAGTGACTGTTCTGAAGCTGCACCTGTGCTGGGGATTTTGTCACGGGCAACAGCGAGCATCTTGAGTGGTAGGCAAGAGCGGACGAGGGCTGCCATGCAGATTGCATCTGCGCAACCAAGAACAGTCCGTGGGGGAATGAATTCGGTCATAGCGAACACATTCTGCGACCGCTTCACGTGTCGGTTCCCGAGCGGTAGATGTATTGTCTAAACCACCGGACTCAAAATGAAAATGGGGAGCCGGAAAGTGGCCGCCGCTTATTTGCAGCCTACGCCGCGTATATGCAGCCCGCATGCCGCTTATACGCAGCCTACGCCGCTTTTTTGCAGCCTACCCGCTGCTTATTTGCAGACGCTGCTTATACGCGGCCCGCGCCGCATATTGTGTAAAGAGCATCGAGCCTGTGCGCGCGCCGAAGTCAACCCTGTTCTAGGACCTGAATCGCAACAGCCCCAGCAATGCATCTTCAAGATCTGCACGAAATCTGTCGCCCGGTCTCCGGAATGCCGTCCGTCAAATCGTGTGAAAAGCCGCAAACACTTGGGACTACCGAACCCACACTCGGCACCGCTTCCTTCTTGAGGCTAGCCAGCTTGACCTCGTGGCATCGTTCAGTCAGGATCTTCTCCATGATGTCGTAGTGACAACGAAAGGGCCACCGTCGGGACCTCCTGGCCGGCATGTACAGCCCGGCGATGTGGATCACCCCTAGAGGATGGCGCAGCCATCGAACCTTTCGCGGTTTCGAGGAGGCGCTGAGCAAGACATCGAAGGATCGGAAATGAAGAGAAGAGTTGAGAGGCTGTGTTTGCATATATCTACGACCCAGCCAGACTGTCGATGAAGGACTTGGATAACTCTACGGGCGACATCGAGAAGGTGTGCGAATTCTGGAGTCATGCTATACAGTAGGAGCCTCACGCGTGGAAACGGTCACATCAGGAAGTGGGACAACACCTGAAATGGCCGCAGGCTTCATTTCTGTGTTGTGTCGCGTTTAGTACGGCCCATCATCACTATTAGCAAAGACCGGTAACTTCTCCCTCAAGATCAGCCGGTTCTGGCACGGGCTACAAGTGGAGAAGCGCTGGCGGTGTTCTGCGGAACATGCTGGATTCTTATTGTACCGAGAGACCGCTGAATGTGCTCATCCCCGCTGGATGGGACATGCTGTCGTCGCCCATCGAGGAATTCGGTCACGATGCAGGCATGAAAAGTCCTTACTGCCGCTCCCGCACCTTCCCGACAACACTATACGCCCATCTTCCTCTCGAAAGTGTCACGGCTGCAGCAATACTAGAATCCTCATCGTGCATATCACAAGTGATCACAATATACACCGGCACACTCGTGATGGATATCATACTAGTCGGCGTAGGCGTTCCTTCATCAACCTGGCGGCGTTGGCTCTGTCCTCGCATTTCTGCCGACTTCCCTGTTAACGAGCACCTCGGATATCCGTGTCTTCCCTCGGCCACTTCTCGGCAGGAGAGTAGAGTCATAGATTTCAAAACACGAACCTTCCCGCCTAACTCCTCATCTGTCTGCTTTGCCCATCCCAACACGTCTCCTCGGGACGGTCCATTCTCAAGCAACGCCCTACTTCTCCCTTGCTGGTATAGGGATTGTCGAAATTCTGGCGGAGAGTGGGGAGGTTCAAAGACGATATTTTAGCGAGCAATCGCTACAACGCCCGCTCTGGAAGCCAATTGGACGTGACTTGTGCTAGGGTTTAGAAATGCGCGAGAGAGAATGCAATTCAGTGTCAAGGCCAAGCGTGAGGCTAGCAGGCATCGATGTCCGCCAAATTTTCTGGCAGTGACATGTCCTTGAGCGGTGGGGCTGAATCGGCGCAGTGGGTTGCGGCCTGTTTCCAGTGCCGGCTGAAGGGTACATGTACCGAGGGTTATGCGTAGGGCCATTGTTGAGCAATGACTGGAGATGCCGAACTACACCTCAGCCTCAATCAATCCATAGTGGTGGAGTGTTATGTATGTCCGTAGGGCCTCCGGAGATGCAGACACTGCTCAAGCTACCTGCGTTATCTACGATCCAGTAACAACCCGACAATCTTGAGTCTATTAGCATTCAGTCACGGGCTCCATCGTCCGGGTACAACATCACAATGCAAGTACCATCTTTCCCCTGGAAGACAACCCTAGCAACCCTATAATTCTCAATACAGAATCTTTTGGGATGTGGCCGATGCAATAAAATCACTCACAACTTCGTTATAGTCCCTTAGACGCCTGCACGGCATAGTAATTGATCTTCGCATCTCGATACTTCGGATCTGCTTTTCCTGCGTGTCCTCTACTAACGAGGCAGGACATCATGAATCACATCTATCGCTTTCCTCATATCGAAGCTTATACAGTCGAGAATTTGGTGTGCCCGCATGCTAGCAAATGACGCTGCGGGCAAGTCTGGGGTTCTTTATTGTTCCACTTCGTCTTCAGAAGACGTTCTGTGGAGCCTGCTCTGGTCTAACACCGAGTGCGACTAGTACCGCGCGATGAGTGATATTCGTTCGACGTAGCGCGAGCTTATTTACTTCTTTACTACTGCTGCCCTCGTGGTGGTGTCCCATCGACAAACCCAGCTCTTACGCAAATCTTGCTGCCCCGCCAAAGGAATTCGCGCGAAAGGCCCGGGAAACTAGACAGCGTATGCAATCTGAGGAATCCCACAAGGCCACCACACCCTCTGCATCCCTCTTGCCGCGCCTGCAGTGATGCTGCTTTCAGCGATCATGATGAAGATCTTATTGGCTGGTGTTATCAGGATCGTGTCTTCCTCTGGTCGCTACGAAGCACAGCGTACCCAGCGTTTCTGGACACCGTGACATCAGCACACCTTGCGCGCAGATTTGTGCTTCATTGAGCAGCATCAGCTTATCTGGGGTTCGATCTCGAGCCGTGGGTCATGCCCCAGACTGCTTCCACGATTTCGTGCCTCAGAATGGTTGGGCTTCAGATCATCCCAGTCCTCCTCCTCGCCGCTGCAGCTTGCGAAGACAACTATTCGATCCATACGATGCCGAGCATTTTCGCGCGAATCAGGCCATGGATAGGACCCCAAATCACGAACATTGTGAACAGTACCAGAGATCTCCCCCACGATGATTACTACGGGCAACCTACACGATCAGCCAAAGAATCAGGAGGCAAACTTTGCTACGCACGATTCGCTTGGCAACGACGAAAACGACAGACGTCACGTCCCAATTCACATCTCGTACACCGATTCGAATGAGATCTGGATGCGATCGGAACGAAAAGACTCCATCTTTTGGTCGATGGTACAAGCTGTGATGGCCGGCACACTTTCACAGGGTTGGTTCGCTGCGAGATCTGGTTTGACAGAGACTCGTGGGCACACCGGCCCGCAAGAACGAACATGAACAGCGAGTTGGGGTAATGTGATGTAGTTCCAAGCTACTCGGTGGCTTCCTCTCGCTTGTCTGTCAACACGCTACGCTCGAGCACTCGTCAGGTTCTCAACGCTGGGTTGAATATGGGATATGGGTGGATTTCAGATGCCAGTTTGATACTGCTCTAATGGTCCATTTCCCATTTGCGGGTTCTCCCTAACAGGACATGAAGGAGGCCTCTGAAGCGAGCATCTGCAAAAGTTTGCATATGCACGATACCAGCGAAATCCTTTTTGATCGCGGATCTCCGACAGTCACGAACTTTCAAACCATCACTATTCCATGAACTCGACCACATTTGCTTCCCTTGGCCACTATCATTCAAGATGTCTACCACGATACAACAGGACTACCGGCCATTCTTCGACTTTTGGACCGGAGAAGACGCCGGAACGCACCATTCATACTTGGCCTTTAGCAGACGAAAGGCTAGTTCTCAACTCAACGACCTTGAAACATCGCGTCACGTCTCGGCTGGCAATACCCACAAGATCTCAAACAGGAATGCCAACCTTTGTGAGGTGAATGAAGCTGCGCGCAACGCTTATGTACCATCTGCCCTACCAGCCAGGCGATAACCAGCGTCGTCAGGAAGCGCTGAAGGGATCTTCTCAAGCTTGTCCTCAGTATTGAAGACTCTAGGCATACACATAGTTAGAGACCCACGTCCGGGTCGAGCAACTGGCACCAATGACTAGAATAATGTTGACTATGTTCAGCAATGGAACAGGATACCGGTCTGCTCGGCATTTGGCGAACTACCAGGTCTCTAACATGAATCCTCGGCATATGATTGCATCCCTCTTGAGTATCCTGCTCTCGTGGAAGCTGTTTTTGTGTCCTGTACCCGGACACACGTGCTTGTTCTTGTTGGCATCTGCTGGCCGATTCGGAACAGGGCTATTTTCGAAGCGTGCATGTCAAAATTGCCTAAGTGTAGACGCATTGCTAATATCAAGCTTCAATCTCAGTTATACTAACCTACCTAGACTTTTGCGTTTTCCTTAGAGTCTCTACGAGACATTTAAACTTTCGTGAAGCCCTACTTAAAGCCGAGAATATTTATTATTTAGTATATCTACTTTTAAGATAAGTATATTTCTCTATATACCTTAATGAAAAGATTACTTAGGTAGTAGTATACCCTATCTTCCTTACTTTTTAGGTATATAATAAAGTAAAGAGAAAAGATTCCGTATAAGTACTAGTTAATAGAGAGAATACTACTTAGAAGGTTAACTAGACAGACTAATTTAACGACGATAGCGGTAGTGTATCGTTTATATTATTAGTATTATAAGTCGCGGATATATAACGCGGCCTATTAGTTATTTAGAAGATAGTTAAGAAGGATACTCGCTAACTAGGGTAGCATTCTAATATATTTATATCTATATAATTCGTAGGAGGAGGATAATTATATATAACCTAGTTCCGAATATATACTAGACCTAGGAGCGAAAATCTCTAAAAAAGAAGATACTCTATAGTAGTACTACTAAAAAGTCTCTAGTATTATAATCTTATATTGTTTATAAGGTATAATAAAGGCTTTAGAATAGAAATAGAAAAGGATAGGGGAGAATTTAAAGAAAATAGAAAGTTAGGAATCTTCTAGAAGAGGCTAGGGAAGGCCGGCTAAGGATTATAAGTTATAACTAATTTCTCGAGTAATAAAAATATTAGCTACTCGTTACGTACTACTCGAGGGAAGATAGAGCGGACTACGTCTAATATATTAGATAGCGAGCCTAATATCTTACTATTCTAGAGTACTATACTCTCGTATATTTTAAATCCGCCGAGAGCTTATTCTAATAACGAGATATATACCTAGTAGTATCTCTCTTATATATAAACGCTTCGATAACAATACCGTAGCTCTTCTCCTATATCTAAATCTAGTATTACTGCTACGCCTATAGCGCTCTACTCCGAACCGACGTATAATCCTACTCTCTCTAGTATAGGTAATACGAAACGCGTATCCTTTATTTAAAGGCTAGGTAGTACGAGTATTACTTCCGCTAGAGCTCTTAGTAGATAGTCCTAAGTACTTACCGGTATATATACTAAAGCTAGGATAGATAAAGCTAGGATAGATAAAGCTAGGATAGATAAAGCTAGGATAGATAAAGCTAGGATAGATAAGGCTATTAGAATACTCGAGAATATACGAGGCTAGTTAGATTTATAAGTAAGAGAAAGAGAAGGAATCTTCGGGATTATTTACTTACGGCTTAAGTAATTGCTTATAATTCTTAGCGCTAGGGTATATAAGTAGCTAGTATATTCTATATTTTAATAGTAAGCAATTTAATCGGTTTACCGCTTATCTATAATAGTTATAAGCCTAGAGCGTAAGTAAACGAACGAGAAGGCTCGAGGAATTACTCGATTAGCTAATCCGCTTACGTAGGCTTAAACTTTATCTAACGTTATTCTATAAATCGAAAAAAGCAACTAACTTCAAACGATAATAAGATAACGGTTATTGCTCCGCTATAGATATTAGTCTTAAGGTGAAAAAAGAAGTAACTAAGATAGACTAAATAAAATAAAAATTACTATAATACGACTCCTACGAGCCGAGATATAAACCGATAAAGATATCTACTACTAAAACGACTATCGGCGCGGTAAAAGGAGTTCCGTAGCTTACTACCTAGAACTCTACTATCTAGATAGATATAATTTAAGACTATTTATCTAAATAAGGCCTTTAGAAGTACAGAAATAGTATACCGGAATCTATAAGCCGAGATTCGACTAAGCTAAGAGAAGCTAAAAAGAAGAGGCAAAAGCGGTTATATTTATTAAGTCTACGGCTAGGGATAAGCGAATACACCTCCTAGGACTACGTACAACTAAGGGGGTAATCGAAAAAGTAAAGGAAATAAGCGAGGTGTCGAGTAACGAACGGGTTTCGACGCTACTCTCCTATTTCCATTTCTTTAAAGCCCTTAAGGATATCGATACTACGGCTTCGACTCTTACGTAAATCTAAACGGAGATTAAGGCCGTAGATAAAGATAAAACTCCCTCGGAGGCCTCTAAGAAGGCAGTCTTTATATCGTTTTTAGGAGAAGTATATTCGTCTATTATATTCGCTCTAAAGGCGGCTAGTTTATACACTCTTCCCTACGAGTAGCTAGTTTAACGACTATAGGACGTTAAATATACTATTACTACTTTTCAAAACGATAAAGTAGTAGTCCGATATACTAAGGATTCGGCGAAAGATAAGGCCGATAGCGGAAGGAAGGGTAATACGTCTAATACGGCTAATAAAGCTAAAGGAAATAAATATTACTATTACTAAAGGGTCAGGCAACTTATACGGGACTATAGGAAGTATAAAGGGGACTAAAAGAACTAAATATTCTAGGAATATAATAAGGGGGAATCTAAGATTACGGCTTAGATAGCTATCGATTCTACGACTCGACTATCTAATAAAGGGGATTAGATCCTAGACTCCGGATATATTAGATATATATCTAGTAATAAGGCCTACTTTACGGACTATAAGGAAGAAACCGGAGACGTTACTCTAGCGAATAGTAAAACGATAAAGGTCGAGGGATCCGGAATAATCCTCCTTCGATTTAAAGAAATTTCGACTATAATTCAGAACGTAATATACGTCCCCGAGACTAGATATAACCTTCTCTCGATAAGCTAACTCTCGCAACGAGATATTACGACTCTATTTACTAAAGAAGAGGCTATACTTCGAAAAGGAAACGAAGAACTAGCTAAAGGAGTACGCGTTAGAAGGTCCTACTTTTTAAAGGAATTTAGATCTATCGAGGTAACGAGAGTAGCTACAACTATAACTAAAGGTACTACTCTCTTTAGTTTTAACGCCTAGGATATCCGGGAAACGGAAAACAACTTAGGATATATAAAGTACTAATAGGAGTCCCGGAGCTTACAATACTAGATAAGTCGTACGAGACTTATTTAACGATAAATTCCGATAGACAATAGAGTCGAGAGGAACCTAAGATAGTATAAGGTTACCTAGATAGGTTATATATCGACTTTTAGGATCCGTATAAGGACGATACCTTAGAAGGAAATAGGTATATACTAACGATTACGGACAATGCTACGAGACGGTTAGATATCCGCCTTATTCGCTAAAGAAGCGACGTATACGAAGCCTTTAAGGGTTAGAAAGAAGAGGCTAAACTTAAAACCGGGAGAAAACTAAAGGCCGTAAGAATCTATAACGCTCCGGAGCTTATTAAAGCTCTTAAAGCCTATCTAGGACTACGAATTAAAACAACGACGCCCTATACTCTAGAATAAAACGGGATAGTAGAAAGATAAAACCGTACTATTATATCTAAGGTACGGGGGGCTTTAGAAGGATTCGGATTATCTAAACGATTTTAGGGCGAAGCGGCCTATACGGTTACCTATTTATATTATAGGCTACCTGTTAAAGGAAGAGATATAACTCCCGAGGAGCTCTATACTAGAAGAAAGCCTAGCGGAGAACACTTACGAGTATTCGGTTATCTAGCCTATCTATTTATTCCTAAAGAGAAAAGGAAAAACAAGCTAGAAAAGATAGTATTTCCGGGAATCTTCGTTAAATATACGAAGTCTATAAAGTAGTATAGGATCTATAATCCTAAGACAAACGCTATCGGGATCTATACTAGCGTTAAATTCTTCGAATCGACTAAGGGAAGTAGCCTACTATTTAGGGAAGAGCTACCTATCCTACGGCCTATTATAGATAGCTATAACGACGATATTAATCTCTAAGATAAAGGAGAATCTAAGGAAATAGAGGGAGATTCCGAAGCCGAAGACAATACTCTAGAACCGTAAGCTAAAGAAGATAGTTAAATAATAATAGCGGTTTAAATAATAACGGCGAAAGAATAACTCGAGAACCGTCTACTACTCCTACGGCTTCGAATAGAAACGGAGGAGGACTAAGAAAGTCTACGATAATCCCTAAGGTACCGAAGAGACTAAGGGACGAGATAGGGCTAGCGGCTCTAAAAGTCGACTATTAAAAGGCCTTTAGGGTACCTGCCCCCGAGACCTATACGGAAGCTATTAGCAGCCCTTACTCCTGATAATAGAAAGACGCTATTAAAGAATATACTAAGTCCTTAATAGCTAATAATACCTACGAGATTATCGACTATTCTAAGCTAAAGGACGGAAAAGGGCAAATAAACGTTATTATTCTAAAGTAGGGTTTTAAAGTTAAAATACTACCGAACGGACAAATCGATAGGTCTAAGGCGAGATTAGTAAGAAAGGGCTTTACGTAACCCTCCGGAATCGATTGCTTTAAGACGTTCTCTCCGGTAATACGTCTCGAAAGCCTACGCCTCCTCCTAGCTATCGCTACTGGTAGAGGACTTACTATATTCTAAATAGATATAGCAAGTAACTATCTACTTAGAGAACTAACGAAAGAAGTCTACCTAGCTATCCCGGAAGGCCTAGACGTTCCTAGAACTAATAAGGTACTCGAACTCCTAAAGA